CGTAACTCTTGGCCAAAGACTAGAGGTGTTGCCATGAATCCAGTTGATCACCCTCATGGTGGTGGTAACCATCAACATATTGGTAAAGCTTCTACCATCTCTAGAGGTGCTGTTTCTGGTCAAAAAGCTGGTTTAATCGCTGCCAGAAGAACCGGTTTATTACGTGGTACCCAAAAAACTCAAGATTAAATTTAACTTTTACTCATAACTTATTACCTTGTTGGTATAAATTATTTTTAATGATCCAAATATAAATAGTTTTTATGGGTTTCAGTTTTATGTTCTCGTGTTATAATACAAATAAATAAAAAAAGTCGTTATAAAAAACTTGATTTGTAGATGTATTCAAATTATATATTTAAATTATATATTTAAATTATAAAATTTAAGTTTCATCTTGACCTTGCAGCTCATTTATAATTGAATTTTCAGTTTCAGATTCATCAATTTGCGCAGGTTGAGGTTCTTGATTAGCAATTTTAATCAATTCTAATCTATCAGCGAATGCTTTACGAAAAAGAACAAAACGACCGTTTAGTTTCTTGGATTTGTATTCACCAACGATATCATCCAAAGATTTATCTTCCAAAGCCCCAAAAGTAACAAAGTAAGAAATTGGTGAATGCCTAAAAGATATCGATCCAGTTCTCTTTCTGTTTTTGGGAGTATAACGGTATACTGTAGTTGGTTTATCATCAAAGTGTTGGCGGATTAACTCTTCGGTGACTTTGTGATGAACATTTGAAATGAAAAGAGTATCATCTGATAAAGCAGGTCTAGGAGACTTTGGAAGACTGGTTTCGTTCAGTTCATTAGCGTCATGTTCAGAAACTTGCGCTGATCCATCAAGCGAAACAAGGCTAATTGGAGACCCTTGAGCTTCGGCCTTTGTTTCAACGCTTAACTTGATTCTTGGTTTATAAGGAACATGAAGTCTTACTTTCAAAGAACGATCTTTGAAAATAGATCCATTCAAACTTTCAATTGCTTTCTGAGCATCTTCTAAAGACCCCAATTCAGCATAGGCAATCCCTAAAGGCTTATATTTTCCCCTAGAGAAACGTACCGTGTAGCTTGGAATGAGAACACTTACTCTAGAGAGGGTTAGTAATCTATCATTAAACCAATTCGTGGGTATGACCATACACATTGAAATCACATAATAACTCCTCTAAATCTTCCTCAGTGGTGTAATAATTGATATTCGACAAGAAGATTCTTGGGGTTTGGCGGCTTACAGCGGCAGCGGATAGAGCTTCTGCGGACGACATTGCTTATCTTCTTGAAGGAGCTTGATGATACTTTAGAATAGATATATCGGCGGCAGAAGGAGGTGATTTTTTGCAACTTTTTGCAAAAGAATATCCACAAACAGAATACACCCGTACCCACAGGGGTAAAATTAATCTACCGGTACAAATTCCAATTGGACAACTACATTTCAAACTATAGATATGTTTGTTTATTGAAAGTAAGCTTTATACAAAACCTAGTAAACCCCGTAGGAAGAAGAAAAATGTAACTTAAAAACAAAAATCATGAAAATTATTAATTAAACATTGTACAGTAATAGGATAAATCTGATTGATTAATTGATTTAAGCGGATTTTTCAGCACGAGCTTTAGCTAAAGCTTTGGCGGTACCGTGTAAAGCATATCTGTGGTTACGACGGAATTTAGAATCAACACCTTTCAATGAAGGGTATTTGTGGGATCTTGGTTTTTTGATACCGTTCTTGTGAGCCTTCTTGGTTTGGTTATGGGCGGTATGGTTCTTAGATTTAGCCATTTTTCTATAAAACGTGGTTAGTACTCTATCTTAAACATTTTCAAAGTCCAAAGTTAGGTCTGTATCCAGAAATCTGTTCCACAAATATTCTTTCTTGGTCGGGATGGACTTGATGAAAAATCTTCTTCTTGACTAGTCAAACAAAAAAAATCACACACAACGATCTTTCACACCAGACTGGGGCCGTAACCAACCTCTCCTTTGGACTCTGACTTCAACATATATGTTAACATACGATTATGTCTATACTTTAGTAAACTAAAAAAAAGAGAAAAGTTAAGAAGTAGTTTATAATTCACCTATATTAACAGTGTTGGAGTAGCAAATGCTCACTGTTTTTCCCACGCAATGTGCAGTCACACCTTGAGTGCACTAAAAAAAAAAAAAAAGGGAAAATTTTTTTAAGGAAAAAAAAAAAAAAATTGAATTATTGAAGTGAGCGCACGTGATTGCATAGGGCTGAGCCCTAATTGGAACTTCAAATTTGCAGTAATCGTCTTGTATTGGATAATTACAAAGGGGAAAAGGTTTACATAGACGGTTTTATTAATGTACAAGATATTATATAGAAGAGACGGCTTATTTTCTGGCTTCGTTAGATGGTTCATCTAATAATTTTTGTTTTCTAGCTTTTTTGTCATTGGCTTTAGAACCCATGATACCACCACCCCAGTGTCTTCTAGAGTCTTCGTATTTTTCAATGAAGTTGGCATTGACGGTGGAAACCAATTTAGCCAATTCAGCTTCATCGGCAGATGAAACTTCAGTTAAAGCAGCAACAGAAGAAGTTTTCTTATGAACCAAAGTACCTAATCTAGCTTTACCTTTAACAATGGCGTAAGGAACACCCATTTTTCTACATAAAGCTGGTAAGAAAATAACCAATTCAATTGGATCAACGTCGTTGGCAATTAAAACCAATTTAGCCTTTTTATTTTCAATTAAACCAACAACATGGTTTAAACCGTATTTGACATTGACTGGTTTTGGAGAAACGTCTTTAGCGTTTTTACCTTCGGCAACGGCGGCAGCTTCTTTGGTTAATCTTTCCTTCTTTTCGGCAGAAGTTTCTGGCTTGTATTTGTTGAATAATTTGAAAGTTTGAGCAGCAGTGTTTTTGTCCAAAACGTTTTGGAATTGGGCAATAGCTGGTGGAACTTTCAATCTCAAAGACAAAATCTTCTTTTGTCTTTGTAATCTAACGTATTCTGGCCATCTAACAAATCTGTTCAAGTTTCTTTTTGGTTGGATATTTTGTCCAATACCAAAATTCTTTGGAGTAGAATCAATCAAAGGATTTTTTGAATCCTTCTTAACGGCAGATTTAGAGGCTAATGGGGCTGGAGCAACTTTCTTGGTAGGCTGTGTCATTGAGTAAAAGTTAGTTTAAAGTGTTCTCAAAATAAAATGTCAACGAACTATCCCTTCATAAAAAACTTTACTCTACAGTATCTTAGAGATACTCAACCTGTGCAACCAAGAAGTGAATGCACATTCTTAAATATTCATTAATAATGAACAAAGCATTCACAAGTCTTCTAGTGCTTGTGCTTAAGTATTTTAACCATAAAATACAAGTCTATAAAGACTTGATCCAGCTAGGCCACTAAAAAAAATTTATTAAAGAACGAATGGCATCACTCCTTAGTGCACAACTTTTCTATCTGGTAGATAAGAGCAGTATTATGCGGAGTTCCCAACGTCTTTCAAGCAGGTGAACATACCATTTTGTTATACTTATTTGTTAATTCTTATAAAGAAGAAAAGGTAGTTAAATTTTAATTGGGAAAAGTGAAAAATTTTTTTTCAATGAGAGTTTTTCTTTCTGGTGCTGAGGATTACCCGCACAAGGCTCCAATTTACTCGGGTGCAAGACTTGAAAAGGTTGCAAATGATTTCAATGCTATTACAACACGTATAGATATAGCGACCAGCATATGACGAGCTCTTCAAGGATAGCCAGAGCGTATCACGTATTGTAACAGTGAAAACACTGACGATCTTGGAGCATTAACTCCCGATAGCAGCTCTACTCAGCTCTCTTTAGATATATTCCGATTAATCTACTCAGGTGTGTTCAGGTGTGTTCAGGTGTGTTCAGCTCCACTAATCTATATTCTCCAGTATACGATGGAGCCACTTCAGTAAACTTTCAAGTAGTCATGATGATTCTTTGAAAGAGAACTAGTTGATACTATTGTTGCGGTCAATCGTTCAAACAATGCCAACTCTTTCGCAACGAAAGCACCATTGAGACCACCCATCCCTTCAGAACAACGCTTCTGGAGATGGAGATGAGAATACCACCCTTTAAGACAATTCCCCAAGACGGAATTTATTTCGATATTTGAAAATCTCATCATTTTGCAAATTTCGCTTTTTTGCTCGATTTTTTCTTCTGTCTGACTCTGTTTCTTTTTCTAATGACTATAATTTCATTTATCTTTAAGTCGCTAGTGTTTCCGATAAACGTAGTTGATACGAGGTAGGATCAACTTGATATTGTTGGAAATGGCCTATTCTCTTTTGTTACAACATGTTATTGCTGCAGAACCTTCTGAAGTACCGTTAAGAATTCAGATATCTGGGATTTTGGGTTCAACTTCTCTTGCTTGTTGGATAGTACTTCTTATGCCTCAGCTAATCGAGCAATGGAGGTTGAAATCTGCTGATGGTATCGCAATCGGATTCATATCGATCTGGTTCTTGGGTGACTTATTCAATTTGATTGGTGCGTTATGGGCCGGATTATTACCCGAAGTGATATTCTTAGCCGTTTGGTTCTGTATTGCTGATGCTTTAATGATTGGTTCTTATACTTATTATACTTTCATTTATCCAAAACATCATAAAAAGCAACACCATCATCGCCACCATCATCATAATAATAATCAAGATCACAATACTGAAGCACAACCATTATTAGAAAGAAGAAGATCTTCTAATTTGACTTATATCGGAACGGATCCAGAAAAAAATGGTATTTTCACCAGATATATTTTACCAATTTTATTCGTAATTGGTGCAGGTGTATTGGGGTACTTACTTTCTGGTTCAAAAGACTCTTATGACGATAAACCAGATAGTAAAATTGAAGTAGGTCCACAATTTATGGGTTACTGTTCAGCTTTATTATACTTGGGAGCTAGAATTCCACAAATCATTCAAAACCATCAAAGAAAATCGGTTGAAGGTTTAAGTTTATTATTCTTCCTTTTCTCAGTATTAGGAAACTTGACTTATGCTGGTCAAATTTTATTCTTTAGAAGTGACAAGAAGTATATTTTGTTGAATTTGAGTTGGTTATTGGGTTCATTGGGTACCATTCTTGAAGATAGTTTTATCTTCCTTCAATTTTACATGTATAAAAATGGGAACCAATTAGAAGATCAAGAAGCCATCGATACCCAAGATTAATCTACAGGATCTTTTCATCACACCATTTTTTATATATTCTAATAATAAAAAATCAATATACAAACTTAAAGTTAATCTTCTTATTACCTTCATCCGTAGTTGTTTCAAGGTATTTCTCTTGTTCTTCCACCGTTAAGGCGTTCCACCTTTTTTCATTATATTTATTTCTGAAAATGAAATAAAATCTTGCTAAAACACAAGCTGCAATAGCAGCAAATGCAACAATGATTAAATCAGTATTACCACGTTTGTATAAAGGTTTATCGTCATCTCTATAAATGTTTGCACTAACAATACCAGCAGCCTGAGAGAAAATGTTGACAACAGCAGAAGAAACGGCTCTACTACGAACAGAATTACTATTTGAAGAACACCAAGTAATTGTAAGAGGCCAAATAGCAGCATGACCTAACAAAACAGTTAACAAAGCATAGGTACCCCAAACATTAACCTGGGCATCGGGCCAAAATCTTAATACCAAAGTACAAATAGCTACCCAAAGAGGAGTGGTTGCAATCACTAAAGCACGATCATTTATTCTCTCGGATAGCCAGCCGGTAAACATCATAGTAATAATTGAAATAAAATTAAAAGGAATTGATAATAAATTTGTAACCACCGTTGAAAACCCTAAATTTTTCAAAGTTAATGTCAAATAAGTGGAAACTGGAGAAGAACCAATATCTCCTAAAAATCTAACGACATAAATTGGGAATAAATCAATATCAAATAATGCTTTACCCAATTCTTTCAAAGTAACTGGCTGTCTATTATTCATATCACCTTTATTAGGATCATCTCTCAAAACTTTATTAACCAAGATCTTTTCTTGACGATCAGTATACCAACCATTTTTTCTATACCATTTTTTAGTTTCCACAGCAGAAGCAGGCATCATGAAATAAGATAAAATACCAACACACAAAGTTATAAGACCTTCGATTAAAAACATAAATCTCCACCCTTCAGGAACAGCTTTAGTTTTAATTAAAAGTAGAGCAGCAGCCAATAAAGCAGAAATAACTGAAGTTAAAGGATTCGAAATATAGAATAATGAAAGTCTCCAAGGTAATTCTGCACCAGTATAGAAATAAGACATGAATAAAACCATATCACAAATAAAACCCCCTTCAAAAGCACCAACCAAAGCTCTGGTAACTAAGAAGCCAGCCTTAGACTTTATCCAAAATTGAGTTAAAGAAACAATTGACCAAATACAGACTTGGGTTGGAATCCAAATATCAGCACCCAATTTTTTAGAAATCAATTGTGAAGGTAATTCAGCAGCTAAAAAACAAACTAAATTAATAGTGTTACCTAAATTATAATCATCAGTCGTTAAATTCAAATCATCCAACATAGAATCGGAAACAGCTTGCTTAATATTATATCTATCCAAGTTTAAACCAGTAAACATGATAAATGCCCAAAAAGTAACCCTCCAGTCATTGATCCATAAGATTTTCTTCTCTTCTTCTAAAGTCCAAGTTATTTCAGGATCAAAATGATGACGACATTCATAATTCGTCTTTTCGTATAAATCTTTATAATATTCACAAACAACCGGGTCTTGGAATACATGGCTGTTATATGAAGAAAGCGACTCAGCGTCAACTTCTTTGTCAGTTATATCGATATTGGCTGCCTTATCCTTTGAAGGTAACCATTGACCTGCCATTTTAAATAAATATCTAAATTAAATCAGTCAAAAAAATGACAAAGTAGTAATCGGATGCAAAATGCTTGAAGCAGATTCAAAAAACCTTATGTAAATAAATAATAGAGAACCTTATATTCAAACATTGAAAAAGATATAAAAGAAGAGAAATTTACTTGCTATTTATCCTAAGTTAATGGTTCTCGAATAATTAAAGATTGCAAAAATTTTTTACCCGGGGCGAATTACATAAATAATGTGATTTGTTTTATGAGATTATCTCAATAAATTAATTTTAGCTTCGCAAATTGAATTGCACCATTTGATTTTCAAATCGCCATATCAAAACCATTTCAAACTATGGCTTCTTTAAACCATACATTTTGCAGCCACATTTCACAGGTTATTTTGCATACTTGCGCGTACATGCTAATCTCACGTGACCTATACCGGATATTTGACCTATATGCTGCAAATCGGACTAAAAGTAAGTAGATATTCATTAAACATAACTGAGACATTAACTATGGTAATATAAACATATATAGGGACACTAAGAGACAATAGTGTAAAAGAAGAGCACAAAGATTTTGATGCCAGGGGAGGAAGGAACTGGCCAAACCAGATTCCCTGTGAAAGAATAAATTGTGAAAGATCTTCACAACTGTGATGCTCTGCTTCCAGGCATCTCAATCTGTTCGGCTCGGATAGTTGGAAGGCAAAGCACAACGGCAAGGACAAGGATGATAAGATGAATGACCATTAGGCAGTTAAGAAAAAGGACAAGAACAAAAAATATGTTCAAATAATTACTACGCCTGACTAAGCAAATTAATTAAATCTTATGCCACATCATTGTAGAGGGTTCAAATCGTCGAATATATTATCATCACTCCAGGTGCTTCCAAACATGTCGAAATATTCATGTAATAAGTTACCACCTAAGGCAGGGTTGATATCAGAAGACGGGGAAGTTTGTTCTAATTCAGATTTGAAAGCATTTGATAAAGTATCAGTCTCTTGTTGGCTTTTACTAATCTGTAACCAAAAATGATCATTTTGAATCATTTCCATCATTCTGATGGTTATATTCTTTGGGTCGAACTCATTAATCTTAGTAGCTTTTAAGCAAGAATAATCTTCGTTGGTAACTGTCAAATTTATGTTTAATGAACTTGATAAAGTCAACCTGGTTAAATATTGTTCGAATATTGACTCAAATTCTTTGAAATGATTGATGGAGTAATTAAACTTAGCACGATCGGTCATTTTAGGATTGAAATCATATATAGATTCATTGGAAATCAACTCAACACCATAAACATGAACTTTTCTTGATTTCCAAGCACAAAAGTATCTTCTTGATAATACCCCAAAGAACTTGATATTTTGTTTTAAAGTCTTAGCATTCAAACCAATGATTCTAGTCAAGAGTTCCACGAATTCTCGGTGTGATATGATTTTATTATAATTTTCTTCGAACAAGGGATCTCTTTTCAATGTTCTTAATGTTGAGTATAGCCTAATAGTAAAACTGATGGCACCATACAATATTGTATGTTTCAAAAGAACCAATAAAGGAGATACTATGATAGTGAAAGTGTCATCAAAATATTCATCACATTTAAAAAGTAATTCAGTGTTAATTGAGTTTAATTCAATCAAATATATTATACTGAATTTTTTCAAAAAATAAAACAGTAGGTTTTTATTTCCTAACTTTTCATAGTAAAGAGTAAGAAATTGATAAACTGATAACAAATATAACTTACAATAAAGATTCAATTGAAATTTTGTAATTTTGAGAAAATCTTGTCTGCCTTTTTTAGAGCTGGTATAATCACCAACCGTTCCTAAATTTTTTAAAATTAGGTTTTCTAAATCATTCACCTGTATTAACATTTGATTAACTTTCTTACGACTTTCAAACTCTCCAATTTCTTGACATAAGTCTGATAATGGCTCTAAGATAGTAGATTTGATCGAAAAACTTTGAATAACTTTTTTTTCTAATTCGTAATCATCAATATTTGAAGCTTCTGTTTTCAATGTTGGTAATTTAGTATCATAATCATCTTTTGATATGCATAAGCTATATGAAAATGATAGTGACGAAGCTATATCTAAATTGACTAAAAAATACCATACTTTTCTTCTTAATAATTTATCTCGTTCACTTAAGGTATTATCATAATAGTAATCGGGGTCTCTATTCAAGCCATTTGCAATTGCCATATTTATTATTAAACCATTAAATGCTTGAGCATCCCAACTTTGTGGACCATCACCTTCTTCAGCTCCAACTTTCTTATACACTCTTCTCATTAAAAATGCTTGAAGAACTTCGAATGATTGTCTTCTAACACAATTAAACTCTTTTAAATATCTATCAACTACATCAATAACATCAAGTGAAATCGGATTTGATAGCAAAATAGATTCAACTGTACCAGTGGAATCAAGCATTTCTTTATTTTTAATAATATCATTTTTAAATATTGATTGGTATGATAATCTTAAGATTACTAGAATGATGATTAAATTGGCCAAATCAGATTGTTGTTTTACTTTGATATTTTCCAAAAATCCGTTAGAACCAAACTGAAAGATTTTGACAAATTCAGCCGAAATTATTTTTTCATCAACAATTGGGAAAAATGGATATAATTTCTTGAAGAATCGATCAATTAATTGATCAAGAATCATCTTCCCAGGTAACAATCTTTGTAAAGATAATAAAAGTGATTCATTATCGTCGTAAAGTTCATTGATCGTATGGCCTAAAGGTTTACCATATTTTGTAATTGCTATTCTTATTGTTTTTGAATTATAAATCGATCCTTGAAATGGATGTTGAATGAATTGATCTCCATATTGATTTTGCAATTTTTCCAAAATCCTAACCGTATTATTATAATTAGTCGATGGATCAAGAGTTGTCATTGATAATAGAGTCGTAAAATTACATCTTTTAACTAATGGGTTTGAATTTAACATCCAAAATACATTTAAGCCAGGATCTTGTCTTAAAGGTTTAGGGAAATAAAATGAAGCCTTTGATTTACCAACTTTGGCTAAAGTGTCATTAATATCAATTACATCTTTCGATGGACAGACCGGATTAATTCCGATTAATAATTCCGATCTTGATCCTTGTAATATAATATTAGTTTCTTTACTCTTTGAATCTTTATACGAAGCTTCTCTTGCTTCCAATTCTTGGACTTTTTTCCTTAAGATCATGATTTCTTCATTAACTCCATGATAATTCAGATTACCATTATCTAATTCATTGCCATTACTAGACCCATCCTTCTGATAATTATAACTACACAAATGTCCAACATTATTCTTCACACATTGAGAACATGGCATCTCTCTATTACATCTAGTCTTCTTTTGGCGACAGGTCTGACAACTCAATATAGCTCGATTCCGCTTTCGTACTCCTTGAGAACCATCCTTTTTACCTCGTGCTTCATTCTCATACCCATCTTCTGGCCCTCTTTTCATTCCTGATCTTTGTTCTGTCTCGTTAGGGCTACTGGAGTTAGAAGGGGATACCAGATACGGATCATGTTTTGGTTCTGGTCCATTTAATACGCTAGATGACATTGCTGCCATATTTGGTGCGGCTAACCCTGGACCGATATTGAACCCATTTTCAGCTGGTGATGGGTTAAATCCATTAACCATCCCTCTCTTCTTACCATCAGGTAGCATCATCTTAGAATTCAAATTATATTTGATGGTTCTAACAACCGATTTCCAGCTTCTTTAAATATTTAATAAACTTTGATTTCAATGAGCTTTTTCTGTTTTTACCTTCGTTTGCTTTTTCTCCGCTAAGTCCTTTGCAGTCGGATTTTTCTTGTCGCAACGGTTGAAAGCTCCGGAGTTTTCCCCGGATACCCTCCGTACACCCAACGGTGTTTTACCATAGCTATTACTACTACAAGAATATGGCTATTTTAATCAAGGCTACAGGTTTACGAGTTCACGGGTCTATTCAAAGATAAAATGTGAAATTTGCTGTGAGGTTATGTCACCGTAGCGGGAATACTTATCATTGCAACCCTGATTTTGACAGGTTAACGCAACCGAGGGTTCGATGCAACCAAGGGTTTTCGTAAAATTATCCAAAGTAGTCATTAGCAAATCCAGTGAAGTCGGAAAATTCGCCTAAATCAAAGAAATTTAAATTTCGTAATAATTCAGGGTCATCAAGCAAGTTTTGGACATTCATCACGTCCAAAGGCACTTCAGAAACTGGTTTTTTCCTTAAGGATTTCGGTAGATGTTCGGATTCGTATTCGACTCCACATAATTGTGTCCAATAAGCTTCACTTTGGCACTCGTTTATGGAAGAAGTGCTAAGGTCGAGGATCGTGACTCTGTTCATATATGCATCAAGAGATAGAGTTGGTTCGGGAAGGATTTGAATTAATTCTTGATAATTTTGTAGTTTATATTTGAAAGTAACTTTAACAAGAAACTCCAGGTCAATTTTAGGCAAAGGTTGTTTTTCTAAAAAAGAGTAACCAAATATCTGACCCTTTTTCGATCTCCACGAGGAAAAATACCTGAAACTTAAAACGTCACTAACGGAAAATTTTTTTGTTAAAGCAGAGTAATTTCTTTGAATAAGTTCGTTAATTGTTTTAGAAATCAAATCATCATGGGGATTTAAATTTATGGTGTGCAAAGTATACTTAAGTCTCATTGCTATACCTAAGTATGCTAAAGATAATGCATGCATATTCTGACCTACTATTGGACTAACTATCATTGTGAAAGTTTCGTCAAAATAATTATGAGAATTTAAAATGAAATCATCATCAATCAAGTCGAATTCCTTACTCGATATCGAAAGGACTTTTTTCAAGAAAAAGAACAGTAGAGGTATGTCACCTCGTTGCTCAAAATGCAAATGGAAAAATTGATATATAGAAGCAATAAACGATTTGACTTGGAAATACGTCTTGAAATTTATAATCTTGGTATAGTTCCCCCTTTCACTATTTATATAATCTTCGACTTTGCCTAGTCTTTTTGCAACTAATAATTCTAATTCAGATAACATTCCTAATACTGTATTGACTTGGCAATGTCTTTGTGTTCTTATCAAAAGCTTCACAATCTCATTACCACTACTGATTATTTCATAGTTATTCTTCAAATTATTAATTGCATTTTGTTCCAAAGCTAAATCCGATATACTGGATGATTCTTTACTAACAATTGGTAATTTTGTAGTAAATTTTTTTTTACACATCAGAACATAATTAAACGTAAGATTAGTCATATAATCTTCATTAACAATATAGTACCAAAGCTTTCTTCTTATTGAGTTGACCTTATCATTTAAATATATTTCAACCGTGTCATCAGGATCAAGATCTAACTTTAAAGCATAAGCCGTAGTTACTAACAACCCAACTGAAACTTGTAAATCATCAGTTATTGCTCCTTTGGATTCTTCTGGTGCAACAATACTATACGAATGTCTCATTGTGAGTGCTTGTAATACAGTTAAATGATGATACTCCCATATTTCTTTTAAACACTGATCTGATATGACCATGAGATCAATTACTATTGGATTCTTCATTATAATGGCCCTTTCATCATCGCTATCAGAATCCAAAACTGATTGATTTAAAGGGATGTTATTAGTAAATACAGATAGATATGATAGCCTTAACATAATAAGTAAAATGATGAATTGGGCCAAATCAATTTTATTACTAACAATCAAGTTTTTGAAATTCCCGTATTCATCAAATCGTAAAATCTTATTCACAGTACTCATGAAGTTTTTTTCATCGATTATAGGATAAAACGGATACAATTTTTCGAAAAATCTTTTAATATGTAAACTCATAACATTATGTTTTGGGAAAATTTTTTTCAAGGATTCGTTAATGGTATCGAATTCGTCAAACTCTTGACTAACTAACGTTCCTAGTGGTCTTCCATACTTAGCTAATCCGTTTTTGATGACTTTTGCATTTGGTTTGGGTTTAGAATCCGGATGTGGTACATAACAATCACCAAATGCCTCCCTAACTCTGGCTTGAAGAAGACCCAATTCTGATTTTGATATTGACCATGTTACCGAAACAATCGTCCGGAAATTAAGAAGATTAGAAGATCGTTTCTTAATTCTCCAGAAAACTTCAAACCCAATATCTTGATGCAGTAGTCTTATCAAAATGTTTGGCTTTTTTTTAAATACCGGTGCTTTGGTTGACGTCCCGGCATTATATAACATATTACATTCTTCAGGACCACAAGATGGGTTTATTCCTATAAGATCACCATCATCTTGACCAGTGAAAGCATTAGCATAACTTTCTGGTGGGTCGGCTTGCGATTGATACTCATCAACCGTAGTTTCGGAACCATCAAACGCAGTTTTCGAATTTGGAACAAAATTATTTTCATTATTGGTACTTGAATCGTACTTACATTGGCCCTCTAAGCCTAGAGAAAGACATCTATCACATGGGAGCTCTCTATTACATCGAATCTTCTTTCGACGGCAGGTATGACAACTCAACACTGCTCTCCTTCTTCTATGTTTCTTTCTTGGTGGATATTCTTTCTCAATCTCTTGGGTTTCTGCATTGACTCGTGGGCTCTGATGAGATAGGGAATCATTTCCCTCGGGATAATTTGAGCTGGTATTCGTCGATGTCTGTTGTTTCTTCTGCCCTGATGCTAGATCTGGTGGAGTCAAATACGGAAATGCAGTCAGGTTGCTCGTCAAACCACTTGATTCTTCAGGATGAGACATTTTTTTTAACCAGTGAATCAGACTTTCCTAGTAAAGTTGTCTTGAGTTCATTGGTCGGACCGGATTCAACCTTTTTAACCTTGACTTGAATTTTGTTTTTGTCAATCATATGTCATTTCCAAAGGATCTAGCGGAATTTCGTCATTTGTTCCCTTCAATAAAGTCTTGGTGTTTGGGTGTTTTTTTTTTCAGTTGGAAACTACGGCTAGACCATTTTGACCCAATCACTCTACCATTAACATTAAGGAAAGAAAGGAACTTAAACGGGGATGGGAATGCATTCTTCGGGAAAGGGACGTCATCGAGTGTATTGAGGATTGTCTAATTGTATTGTTGTTTTGGCCAATAGAGTTGAGAAGGGCTGATTGCTGCAATTATTCTGTTAAAGTTTGCCAATCATTGAGAAGCTAAAGCAATTGAAAGAAGGGAAAAGCAATTGCAAATAAAATATTGGTGTATATATAAGGGTGAATCGGGATGCTTACTTCTATAGAGATCTTAATTTGAAAGGTCAGTTCAATTGGTATATAACTGTTAATCATGCTTTCAGCATTCCGTTTTTCTAGATCAGTTGGTTTGCAAAAAAACTTTGCAACTAAATTTCATCCATCAACAACTGGGGCTATTTCTAAAGTTCTAGTTCGTGGTTACGCTCAGATTCCTCTTGAAACTTCTGTTACGTTGCCAACCGGAGAGGAATATGTTCAGCCAACCGGGTTGTTTATAAACGGGGAATTTGTTCCATCTCGTCAAAAGAAGACTTTTGAAGTATTCTCTCCTGCAACTGAAGAGCTAATCGCAACTATTTATGAATCTCGTGAAGACGATGTCGATATTGCTATTCAGGCTGCTCAAAATGCCTTTGATCATTCTCCCTGGGCCACGTCAGATCCCTCCTTTAGGGCACTGGCTTTTTTCAAGTTGGCTGACTTGATTGAACAGCATGCAGAGACCCTTGCTTCTATTGAGTCTCTCGATAATGGTAAGTCACTTGGCGATGCTAGAGGGGATGTGGCTCTTGGTATCGCTTGCTTGAGATCTGCTGCTGGTTGGGCCGATAAATTTGGTGGTAAGCAAATCGAGACTGGGGACGATTATTTCAATTTCACTCGTCGTGAACCAATTGGTGTTGTCGGACAAATCATTCCTTGGAATTTCCCTCTTTTGATGCTTATTTGGAAAATCACCGGTATTGTTGTTGGTAATACTTCTGTTTTGAAAACTGCCGAATCAACTCCGTTATCTGCTTTATACTTGTGTAATTTGATTAAAGAGAATGACGTTTTCCCACCGGGGGTGTTCAATGTTGTCAGTGGATTTGGTAAGATCACCGGTAATGCTTTGGTTGAACACCCATTGGTAAGAAAAATTGCTTTCACTGGTTCGACTGCAACTGGTAAGGCTCTTATGAAGAAAGCAGCCGATACCATGAAGAAGATCACGTTGGAATTAGGTGGTAAGTCTCCAAATATCATCTTTAACGATGCTGATCTTGATGTGGCTTTGAAATCTGTAGTTGCTGGTATCTACTACAATTCTGGGGAAGTTTGCTCAGCTGGTTCTCGTTTATATGTTCATGAAGATATTTATGATGTTTTCATCAAGAAATTAGTTGATTTCGCTAATTCTTCCGTTAAAGTTGGTAACCCATTTTTACCTGATACCATTCAAGGTGCCCAAAATAGTGTTTCCCAATTGGATAAAATCTTGAAGTATATTCAAATCGGTACTGAAGAAGGTGCCACTGTTTTAGCCGGTGGTAAAAGATTAGAAGAGAAAGGTTATTTTGTTCAACCAACTATATTCGGTGACGTTAAACCAGATTCAAAAATTAACAAAGAAGAAATTTTTGGTCCAGTTGTTACCGTCAGTAAATTTAAGACTGTTGATGAAGTAGTCAAATTAGCAAACGATACCGAATACGGATTAGCTGCTGGTATTCAATCAAATGACTTCAATAAGGTCATTGATGTTTCAAGAAGACTCAAGGCTGGTACCGTGTGGGTCAACACTTACAATGATTACCATCCAATGGTTCCATTCGGAGGATTCAAACAATCTGGTATTGGTAGAGAATTAGGCGAAGAAGTTTTACATAACTACACCGAAATTAAATCGGTAAGAGCAGCAGTGACCAGACAAAATTGATCTGTTGACTAAGCTATTTCTAAGTAATTAATGATTTACTTTTATGATATTAAAATTCGATTCCGTATTTTCGTAGTTTCAAATAGTATGATTCACTACTTGAATCTTGTCGACTAACAAGAATCCCATTCCGAAGTAAAATATTTATCAAGCTTTCATCTGATGCAGATGGTTGAATCTCTAACCATACTGAATCATCTTCATACTCTATGGTCTTCAATAGGTTTTCAACCAACTTATTGACCACATCCGCAAACAGTCGAATATTTCTTTTAAAAGCTTCTTCGTCTGCAAAATCTTCATTAGACCAATGCTGAAATGATAAGAATTTTGCAACTATTTTATTCAAGTGTGATTGAAGATGTTTTTCGACTCTAGACGCCTCTGAAAGCTTATCCTTTGTTTGATTTAACTGATTTTTAAGCGATATTTCTGATTCTTGGATCTTATTCTCTTTCAACGAAAGCCCTTCTAATTTGGATGGATTTTTTTGTATTCTTTTCTCTAAATTAACTAGCATTTCATTATAATCATTTATCAATGTCTTCAAATTTTCAGCCTGGTCATCTAGCTCAGTCCCTTCTTCTTGTAAGTTTGATGATATCTTAGCTTGTTTGCCTATAAGTTCATTCACTTCTTTTGAGGCTGTTGATATTCCAATTACATCATTTTTACTTGGAATGTATGAAATCTTCGAGTAAGTATCGTGTAAAGCGAGGATCCTCATCTTCCTTTCTAATTCACTCTCCCCTGAATCTAATTGTGCCTCTAGTCCTTCTTTCAATGTTTTTATAGCCTTATCTGCCTGTTTGGAGAATGTTTCTGTATTTTCAATGTCTTTTTCTAACTCGTTCAAATAAACAAGTTGGACATCGTCCGACCGAACAGGACTCGGTGAATCAACCTTTGGAGTTGCCCTCTCGGACAATATAGCTTTTACCTTGTCTAGCTTTGACCCTGGCATCCGGATATTATATAATTTGGCCCTAAAGTTGTGAAAGGGTAACTTTCAGTGTTTATCCAAAATATCCGTACATCTATTTCTGAAAATTTTTGGTAGGGAAAAAAAACTTGAAATCGAATACTGATGAAAAATAATATAATGAAGAATTCCTTGAGTAAGTTCTTATTTATACATTGACGATGTCTTCGATTTCTACTGCTGCTTTGCAAAACCTTGACGAATCTTCAAGAAAGGAGATCATGCAATTTGTTGAATCTGAAAATTCCAAATCAAAGGTTCAAATGTCTATTCACAACTTCACTGATATGTGCTTCAAGAAATGCAATAAGGACAAACCAATACTCAGTGCTGATTTAAACAGTGGTGAAGAGCAATGTTTAACTAATTGCTTGAACAGATTCTTGGATACCAATATCAGAGTGGTTCAAGCTTTACAAGGAGTTCAAAAATAGATTTCCTACGATCATATATATTAAATAGTTGTACATTCCTTTAATCTTGTAAATATACATTCCGGTTTCCTATGTTGTTCATTATTCGTAAGTTAAATAGAGAAGATTTCATTTATTTGAGGAGTATGCGTACTTATCTTATGTACGTCATCCTTTAACTCCTCTAATTTGTTAATGGACTTGCAAATATCTTTCAATACTTGAAATGCAATTTTGATATTACTAGTATCAAATTCATAACTAGTTTTTTCTAATCTTTTGATTAGTATGGTCCATGCAGCCAAAAAATCATACCTATAGTTTAATATTAAGCTCATAGCTTCGGGATCGTTTAAACTTTGCACGGCTCTTAATATTTTTAATTGAATTTGTATGGCGGCATCGATGAGCTGAGTTCCCTTGGTCTTATCTATCGTGAAAGGACTGGTGATTGTTTGACTGAGTATAAAGTTGACTCTTGATAAACAAACGAGAATGTTTTCTTTCAAATAAAATTCTATAATTACACCAATTTGTTGTATGAGGAGAATATTCAAGTCTACCATATGTTCATCCACTCTATCTTGAATATGAGAAATGGAAGTTAAGATGTTCCCATTGATGATATCCACGAATTCTCTTAATGTTTCCTTCGATTCATCATTCAAACTAACCAACTCATAAATTACTGGGTATGCATTTGATAAAATAAATATTGACTCCTCTACGGGGGTCAATTGTGGTAAATAAGATAAGCATATCTTAACAGATTCGATGAATAAATCCTGTAACCCAGTTTTAACTAGGAAATGGGTTTGGCCGGGAATTGGATGCAACTTTTCAACGAGAAATTTTAAAAGCTTACAACCTTGCACCTTGAACAAGGCCTCGTGATCATCGAACACATTTAAGATGAACGATGTTATTAAGGGCCAGTATTCATTGTAATGAGACTTGGACGAAGAAACGTAGATGGTGAACCAAACCATTGATAATGACCGGATATCCGAGGATGTCTTGAAAGTTTTCCTTACATCTTCACTATTGATGCTTTCATTTATTCCAGAGAAGCCCAATTTAGGTCGGAGACCACCATGCAATAAAGACTTGTTGTGAGTTTTAGCAACTGCATAACCTGAGCCCGAAACATTGGGGTTTGCAAGTGAAAAATCCGATTTTTTCAAATTTTTCTGAAACGTCAAAAGGGTTGGTTTCAAGTCTTCATATACGAAATTCAAAATGTTCTTTTCGATTAACTCCTGAATGCCGTTTTGGTTCAATACATCCTTTAAGATTTCTGAATTCATGTTGTTGCTCCAAGGCACATTTGGATTGATATGATAAGAGAGAGCAATCACTAATTTCCATGCCAGTTCCTCAGATTTGGGGTGAAGTTTTTCAACCAATATACGCAAGATTCTTATTTTATAATAGTTACTTGATACTATGTCAAAATCATGCTCAAGCCAATTCCATTGATGATCCGGTATCTCCAATGATTTAATCAACTGTTTGCTGATTTCAAGTAATTGTTCCTCATCGTTAGCAGAAATAAGTAATGTTTCAAGTATGAAGTATGCAGATTTTGGTAATTGATGCAAGTCAATCGAAGATAATTCAAGATGGTTATTATCAATCTCAATCTTTAATTTGTGAACTTGATCTTCCGATAGCCTCTTGTCTAGAACCAGTTCCCTGTCTATAGCCAACTTCCCTGTTATAAATTCCCACGGTATAGGCATTTTGTCTCAGAAATCACTCGTAATGATAGAACAAGAGATGGTGTTACTGAAAAAAATGAAAATGAAAAAAAAAAAAATCAAAAAAAAAGTTCGTATTGAGAAAAAACCATCAAAACCAAGGAACCCTTTAGTTAGATAAGTACATCTATGATGATTAGATTGCCGAGACGTGCTTTGGGGTATTCCCGTTTCACTAGAAACTTTTCAATTAAAGTTTCAGAGGAAATTAAACAAGCTCTTAATGATAAGAAGAAACCAGTTGTATCGCTTGAATCAACTATTATAACCCATGGGTTACCATTTCCACAAAACTTAGCAATGGCAACTGAAGTTGAAGATGTTATACGTGCTAATGGGGCAATTCCTGCTACTTGTGCTTTTATTGATGGTGTTCCTTATGTGGGGCTTAATGGAGACCAATTGAACAGACTATCAGAGGAAGCCATCCATGGTAAGATCAATAAAGTTTCACGTCGTGACATTGGATATACAATGGCCCAAAAACAATGTGGTGGGACCACTATTGCTCTGACAATGATCTTATCGAATATGGCGGGTATAAAAGTCTTTGCAACTGGAGGTTTAGGAGGAGTTCATAAGGACGCTCAGCTTACAATGGATGTTAGTGCTGATTTGACTGAGTTAGGGCGAACTCCTGTTTCAGTGGTTTGTGCTGGTCCGAAATCAATTCTTGATATAGGATTGACTATGGAATACTTAGAGACCCAGGGTGTCTTTGTTGGCACATATAATGAAGAAGGGATACCAAATATCGATGTGCCGGGATTTTACTGTCGCCAGTCTGGTATCAAATCACCGTATTCCTTTCAAACTTTTAAGGAAGCAGCTTCCATTATCCATAATCAGAATAATGTCATGGGTCTTCAATCTGGGAACCTCATGTGTATTCCACCTCCAGTTGAATTCGCTTTATCTTCAGATTTCATCAACGGTATAATCGAGGCCGCCAATCTTGAAGCTAAGCAAAAAGGAATATCCGGGAAGCAATTAACTCCATATTTATTGTCTAAAATTGCCCAAGATACTAATGGTAGATCTGTCGAATGTAATGTCAAATTTGTGCTTAATAATGCTAAGTCAGCAAGTGAGATTGCGAAAGAATTACTTCGTTTGGAGACCAATGAAATAACGGTACGTATCTAGAGCATGATGGGCTACTCTGTTCTTCTGCTTTTAACGGGGACATTTACTAATTCCAATAGGAGAATGTTACTTTCCAACCATCTACAAAATTATCGAAGAACAAGACCATTGATCAAAAAGTAGAGCATCAAGATATAGTCGATACGATTATAATCGGGTCAATTGCGCTCGATACCATCAGTAGCTTAAATTCCAAGACAATGAATGATTCGAATCCGGGAAAAGTGAGCTCATCTATCGGAGGTGTTGGATATAATACCTCTCTAGCTTACAACTATGGAAGTCAATCAAAACTGCCATTGCCTACTTATAGGCTTATTACTGCATTAGGAGATGATTTTGCAGGACATTCGATTATTAAGCAATTACAAGATGAAAAAATCGATACTAGTGGTATATATATATCAAAGGAGCACCGCAGTGCTCAATACGTATCGATGCATGACAAACAAGGAGATTTGGTTGTTGCATGTGCTGATATGAACATTGTTGAGCAGGATTTTATGATTGAACATATAAAGAAGGAATTAGCCCGAGGCAAACCAAGACAGGTTATGTTCGATTGTAATATATCCCCTAGTGCAATGAATGAAATCATGGAGCATATAAGGAATGAATTGCCAGAAGCCAAACTTATCATTGAACCAACCTCCTCGCCAAAATCACGCAGAATCTCCCAGGTAAGTTCGAGCTGTTTGAAGACGTTCCCATCAAACACTATTCTGTTAATCACCCCAACCATGAACGAATTGGAAAGCATCTATGAATCATTTGCGTCGAGAGAATTATTTGACGATTACGATAATTGGTTCCCAGTGCTCGACTCATTAGGAATCAACTCTGAGTTCAGAGACAAGATAAATAATTTATCCAGGAGACATGAAATAGTTAAAACGATGGTTGAACGAGGAACTTTCCAACAGTCGTTTCAATTATTACCGTATATTCCCAATATCCTCGTCAAGTTAGGCGAACATGGAGTGATTCTTATTTCCATCAATAAAAGTATTGAAGATTTCAAATCGATACCAACCACTTCCAAGTATGCCCCAACGTTTACATTAACGTCTACCGGCAGGGAGTTTACGGAAGACAACGACCAAAAACAATTGGGTATAGTGATCCAGTATTTTACGATCCCAAAAGAGAATGAACATTTGAAAATTGTCAATGTCACTGGTGCTGGAGATTCTTTTATTGGCTACTTGAGTTCGAGCATGATCACCGGTGAAGATTGGTTGGCATCAGAAATCGCCAATGTCGAGCAAGAATGGGCGAAATGGGAAGGTTTATACAAGTCCCAGTTGGCCAGCGGGATGTCATTATGCTCTTCCCGAGCCATAAGTCAAGAAATTAAGAAAATTACCTGAGTAGTTGCAAAAAAGAAACTTTAGTAGAATACATTTTTGCATTTTTTGAGAAGTTTATTACAAATTCCACGATTTCTGTAGATGTGCGGAAACAAAAGCGAACAATCCAATTAAATAAAAGAGAAAAGTCATCCATTCCTTCATTTACAACAATTTATCGCTATAATGTTTACCAGACCAGCCAGTAGACTCGGTGTGAGACTACTTACTCGTTCGTTCCACCAATATGCCAGGCCCCTGATCCAAAGAAGCAATTTCCTGTGGAAAACGGTTTCATTACTCACGTTAGTTGGAGGAGGAGCTTACTTGAATAATTCGATTAAACTAGATGATTCTGCCAATGAAGACTCTGTGGCGGTCGATAAGTCGATCGACCCGTTCCCTCTTGGTTTGCGTAACAAGACCAATCTCCATGAAGACTACTTATTATTGGGACACGGGGTTCGTAGTGTTACGTTTCTTGGATTCAAAGTGTACGGGATTGGGATATACTTAGCAGAAAAAGATTTGGTCAAGGTCAAGAAGTTATTAGCACCCGAATGGTTATCTACTTTTGGTACCGAAAACCATAGTTTAAAAGAGTTATTGGAAGACCCAAACACAAGTCAAGATATAATTGAAAGATTGATTGATAATGGGATTAGATTCACGGTTAGAATTAGTCCGGTACGTAACACTGATTTTGGTCATTTGAGAGATGGGTTGGTCAAGTCTATTTTAGCTCATACTAAGGCCAAGGAGTTGAAAGAACCAATAAGTGAAGGATTATCTGAATTACGTCAAGTTTTCCAAGGCTTCAAAGGATCAGTGCCTAAGAATCATTTACTATGGTTAGAGTTTGAAAATGGTAACTTGAATGTCAGTTACGAAAACCCTGCTAAAAAGGTAATTAAAGAAATGGGATCCGTTAAAAATCCTTTGATCGGTAAGACTTTGATGCTTCAGTATTTGAGTGGTGCTAAGCCGTTACTGGAACCATTAAGAAAGAGCTGTATCGAGGGTTTAGACCGGTTGTAAATAGGTATATAGATTCAATATACTCGATTCATTGGTCAAACCCCGGAAAAATGTCATGGAAGGATCTTATTTTTTCCAGGCGTATAAATAGAACAAACCCCGATAAACCGTTGAGTAAAACAATGGACGTTGGGCTGGACGGTTTGGGGCCGGACTATGAAATGGGAAGTATAAAAGGAGTCCATGAACCGGTGAGTTTATCGAATATTCATTACAAACCACTATACCAATACAAAGCAAAATGTTAAGAGTCGCTGCTGATAAAACCGAATTTAAATATGATCAACTGGATAAAATCATCATGTATGATTTAGCCTTCAGTCCATATCCTTCAAGAGTTCATATTGCTTTATATGAAAAGGGATTACACGATTTAGTTGAAACCAAGACTGTTGATTTTTTCAAAGGAGAAAATAAACAAGAATGGTTTAAACAAAAAAATTACTCTACTAGTTTACCAGTCTTTGAATTCAAAGATGGTAGTTGTTTATCTGAAACCATATCCATGATTGAGTTTATTGACAGGTTGGGTGAACCAACCTTGACTGGGTTCAATATGATGGAACAATCAGTTATTTCAATGATGACTAGAAAAGTTGAAAATGAAATCTTGGGTGCTTTTGTTCAGTATTTCCGTAATGCACAAGAAAACCCCCAATTTGCTGAAACCCAAAAGACCAAGGTTTTAGATGGGCTCAAGTACGTTGATGGGATCTTGAGTGCCAATGAGTATGTTTGCGGGGATAGATTTACCCAAGCAGATATTGCGTTGGTTGGTGCTTTTATTCTTGCTGATATGATCAAGTTTGAAGTTCCAAAACACCAAGCTTTATGGAAATGGTACACCAAGGTTTGTGAACGTCCAAGTATCAAGACCCACTACCAAGCCACCAACAAGCAATTACCTCAATAAATAGTTATATAAACAGCTTATATATACACGTTCTTATCACGTATTAGCGAAAAAAATGTCAGTAAACGATGTATATCGTATTAAGCCGTATTATGGTTATACGGTGAATGTACATAAACGCGTGAAATTTCCACGTTTTAACCCACGAGATACTTACACCGTGTTAGTTATAAAAGAAAAAATGTATTAAAGGATTCGTAGGAATCAGTAGAGGAAGTAAAAGTATATTACATAGATAAGTTAAAACAACTTACATAATAATGGCTTCATGTTCAACATTAGAAGAAATTGATTTGTGAGGTAAGACTTTAGCACCATTAACGTAAATTTCATTTTTAACTTCAACGTCATCACCCAAAACGGTGACCCCTTCAGTTCTAGCCCATTTACCAACTCTGGAGTTCCAACCAACAATGGTTGATTTAACCCAAGCGTGATCTTTAACTTCCGAGTTAGCTAATAAGACCGATCTTTGAATTCTAGCACCTTCACCAATGACAACGTTTGGACCAATGGTAACGTTTGGACCAATCAAGGCCGAAGGATGGATTTTAGCAGAAGGATCAATCAAGACATTACCACCATGAACGAATTTTTCGTTAGATAATTTTTCTGGATGTCTTTTAGATAAAGAGTTCAAGTATAAACAAGTACCGGATAAGAAATCTTTTGGTTGACCAACATCCATCCAGTAACCTTCTAAATCAAAAGAGTATAATTGTTTGTTTTCAACCAAAATAGGGAAGGTTTCCTTTTCAATTGAAGTTGGTTTCATATCGATTAAATCAATAACGGAAGGATTCAAGATATATAACCCGGCGTTAATTCTATTACCGACGAATTCAACTGGTTTTTCAACAAAACGGTCAATCAAGTTTTCGACGTTTCTATCGTGGACAATAACCCCGTATTTAGAAGGTTCGTCAACTTTAGTAGCAACAATAGTACCCTGAGCACCGTGGTTCTTATGGAAAGCAGCCAATTCTTTGAATGGATAATCACAAATGACATCAGAGTTTAAAACGAAAAATGGACTATCGTCTTTTTTCAAAACTTTTTCTGCCAATTTCAATGGACCAGCAGTACCCAAAGGTTCTTCTTCCACCGAGAAAGTAATCGAAACCCCGTATTCTTCTTCGTATTTCTTCAAAGTACTAACCATAACCTCTGGTCTGTAGTTAACAGCCAAAACAATATCGGTAACACCAGCAGCAGCCAAAGCTTCAATTTGATGTAAAATCATTGGTCTATTACCAAATTCAACCAATGGTTTTGGTAAAGTTAAAGTTAATGGTCTCAAACGAGTACCATATCCACCGACTAAAATCAAACCTTTCATCTTTGTAGAGTAATATTTATAAACTATTAAAGTCAAAGAAGAAATAAATGAAAACTGAAATAATTTAAACTGGAATTAGCACGTATTTATAGTATTGAAATGAACAACAAACTGCCAAAAGAAAAGAACGAAAAAAAAAATTTAAAAACACCGCCTAACAAAACAAAAAAAACCGTGCAAAAAAAAACAAAAATAAAATCTGACAACTGGTTTTTTGTTCAATTTGGACACACAAGCACGATTCCCAGTATGCACTCAGACCAGATGAACTGATGAATTAGGAACTGATGAACCAGGAGGCCAGGCCAGTAGGCCAGTAGGTCAGTAGGCCAGTAGGTCAGTAGACAGGCGAGTAGCCAGGCCAGTAGACTGGCCAGTAGGCAGGTGGGTACGGGTAGTAGGTGTGGCAGTACCTAGGCGAGGCTCGAGGTATTACAAAAGCATCACTGGTACCTTTCCGTTTATTGTTACGGCTGGCCGTTGTCGGATTGTTCCGCATACTACAGTCGAGTCGGATAAATTACTGATGTTTCAGTAGCTTTGCATACTGAAATTACTGCAAGTGAAGATGAAATGGGTGAGATGTAGATGAGGTAGATAATGAGGTAGATATAATGAGGTAGATATAGATGAGGTAGATATAATGAGGTAGATATAGATGAGGTAGATATAATGAGGTAGATATAGATGAGGTAGATATAATGAGGTAGATAATGAGGTAGATAATGAGGTAGATAATGAGGTAGATAATGAGGTAGATAATGAGGTAGATAATGAGGTAGATAATGAGGTAGATCTATGGTATGTTAGAACATTTTGAAGCCTCGGTTGTACCAGATGGCCCGCCAGGTGACTAGAAGAAGGACTAAACTCAAGAGTAAGCTCCAGGAAGTAGTATTGAAATAGCCATTTAGGCAAAACTGGGATTCACAGTAGTCGACGGTTTTACCGTAGCTAATCGAGTATATGATGGATCCTAGTGCTGGAGCCAACATCAAAGACCCCCAGGTAGATCCCATTATATCGATCCCCCAGATGCTGGCCACTATAGTCGGGTATATGGTGAAGATCCCTCCGTAGCTCGCTCCGTTCAAGACCGAAATGTACTTGAAATCAATGAGTCCGCTTTTAACAAGAGCAAACTGGCCCAAGGACCCCATAAGAATAATAAGACTTAGCAACCAAGTACGATTGATTGGGTATTTGCGATCATCTGAACTTAGGTAATCGCTTAAGCCTCCCATGAGTAGTCTGGTGATTGTAGACGAAGTGGCCAAGATTCCAATTTGATCGGATAAGTTGGTTTGAATTGGATGAGCAGTGTTTTCAATGATCGAGCCTAAGTTATTTTGGAACGATTCTAAAGGACCAAGGTTTAATATTAAGGAAACTAATAGCAACCAGCTGGATTTGTCCTTAACGAAGTTCTTAAATCTCTGACCGTGATTAACTGGTTCCACAACGCTTCTTTGGGGAATCAAGTCGTCTTCTTCCAATAAAGGAGTTGACTCATTAAATAAAACCTGCAGCTCCATACTAACTATTGAATTCGATACGAAATTAAGTATTCCGATAATGAAATATAACCCGGAGAAAAACCCAAATACCTTGGACAACTCCAAGTATCCGTTTGGTTTAATAAACACTGGTAATTTCATGATTTGACTGCCGATTAACGTCGATAACCCATAACAACTAACCGGTAACGAAATGGCCAAACCTTTATGATTAGGATAGATCTTAGCACACGTTAATAAACTAGCAAAATATAACGAGCTAGTGGCCAACCCAATCAAACAAAAATTAAGCGCTAAAATGTATAAATTCAACCTGGAAGAAGGACCCGAGATAATTAAACTGTTAACAAAGTAACTTGGACAGAATAACCAAATCAGAATAATCGATAATAACGCCGGGCCATAGCAATCGGCCAAATATCCCAATACCGGTAAGCATAGGTACATTCCAATAGCCAGTAACGACGCAATGAAATTGATTTCCAAGTATGAGTACGACATGGAATCGTGAATAGAAGTAGCAAATAACGAAAATAACATTATTGAACCCAGAGATAAACATGCAAATAATGCAATGACAAATGCAATAAGCTTCAACCGGTCGGTCGAAACATGTTTGGAAAGATAAGTCCTTGTATGGTGGGTTAGTTTATTCAACATGGTGAATAACCAGTAAGTGAAAATCTCAAATCTCATTTGCACATATACATTTTTCAGCTAGACATTTTTCACTTCTTCATAAATACACTACATTTTAATGATTACAAGCTAGCCATTACGTTTTTACATATATTCGTCTACTCATCAGGTTATAAATAAGTTAAAAATCTATCTACTTCACCTTTTGAACCTAACCAAATACCAGATTTATCGTGGATTCCCTTTGGTAACAACTCTAAAATACGCTCTCCTTTATCATTAACAGCAGCACCTCCAGCCTGTTCCATCAACATGGCCATGGGGAAACATTCATATAATATTCTTAATTTCCCGTTTTTAGACTTGGAATCTCCAGGATACGAGAAAATCCCCCCGTATAATAAAGTTCTATGAATATCAGCAACCATGGACCCGATATAACGGGCAGAATATGGTTTACCCTTTAATTCATCTTGGGGTTTTTTCAAATCCTCGATATACTTCTTGAAATTATCTGGCCAGTAGTAAGAGTTACCTTCGTTAACCGAGTAAATAGCCTTTTTGTTTGGAATTTTCAAGTTTGGTTGGGTTAAAATGAATTCTCCCAATTGGGTATCCAAAGTAAATCCATTAACTCCAAATCCAGTGGTCAACATCAAATGGGCCGAGGCACCATACATAGTATAACCAGCAGCAACCATTTCAGTACCACGACGCAACACGTCTCTAATCGATCCGGTGGACGAATCATCCAAACGGTAAATACCAAAAATAGTCCCCACCGAAACCCCGGCATCAATATTGGAAGAACCGTCAATTGGATCGGTACAAACGGCATAACGTCCTCCTCCTTCAAAAACAATAAGGTCTTCTTGTTCTTCAGAAACCAAAACCTTGACGTTATTAGAGGATTTCATGGCATTGATGAAAATCTCGTCTCCAATAACATCCAATTTTTTTTGAACATCCCCGGTGGAATTGGCAGTACCACTGATCCCAATCAAATTAACCAATTCGGCTCTTCTGATATTATGGGCAATAAATTTAAATGCAAATTGTAAAGAATTCAATAAAAGAGATAATTCCCCAGTGGCAGTCGGTGCATACTTTTGTTGTTCTTCTAGAATAAAACGGGTCAAAGTAACAATGTCGGTATCGACATTCATTTGATCGGAAACTGAGTGATGATTATCTGGCATTTTGTATATATAATAACTAATAAAATTAGCGAATAATCCATCTGCTAAACTATGGAACTACCCCATACTTTATACTCGTCCCGGCAGCAAACGGAATCACAGGGTAGTTGCTAACCCACCGCACTTAAAGCCAACCGCGCACTGTTTACGATTTTTGCCGGGTCGAAAAACCTTAACAAACGAAAAAAAAAATTCCTTCAGATCATTTGTTCCATAAAACATGCCGGTCAAATGGCAATAATTGCTTACCAGCACCAGTTTTATTAAGGGCAAGGCAGTGAGTTGTTCATTTGTTCATGAGGTCTCGACACTGCCGTCAGTTACACAACAATATAATCATCATACACAATGTAAACGAGACTAGGGTAAGCTAATGTAAACGAGACTAGGGTAAGCTAATGTAGTCAGCTTTGGCAGCTGATATTCTGAAACTGTACGGAGGTTTTTTTGTTTTGTTTCTACTGCTGGGGAAAAGGAAGGGAATGTACCGGTAACCGCACGCCCCGTAGATGCACGGAGCTTCCTCGGATTCTTTATTTTTTTTCGATGTACGGAGGTTTGAAATTTTTTCGAACACGTCAAGCAAATGTTTTTTCCGTTTTCGAGTGAATCAATGAAAAATGAAAAATGGAAATTTGAAGTGATTATTACCAACTTCAAGTTACTTATCCAACACGATGGGATTTAGAGTATTAGATTTGATTAACCCATTCACCCCGTTTCTTCCAGAAGTGATTGCGCCAGAACGTAAAGTTGCCTTTCAACAAAAGGTGATGTGGACTGGGGTCACATTATTGATTTTTTTGGTAATGTCAGAAATTCCACTTTATGGGATAGCATCAAGTGATGGGAGCGATCCATTATTATGGTTGAGAATGATGTTGGCTTCCAACAGAGGGACGTTGATGGAATTAGGGATTTCCCCCATTGTTTCGTCATCAATGGTCTTTCAGTTATTACAGGGTACCAAAATAATCCAAGTTGATATGAATAATAAAGCTGATAGAGACCAATTTCAAATTGCTCAAAAATTATTTGCTATCTTGTTAGCAATTGGACAAGCTACCGTTTACGTGTTGACTGGGATGTACGGCCCACCAAGCAACTTGGGTATTGGGGTTTGTTTATTGTTAATTTTGCAATTAGTATTTGCATCCATTGTTGTTATTTTATTTGATGAGTTATTGCAAAAAGGTTACGGTTTAGGTAGTGGTATTTCATTATTCACCGCCACCAATGTATGTGAACAAGTTTTCTGGAAAGCTTTTGCTCCCACTACTTCAAACGTTGGTAAAGGAACCGAATTCGAAGGTGCAGTGGTTGCATTATTCCACTTATTAGGATCAAGAAGAGACAAAAAGAGAGCATTATTAGAAGCTTTCTATAGATCCAATTTACCAAATTGCTTCCAATTATTAGCCACCATTCTTGTATTTTTCAGTGTTGTTTACTTACAAGGTTTTAGAATTGAATTGCCAGTTAAATCAACTAGACAAAGAGGACCTTATGGATTATATCCAATTAGATTGTTCTATACTTCCAATATCCCAATCATGTTACAAAGTGCTTTAACCTCAAACATTTTCATTATTAGTCAAATGTTATTCATTAGATGGCCAAATAACTTATTTGTGAAACTTTTGGGTAGTTGGGGCCAAAGATCAGACCAATCTTCTCAATTATACGCCATCAGTGGATTAGCTTACTATATCCAACCTCCAATCAATTTAACCGATGCTTTATTAGATCCAATCAAAACTTCGATCTATATAGTTTTTGTTTTAGGTAGTTGTGCTATTTTTTCAACTACCTGGATCGAAATTAGTGGTTCCAGTCCTCGTGACGTTGCCAAACAATTCAAAGAACAAGGTTTGGTGATTGCTGGCCATAGAGATACTTCTGCTTATCGTGAATTGAAAAAAATCATTCCAACCGCAGCTGCTTTTGGTGGGGCTACCATTGGTGCTTTATCAGTTATTTGTGATTTAATGGGTACTTTGGGTAGTGGGACTTCCATCTTATTGGCGGTCACCACCATCTATGGTTATTTTGAATTGGCTGTTAAAGAAGGTGGGTTAAATAAATCCTTAGTTAGTGGATTCAGTGATGGTATTTAATCTCTAGTGTATCTTACAATAAAAATTTAATCGTGAAGCATTACAGCTCAACAGAGATGCTCGTAATTCCGTATTGTCTTCTAAGCTCGCTGCTTCCATGAAACTCTTGTTAAAGCTTATTCTTGTACATTTATACGTTTATACATTATACATAAATTAATCCAGTTTCATCTTTGCAACCATGACGTAAACCCATACACCCACCGAAAAACCCCCTCCCCTCTCCCCCCAATCGGGGCCAGCTGCGCATGAAGACTTGCCGTTTTGAGTCAGCGGTTTGTACTATTTCAGCTACGCAAAAAGGTCTTGGCGCGAAAATAGACCAAAAACAAAAAAAAATAATCGAAGATTGCACAAAAAAAAAGGGACAAACTAAAAAATAAGCCTTGAAAAATAACACCTAGCAAGAAAATAAACTGGCTCAACAGAAGGATCTTTTTAGGCGCGTGCAGATGGTCCCCGAGTTCCGAGGGGAGCAGTGTCTCACAAGCTGCTCCTTCTGCTCGTTTCACGTTCCGGGGGGACGCACCCCACCGGATCTCATCCAGCCTTTTTTTTGCAGGTTAGATATCCCCGATGACCCCGTACTGCCAGAAACGAAACGAGAAAAAAAAATCTTTAAATCTTGAAATCTCAACTGATCACACTACCAAGTGCTCAAAAGGGTCAGTGGACTTGTAGACTGGTAGACTGGTAGACTGGTAGACTGGTAGACTGGTAGACTGGCAGTCTTGGAGGCTCGGTGGATACGGCAAAGTAGATTTGGTAGACTCAGGAGGCAGACCAGATAAGCTAAGTTTGTGATCGGAGCGTGTAATACACGACAGGCTTTGAATATAAGGCAAAACTTACCAAAACAAACAAGAAGCTTTTTTTTTTTTTTGTTCTTTTCTTTTTTCTATTTCAAATTCAAAGATAATCCTTTATAAAACTAGTGAAATCTCATCATTCTAAAATTAATCAAATAACTTGTTTTAAACAAATTATCCACTCGCTTATCAAAAATGGGACCGTACCCAGGTTCGAATAACCAACAGTCGGTAATAAATTCGATATTCAAACGATTATTTAATCCCAAGATCATTAAATTTATAATTGCCATAGTGGCCGTTATAAACATTTTTTATATCACTAGTTTATTAGTTGATGATAAATCATCCAAGACCATCACCAATCGATTGAAGTATCATGCTACTAGTGTGATTGATAATATTGATAACTTGTATAATGGGAATGAAGAACAAAATGAAGTTGAAATTTCCGAACAAATGCCCAAAACTTCAGTTATCCCCAAACCAAAAGTTGATCAACAACAAGAACATTCAAACGATAAACATCTTTATCCAGTTCCGGAATTACCGTATGATCAACTTAATGATTCCGATAAGATTTTATACAAATTGAATCAAATTACTCTTGATAAAGAAAAGTATTGGTTGGGGCACACCGAGTTAACGGATCACCAATTAGAAATTAAAATTAGTGATTTTGTTAAATCAAATTGGATTGATAAGCCATTATTATATTACGATCCTAGATTTACTCTTTCGGTGTATATAAATGAAATTAAAAATCAATATTTGCACAAAAATCCAAATAATGATAAGTTTAAACTACATGAAATTGTGGTGCCATTTGCATGGAGTGATTGGGTGGATTTAACAATGTTAAATCATGAATTAAGTAAACCAGAGGGGAAAAGAAAGAATTGCGAATATATGAAGGCAGTCCATCATATACCGGCTAAAGATCCAAATTATTGTGTCAATAATCTAGATTTAACTAATGAAGATTTAAAAGAGATGAAATTACCATCAACAAAATTTGTTCCAGGATTTGCAGTTAAAAAATCACCAACAAATAAAGCATCAAATGAAGTAAGAATGCTTGAAGGTAAAAGTCATTTATTAACATACGCTGATTTACCGTTGAGTATGATTTTTTTAAGTAAAGATGGAACTTATGAAGCGAAAATTGAAAATAAAGAAAGAATTGTTGATGGGAATTTGTTTGAAAATTATTTGAAAAATAATCAAATTCAACATAATGACCAAGATCAAAAATTGATTATGGATCCAGTATTGGAATTCAACGATTTTGTATCAAAAGTTAAACCAAATGTTATTTCACCAGAAGATGACGAATACGGAATGGTTGAGAAATTGAAAAATTCTAAACCAAACGATTCAAAAGAAATCTATTTACCAGAAAGTTCTTTCAATTATCAACAAGATAAAATCGATGAACAAATTGCCAAATACGAATCTCGTATAATGAAATTAATTGATTCAACAACTAATGAATTAAAATTTGATCACCATACCATTAATAAAGAACGTTTAAGTAGAAATGAAAAATTGTATTTCAAAAGTTTGAAGTACGCCAATTCTTTTGAAGATACTAAAGAAGATACTTATTTCAGAATGGCTAGATTGAATTTTAATAATGAAGAAAATGACCATGATGCTGGATGGCATTATGAATGGAGATTTTTCAATGGGGCATTACGTTATTTAAAGGACGATTGGAATGCCGATGAGTTATTAATTCGTGAAAAAATTTTATTGGATCGTATTTTAAGAAATTGGTTTAGATTTGCTAATGAAAAGGGAATCATTAGTTGGATTGCCCATGGCCCATTATTAAGTTGGTATTGGGATGGATTACTCTTCCCATTTGATGAAGATATTGATATTCAAATGCCTGCTGAAGAATTAGCAAGATTTTCTAAATTATACAATCAAACATTGGTTGTTGAAGATTTAACTGAAGGTTTTGGGAAATATTTTATTGATTGTTCGACTTTTATTCATCATCGTTCTAAAACTCGTAATGAAAATCATATTGATGCAAGATTTATTGATATTGATACCGGATCATATATCGATATCACTGGATTAGGAATTAGCCAAGAAGCATATCCAGATAAATATAAAGGAATAGTGGAAGATCGAGAAAAACAAGGATTACCCAGACCAATTTATAATTGTCGTAATGCTCATTTCTATTCATATAACGAAATATCACCATTAAGATTTACCATGATGGGTGGAGTACCCCTTTATGTACCAAACAAAATTGATGATATCTTAAAAGATGAATATAGTATTGGAATGTCATCATATACTTATGGAGGATTCTATTTTGTTGATGCCATTAATTTATGGATCCATCAACTGAAGTTGGAATTTTTATTTAATGAAAAAGATTATAAAGAAAAAAATGAAATAAACATTGATAAATTTACAAACTTGGTTAAAAATATTAATGAAACTCAAGTTATACAATTATTAGATAAAGAAGAAGAAATCTTATTAGAATATTACTTAACTAAAGATGTCACCGATATTCATAAAAAGGAATTAACCTATTTATTTGATATGCCAAATGGTGAATCTACCAAAATTGGCGATATTGGTGCCGAAAAACCAGAATCAGTTATCAGTAATGATGAAAATTATCATAAGTTTACCCTGAACTTTAAATTTCAAAAACCTTTTAGAAGGCCCTTATTCAATTATGAAAACATTGATAGACCAAAGCATCATAACGACTAGCATATGTATATTAATAATATTGTATTATATTTTGTATTCTCCTTGAATTCTTGTATTTTGCATTCTGGCAGGTTTTGTATCGTATGTAAACAAACTTAATCTTGTACGTTTAATCCGTTTTGTAATCTACTCCCAGTAAACTTTGTAACGCATGGCTGGAGGCGAAATCCCACCCATTAAAACAGGCAAGTTGCTCGCCAAATTGGTCTAAGCTCGTAAGTTGACTGGTTTGGAAAATCTACGTCCACACCACGGCTTTTGCAGATGCTTTCACCGTTCCTACTAGTGGCTTCGGTTATCACAATGAAACGAATACCAAAACAATTCACTATTGAAATTTGCAGTGAAATTTGGCCTTTGCAAAAAGAAAAGTTTAGCATCGTGTGACCCCTGAAGGTTTACAGGTTAGCCTTTTGTGAGTTCCGGGGGCGCTCTGGGGCCATTGTTGGGCTGAATACAGAGGAACTGGCGTAGAGGATGAGTAGAAGTAGACGAGCAGAAGCCAGAGAGTAGAAGCCAATGAGCAGAGGAGCAGAGGAGCAGAGGTATATGGACAGAGGTAAATGGACAGAGGTAGATGAGCAGATGTAGCTGAAGTCGGTGAAGTAGGAAAGTGGTGATATGTACCTAGGGTCGATAATAGAAGGTGAGGCAAGAAAGGTCGTGTGCTCGATGAAGTTGCCGATATTACATAAAAACAAATATATAAAGAAGGAAATCCATCACGAAGCTTGGAAAACAGCAGTGGTTGAGTAGAGGTAGAAGGTAAGAATGATTAACACTAGGTTTGTTAAGATATTCTTTGTGATTATCTTGGTGATCAATGTTCTTTACTTTACCAGGATATACACTATTGAAGAGACCAAGTTAAAACAGGCGGCTATTAATCATGTATCGTCAATAACATATTTCACTGATGATCAAATAACGATTCCGCAAGGGAAGAAGTATGAGGAGTTGAGTAATAAGGAGAAGGTGGCGTATCTTTTGGAAAACGTTGGAAAAGATGGATCAAATTATTGGTTAGCAAACACTAATTTATTAGAACCAAATTTGAAAATTAATCCAGCTGATTTCTTACCATCGTCGAATGAGAATCAGGAAACATGGGCCACCAAGTCGACTTTGTATTACGATCCAAGGTTTACTATTTCGGTTTACTTGAATGAAATTAAACATCAATTAATGACTCAAAACCCTCAAAATGATAAAGCATTGAATTCCAAGATTGTAGTTCCATTTAGTTGGTCTGATTGGGTGGATTTAACCTTGCTTAATGAAGAGTTGAGTAAACCAATTGATGACCGGGCTAATTGTGAATGGTTACAAAGCAAAATCAATAAACCAACCAAATATCCAAATTTTTGTCATAACTTGAAAGACTTATCTGAGGTTGAAATGGATAAGATTGGGTTCAAAGATAAAAAATATTTACCTGGTTTTGTTGTTGAAAGCTCGCCAATGAATAAGGCTCCTCATAAACAAGTTATGATGCAAGGGAAATCTCATTTATTAACTTATCAAGAAAATCCATTATCATTGATTTTCTTAACTAAACTGGGTACTTATGAAGCCCAGATTTCTGATAAACAAAGAATCGTTCATACTGAAATGTTTGAACATTACTTGGAACGTAAAAATATTAATGCTAATCATTTGGAAGATATTAATAATGAAATTATCTTAAATCCAGTTGATGAATTTAATGATTTATTGAAAACAATCCACCCAAGACCACTTGACTTGAATGATGATATTTATAAAATGAACTTAATCACTCGTCAAAAAGATATTAATGCTAGCAGAGAATTATATTTAGATACCGAAGCTTTCAATTATCAACAAGAACAAATTGATGAACAAATAAGAGATTATGAAATCAGATTGAATAAATTGGAAGAATTAATGACTAATGAATTACATTATGATCCAAAAGAAATTGAAATCAATGCTTTGAATAGACATGAATTAAATCATTATAATGGATTAAAATATTCAAATTCAATTTCCATCAATGATGAACCAACTTATTATAAATTAGCTACTCTTATCAAAGATAGCACTAATCAAGATGCTGGTTGGCATAACGAATGGAGATTCTTCAACGGTGCTTTACGTTATTTAAAAGATGGTTATTCAATGAAACATTTGGAAATTAGAGAACAAATCATTTTGGATCGTTTATTGAGAAACTGGTTCAGATTTGCTGAAGAAAAAGGAATCATTAGTTGGATTGCTCATGGTCCTTTATTGAGTTGGTATTGGGATGGTTTAATGTTCCCTTTTGATATCGATATCGATATTCAAATGCCAAGTGCTGAATTGAATCGTTTATCAGCTAATTATAATATGACTTTAGTTATTGAAGATATCTCCGAAGGTTACGGGAAATATTTAATTGATTGTTCAAGTTTCTTACATCATCGTGATAAAGCTCGTCAAGATAATGTTATTGATGCTAGATTTATCGATATTGATACTGGTACTTATATCGATATCACTGGGTTAGGTAAAAATAATGAAAAGCCTCCAGATGAATTTGATAGTTATATCAGAAATAAAAACTCTCAAGGTGAACCAATTGAATTATATATGGATCGTCGTAAACATTGGCTTAATTTTGAAAAAATTAATCCTTTAAGATATTCAATGCTTGGTGGAGTACCTCTTTATATCCCAAATGATGTCATGTCAATGTTAAATCATGAATATACTCAAGGTACTACTCTGTACTATTTCGATGGTTATTATTATGTTCCTTCAATCAGATTATGGATTCAACAAGAAAAATTAACTTTCCTTTTCGATGAAAAAGATTATAAAGATGGAAATGAAATTAATGTCGATAAATTCACTCAATTAGTTAAAACAATGAATGACGATTTAAAAGTTAAGTTATTAGAAAGTGATAAAGATATCTTGATTGAATATTATTTAACTCATCATTACACCTCTTTACATGAAATTGAAAAAAAATTAATGTTGGATCCTTCTTTACAACATCTGATTCTAGACTTAAAACATAATACCGATTATCATCAATTAACTTCCAAATTTAAAATGGGTAAACCTTTAAGAAAACCTTTATTCGATTATGAATATATTGAACGTTTGAGACACGATGAACATAACCCAGTTCCAGAACCCCAAACCGAAACTGAAAATCAAAATGATAACCAAAGCAACAACGATACCAACGATAACAAAAACGATAATAAAGATAATCAAGATAATAAGGATAATATTAAGGAAGATAATAAGAATGAAAATAAAAACTAACTAATCTTTTTGCATTTCTAATTTAATTTATGTATTATATATGGCTTAAGAGCATTTAATAAGTATTCAATTCTACATACTTCATAGTACTTTCGTCTTGTAAACCCATCTATTGGCAGCTTATTGGAGTGTGCAGTGCACGTACCGATATGGTTTATCAAAAAATCTTATTTTTGAAAAGTACCAGAGACACCAACTGCTATTCACAGCGAACATGAGTTACTTACGAAGCTCTATGAGACCATGGGTTGCAATCAGAAGCGTTTCAAGAGGCTCGATTGTTTCCCCGTATATTAGCCGTGCCGCTTCTACTACAACCAAAGCAAGCACAACTAGTTCTTCAACCCAACCAACTGGGTCAACCGTGACTTCATTGAATGATTCTCCCGTTATACTCGGTGGCAATCAACCAGAAGGTCATATCAATTGGTCAGATTCCTTTCATGGATTAGGAGGAGCACCATTCTCCAAAGAAATTAGTGATATATTGTTAGCACCATTAGTTAGTGAAGATATTGAAATCAAACCTGATGGATTACTTTATTTACCAGAAATTAGATATCGTCGGATATTAAATCGAGCATTTGGACCTGGAGGATGGGGGTTAGCACCAAGAACAGAAACATTGATTACTCCAAAACAAATAAGTAGAGAATATGCATTAATTTGTCATGGCCGATTAGTTAGTGTTGCCAGAGGAGAACAAGATTATTTTGGAGGAGATGAAAAAATCACTACTGCATTAGAAGGATGTAAGAGTAATGCATTAATGAGATGTTGTAAAGATTTAGGAATTGCCAGTGAATTATGGGATCCAACCTTCATTAGAAATTGGAAAAAGAAAAATTGTGATGAAGTTTTTGGAGAACATGTAACTACTAAAAGAAAGAAGAAATTATGGAAATTAAAATCCCAAAAAGGTTTAGATTATCCTTATAAAATGGTTTAAGTGTACATACAAATTGAGTAATCGTTAATTTATAAATTAAAGAATATATAAATATATGGTAAGAAAGAAAGGAAAATAAAACATTTCAATAAATAAAAAAGTATGAAAGATAATTCTAATGCACAAGGGGGATGATTACTTATGGTCTGAAAATACCACGACCTTCACCTAATTCTTCAACAGTTTGAGATAAAGGTCTTCTTCTCCAAACATCCCAGAATTGTTGTTTATGTAAATCTTCTTCAGTATTAGCCATAACGTGTTTAGTATCTCTACCAGCATAACTTGGAGATTGAGACCAAAGACAATGATCAGCAAATGCAGTAAGAGCAGCCCCGGTTAAACCAGTCAAGACCTTATGTTTAGCTGGCATTTGTTTGAAACCAACAGTTAAACAAGCTAAATTACCTGCTCCAACAGCGAAAAAGGTATTCCAAGCATCGTTCTTTTCTCTCAAATTAACAATTGATCCTTTAGCAAAAGTTGCAACTGTAGCAAATCCAACAAAACTTAATGGTATACCGACTTTAAAAGTGGTTCTTTTCCATAAGTATAACCATGCATAAGCACCAACAGTAGTATAAAAAGTTAATCTGAAAACTCTTAAAGTATTCTTTTTAGTATCAACTGGTTCATATGCTGGATAAGCACTGGCATTAGTCAAATTGACGAATGGCGATGGGAACTTGAAGGTGGCATCCGGGAATGCTTTGGCAACAGGCTGTTCAACAGCAGGAGTATCAGACATCTTTCAACTGGGTTTGTTTAATTACAACTCTCTTCCTAAGCTTATACCTTTCACTTTTTTTTTTTGGCTCGTTCAAAGGCCCAATCAGAAAATTTGATTTTTCATCAGAAAAACAGAAAGATGCACGTGATCGTAGTGCACGGGTGTTTTGTGTTGGGGTACGGAGGTTCTACGGTTGCAAAATGCTGCATTAACTACCCACCTTCTACCGAAACCTGTGAATATCCGTGCCGTTGGGTGTCTCTTCAGAGGCAAAGGGCGGATTCTGCGCTTTCCAACGGTGGTTTAAGTTGGTCCTACGGTAGAACGGTTCCTAAGGCTGGAATTTGCGTGGAAACAGCCCACGAAAAAACCTCCCAGGCTCCTGGGATCCTAAAGCACCTGCTCCAATACATTTTTGATGAATACAGTCGAAGCAGGGGGAGTAGTGGTGTATCAGAAGGTAACGGTATTGATGTACGGATGGTTTTGTAAACCACCTGATCTGGGCACCGCACACGACTTTTAATGAGGCAAAAAAAATTTTAATCAAAAAGTGAAAAAAAGGAAGAAATTGACTGTTTTCATACTTTTCTTGCAAGTTAAACATAAAGAATGAGTAAAGCATATACATTTACTGCGGTTGCCGCCGCAGCCACTGCTCTTGTTGGGTATGCAGTATACTTTGATTATAACAGAAGAAACTCGGTTGAATTCAGAAAAAAGATAAAGTCCAAATCCGTCAAACTTGAAAAAAAGAAGGCCGAAGAAAAAGAAGAAATCAAGAATGAACAATTGACTTTGATCAGAGAAGCCTTGAAAACTTTGGACGACGAACAGCCTCCAGTTGATATTAACGGTAAAGAAAACTATTTTATGGAACAAGTTTCAATTGGTGAAAAGAAGGCCACCGAAGGATCAGTTGTTGATGCCGCATTATGTTTCTATAAAGCATTAGAAGTTTATCCAAATCCAACCGATATTTTAGGCGTTTATCAAAAAACCGTTCCCCAAGATGTTTATGAAGCTATTATTATGATGATTGCTTTAAGACCACCAGCTTCAATTTCAAATGTTTTGGGTGATCAATTGAAAACCGTTAATACCAAACCAACCGAAAATGATTTAGATTAATCGTTATACTCTCCCTTATGTTATAATGTTCTTTCTTAGGTGTATGACTTAACCTTTCCCTATTCATATATTATCCCTTTGTATATATATCGACTATTCAACATGCACGAGTCTTTCAGATTCATTCATTCGTAGATGTTGCTAACTCGACTCGTTCGGATATTTTACGTTCAAGACCCTATGCAACAGCATCAGTAACTGTACCATTGCAAAGAGTTATAGATACTACCCCGAGCACCGGTCAATTCATCCCGTTGAGCCAGCAGATCACATCATGTCGAGCCAGCAGATCTCATCACGTCGAGCCGGCAGATCACATCATGTCGAGCCGGCAGATCACATCCCGTCGAGCCAGCACAGATCACGTTGAGCCAGCACATATCATACCTATCGTTCAACCAAACCAGCACGTATCAGCTAGACAACTGAGTGTGTTCACCAAAATGCAAAAAAGTAGTGTCCAATTGTAACCTCACACAATGTACGTAAATGGAAAGTAGCACTTTTTCAGTAGTAACTACTTTAAGGCAGTGTGGAACAAACTCGACAAGATGTGAAATTTATAAACAAATAAGACAGTCGAACAAAGTGTGGTGGAACAAAACCATTTGGATGGTGGGATGCTGCTGGGATCCGTGGGGGTGCTTACAAGGCTTGGAGAGTGGTCGTGAAGACCATTGATACTAACATCGAACTAAGGTTCTCGATTAGTACTCGGATTAATCGAAATAGGAATTTGCGTTTTCATAGCTGAAATACAGTTAGAAAGCAAGTTTCGAGCATTCTCCTCCCATGGTGGATTCGGGCTCTACTCTTGGAAGAATAAGTCTCGATACGTAATGAAATTGGTCAATTGGTTGGTCGATTGAATAAATTTTTTTTTTTTTTTTTGCAATTTTACATCAAGCCTCGAAATGGACTTTAGGGCTTTAAGTTGTCAGTTTAACGAGTAAGTTGTCGATTTAGCAAGTATACCCAGCAGTTGCAATAGTGGAAATAACACTAAAAACTCGTTTGAACCCTGAACATAGTTTTTGATGTGATTCTATTGTTTTTCTTAATGACGACTAGTTAGTTATTGTAATTCCGCTTCAACATGTTTGTAAGTCATTTGAGTTAGGGCCAAAGGATACTAACTCCCTTCTAAAATTGTCTTTGACAAAACTTGCTTGACGAAAGAGTGAAATTTATATATATATATATAGAGCTGGTTAACGGATAAATTAATGCTTGTTTAAAACCTATTTAAATCAAACTAAGCACTTATTGATTTCTTAATATTACTTTCGTTAAATTCAATTAGGAAATTATGAAGCTTTCTTTCGTTCAATTGACATCCTTATTAGGATTAGCTCAATCAGCTCTTTCAGCTCCTTCTGATTTCTCTTATCCTTTCACTTCAGATTATACTTCAAATAATTTCCAACACAAAGGGGTTTCTTTAGGTTCCTGGTTGGTTACTGAACCTTTCATCAATCCTACTCTTTATAACTCTACTGGTCCAGGTGATACTCCAGTTGACGAATATCACTTGACTAAAAAATTAGGTAAAGACCAAGCTAAAGAACTCTTATCTAAACATTGGGATACTTGGATTACTGAAGATGATTTCAAGAAAATTAAATCTTTTGGTTTGAATATGGTTCGTATTCCAGTCGGTTATTGGGCTTTCGAATTATTGGAAGATGATCCTTATGTTCAAGGTCAAGAAGAATATTTGGATAAAGCCATCGCATGGGGTCATAAACACGGTATTAAAGTCTGGGTTGATTTACACGGGGTCCCAGGTTCTCAAAATGGTTTCGATAACTCTGGTCTCAGAACTCCAGTTCCTGGTTGGTTCAACAATACTGAAAACGTTGATGTTTCTAAAAAAGTTCTTCACCACCTTTTCGCTAAATACGGTGGTTCAAACTTTACTCAATTATACAATGACACTGTTTACGGTGTTTCAGTTGTTAATGAACCTTTCAGTACCGGTGGCTTACCTCTCGACAACTTAACTGACTTTATGGACTATGCTTATCACGATGGTAGAAAAGCCCAACAAGTTAATAATACCATTATTTACCATGATGGTTTCCAACAAATTGGTTACTGGAATTATTGGAGAAACTCAACTGGTGCCAACCCTGATCCAAGACAACAAAACTACAATATCTTAATCGATCACCACCATTATGCTTCCTTTGATATTCCTTCCTTAAACAGAACCATTGAAGAAACAGTTAACTTCACTAGAGAATGGGGTAACCAATTAGCAGAAGAACAACCAGTTCATCCTTCCGTCGTTGGTGAATGGTCTGCTGCTTTAACCGATTGTACTCCTTGGCTTAACGGGGTTGGTAGAGGTGCTAGATACGATAACACTTTTACCACTCCAAATAAATACTTTGGTAGCTGTGCAGGTATTAATGACTTCGACACCTGGTCTGATGAACATAAAACTAACACTAGAAAATTCGTCGAAATCCAATTACTCGAATTCACCACCAAGGCTAAAGGTTTCATCTACTGGACTTGGAAAACTGAAAATGCTAAAGAATGGGATTTCCAATTCTTAGCTGAAAATGACATTATTCCTCAACCTTTGGATAACTACAAATACTTCGACAAAGACGGTAACGAAAAATCTGATTCTGGTAACAAAGACTCTAGCTCTTTCTCTTTCTCTGAATCCGGTTCTGTTAGTGGCTCCATTTCTAATTAAGTTTAGTCTGGGTCTTTTGACCCATCTTTTTTGCATTTCTCCTTTCATTCGTTCATTTTTTGTTTCATTTGCTTCATGCAACGGGACATTGTATACTTCAGTACTCCAATACTAAGTCTTTTTATTTATATTTATACATATATTCAAAACTAGCTGTAGAGAAGTGATTGCAAAAAAAAAAAAAAAATGGACGCAGCGCACGTGATATGACTTTAGCGGAGGAATCGATATTCATTTTTTTTTTGACAGAATCCACAGATTTTTCACTTTGAGCTTCTTTAATTCAAAGAATAAAACAAATAACCATGGTCAAGTCTGTTAATGTTGCCATTATTGGTTCTGGTGTCGTTGGTTCTGCCTTCATCAGCCAATTGAAAAACTTAAAATCAGCTATTAATTTCAATGTTGTCTACTTAGCAAGATCTTCCAAAGAAGCTATCTTTTCATCCGATTATAAACCAGTTGATTTAGCTAGTTATAAAACTGCTAATGCCCAATCTGTTTTGTCTTTAGATGCTTTAACCAAGTTTTTAAAAGAGGGTTCCAAACCATCAATTCTTATCGATAATACTTCTAATTCAAGCATCGCCGACTATTACCCAACTTTTATCAAGGAAGGTATTTCCATCGCTACTCCAAATAAAAAAGCTTTTTCATCAGATTTGAAAACTTGGAATGAAATTTTTGATAGTTCCAACGCCCCAAACGGTGGCTTAGTTTACCATGAAGCCACTGTTGGTGCTGGTTTACCAATCATTGGTCCTTTGAGAGACTTGATCACCACTGGTGATAAAGTTGAAACCATTGAAGGTATCTTTTCCGGTACTTTATCTTACATTTTCAATGAATTCTCAACCACCGATTCATCTTCTAAAGTCAATTTCTCTGACGTTGTTACCGTGGCTAAAAACTTGGGTTATACTGAACCAGATCCAAGGGATGATCTTAATGGGTTAGATGTTGCAAGAAAAGTCACCATCTTAGCTAGAATCTCTGGCTTCAATGTTGAATCTCCAACCTCGTTCCCAGTCGAATCGTTGATTCCAAAAGATTTAGAAAGTATTCAAAGTGCTGATGAATTTATTTCTAAATTACCAAATTACGATGGTGATATTCAAAAAGTTAAGGAAGAAGCTCTTGCTGAAAACAAAGTTTTGAGATTTGTCGGTAAAGTTGACTTCAAAGAAAATAAAGTCAGTGTTGGTATCAACAAATACAGTTTCGATCATCCATTTGCCTCATTGAAGGGTAGTGATAATGTTGTTTCTATCAAAACTGATAGATACCCAAATCCTTTAATTATTCAAGGTGCTGGTGCTGGTGCTGAGGTCACCGCTCATGGTGTCTTAGCCGATGCAATCAAGATCGCTGAAAGAATTGCTAATTAAATAAATTCATTAAGTAATTAATATAGACAAACTAAGATTTACAATTGTAATTACAAACTAAATAGTAAAAAAAAATCTTTCTATCTATATACCAGTATATCGTGAAAGATCCTATATACAAAAAAAGGAGAATTGAATTAACATTTAATTTGAGTTTTCTAGACCTCGGGAACAACTGTTTGAGCATAGTCTTCTCTCCAGCTTCGTTTGGCCTCTCTAAATATGTCCTTTAATGTTTCGACATCATTGCAGGCGGCCCTGAAATTCAACATGATTTTTTGAGAATCTAATGCTTGACTCTTGATATTGTCATGATCATGCATAGATGTTAATAATGTGTTTAATCTAATTAAATGAATATTATTTGGGGCAAGAAAGAAATCACCGTTATCTCTTAACTCAACAATATAAGCACCCGTCTCATGTATATATTGAGCAAATTGGAAAATCGGTTTACCCCAACTGTATGAAATGTCGATGTGATCTTTCAGAAAGAAAATAGAAGACCTGTTATCAAGTAAGAAATCTGATTTCTTCAATAGATATAAATGATAGTAAAATTTGTTATCTTTCAAGATTTTAGCGTCCATAAACTCTGGATCCAACCATGGATTGAGAGCTAATCGCAAGTCAACAAATGAATGAAAAGGATTGAATTTTGGAATCGTGCATAATTCTCTCCACGGAGTTTCGACTAGTTTTAGCCCATAACGTTCACATAATCTGGACCAACTGATAATGACATCATCAATGAATTTCGTAGTAGTATTTAGCCATTGTAATCTAATATGATAACAGTGTTCTGGGTTATGTACTCTATCATAATGAACATTGATTATTTCAGGTCTGAATGACTTTTTGAAAGGGTCAGCATCATATTTAACACATCTACTTAAAATGAATTTCTTCTTCAGCTTAGTCTTTGTAGATGAGTCAGCCATTGATGAGGCTTCAGAGTCTGGAATCAATTGAGGATTTGTTTTCTTAGTATCAACACTATCTTGTGGTGATAAAAATGGTGATTTCATGGACTCATTATCAGATTCAACTTTCTCTGACTGGTTCATATTGGATGTTGAAGGGGTTTTTTTCTTTCCAAACCACCCAGACTTTTCAGCTTTATAATTTTTATCAATATAAGATTCTTGAAATTCATAGAAGTAATAACCATCTAACAAGCCGTGTCTGTTCTCAACATGTTTCAACAATCCTCTATCCATTAATGATTGAGCAAAGTTTGTGGCCTCTTCTCTGCTATCGATATCTTCGAAACATCCAATTATCCATGACACCAATTCATTACCAAGGAAACAGTGAAGATGTGTTTTAAAATGCCACGTTCTGTCAACTAGCCTCACACCACCTGGGCTCTGTAATTCCTGGGCCAATTGACTTAATTTAATATTTTTATTAAATCTTGCGCCATCTTGAAGCATTAATGAGTTGCTTGGTTGGTTACCGGTACTATCGTAGGATTCTGCTTGATCGTTTAAAAAATCATAAAGATTCCCTGTATAGAAGCTAACTTCCGGTAAGATCTCTTCTTTCTTTCTTGGTTGACCTTCTTTGTGTGGATCATACTTTCCTCTTTCTATAGTTGCGATCAAGCGACGCAATCCTTCAACTCTAATTTCCTCATCATTTAACTTATCATTATTTATGTAGAATGCATTTTTAGGTATTTCAGCTGGCATCACAACAAATTTCATTTTATGGAATTCCTTCTTTTCTTCTGGAATGGCATCGTCGTATCCGGCTAATAATTGATCAAACTGATTCCAGTTGTAGGTCTTGGGTTGATTATTGATACAATCAATATGAGCAGGAGTGTATTCGTCAGCATAACGGGTTCTAATAAGTGGTATGTAAGCCCTTTCTTTGTCATATTCATTATAACCAAGCATGACTTTTTGATCTTCGGGAGTTTTGCGTTTCTTATATAATTGGACATTTAAATTACCTGTGCTTTCACAGTAAATTCGATGTATTTCATCATCCAAGGATAAATAAATTCTAGCGCCAATGCAAGACTCATCGTTCTGAGGAAAGTACTTGATTACTCTATCAGAACCCCCATGGGCTAGCCTTGACGCATCCACTTCTTTTACGAGATCACTATAGCAAATCTGAAACCCTAATGCTAACCTCAACTCGATCATTTCCCTCATTAGACTTTGATTACTTTGTAGGCCAAGGTCGTTATCCCAGCTTAAAGTTACTGTATATATTTGGAAGGTATAGTCTTCTTGTAACTGCTCTTTTGTTGGGAAAACATTGGTCGTTGTAGGTAAAGCAGCAGGTGATTGGAAAGATCTCCATTTCACCTGTTTTCTTCTTATCTTTTCTGGGAAAACGTCATTCCATCTGCTTGACCTGAGAAACCCTAAGATATCGCAATGCAGTTCTTGTGATGGATTGATAATCTCCACCCAAAATTTATTCGGATGTTCGAAGTTTTTGTTTTTAGAATTGTCAATAGCATGAGTGCCTTTAGTTTGCATCTTCATATTTTGGTTAGCTAAATCACGTTTTGTCATATAATAATGTGAATCCTTTCTTTTTGAACCAGGTTTTTTCCTGCCCTTAGGTTTAGAGATTTTATCGGAGATGTTGTGTTCATTGAATTCTTTTGAAATACTAGTATTATCAGACGATTCTTGAATTGAAGGGGAAACAGAACTCTTAACAGGATTCGATCCATTGAGGTTGAACGTACTTCTCATTGATTTCAATGCAGCTGACATCGGACTAAAGTTTGCACTACCAGGAGTAACTTTAGACTTGCTATCATCAGTGACCTTATTCAATGTATATAATGAAGATAAAGCAGAGCTTTCTGATCCTATGTTCGTAACAGTTCCCAAAACTGAAGATTCGTTGGTTCCAACATCAATCTTAGCCGTTGATGCAGAGGTATTATCATTCAGTTTGATAAGAGAAAGAGTGCCCGATAAATCTATACTTTTATGTTTATGGTGTTGTCTTTTCTTATAATGACCATTAATTCCATGGGACTTTCTTTTATCATTCTTTGCTTTCGAATCCGGTTTATTGAAAATCTCGTTATCATATTTGTCCATTACATCCACTATTGATTTTGGATCATTAAAGTTATCTAATCTCTCGACTGTTGCATCATTAATATTGTTCTCCATAACACCCATCATTTGTAATTCATAAATTTTACAACGAGGGATCCATTGACTGGTGAACTCTGAAGAGTCTTTGTAAAAGGAAATATCACACCATGTAGGAACACAGTAACTTAATTTACCATTTTGATCGGAATCTTTGTAGCGAAATAATGGAACAATATGTAAAGGAGGCTGACTGAGACAAATTAAATCTAAAGCAAGGTCTAAAATATGCATTTTTTTAGAAGTTTCAAGCATGAGCTTGTAATCAACATCGAATAAACCAGTTCCAGGAGTAATTAGTACGAAATGACTCAAGCAATGTTTTAAATCCGTATTTCTAAATCTATCAGTCACCAAAGTTAAACCGAGATTTATTGCTTCAAGGATATTCCCTTTAACAGAAGGTAGTTGTTGACCCTGCATGAAATGGCTAGTTCTTTCGGGATTGTTTAGACTAGTCTCGAATCCGATGTCATTATACACATTATTGACGATAGGATTACCACCTAAGTTTAACATGACATCTCTTTTAAAATTTGCAAATTCTAATCTTAAGTTTGCCATAATCTTATCCCAATGAAGAATATTGATTTGATCAACAACAACTCTGAAATAATCTCTGCGGTTATTTGGTCGTTCTCCGTGACCTAGACTAGTCCAGGGGATTTTGGTTAAATCCATACTCGTAAATAACACAATGGTTATTGAATGATGGGTGTTTTTATCTCTCCAATTCTTGAAAATTTTTGGAAATAATGTGTTAACTAATTTATGAAACATTATTTCACCGTTTTCTTCAAAATGCCACATCTCACGAGATAATTGAATCAAGAAAGTCAATTTAGCACTTTCTGATCTATAAACGATTTTTGTATTTTCACCAATGTAGGCTGAAAGAATCTTCTGGCCATTTTTATAGATATACTTTACCACACCACATCTATTATTCAAAAAAGAAAGTCTTTGATCAATATAAACACAATTCCTAACTAATGAAGACGAGAAATTCCACATTGAGTCTCTTGATAAATTAACATCTTTAATGAAAATTTCTATAGAATCTGCTTCGATCGATTCAAGATCAGTTATGGCTCTTATCTGAACTAAACTTCTTGGTAATAAATCGAGTAATTTTTGTAAAGGATTCGAAATGAGTGATAATTGAAAGTTCAATTTTGAAGAGGCAGGAGTTGATTCTTTTAAACTTGAAAGTAAATTTTGGCTTTTAATTGTAAAGTACAATTTCTTAACTTGATCTTTATTAAGAGATGTGGGGGAAGATCCTGATGCGGTTGATATGACGGAGTTTTTCAAAGTTGGTAGGTTAGTAGTACCAACTTGGTCGCCCGATGTAGGGATTTGGCTGGGACTGCTGGCACCAACTAAACTTGCGGTATTTGGAGAGTTGTTATTGTCTTCAGCTTTACGAAGGGGTTGAATTTCACATACATCACCTATTTTCAAACCAGGTATCACATTTTGATCAATTATAACATCTTCTGTAGACATCCTAAGCTCGTGGAACCAGATCATCAATTGGACTGGGTCCTGACTAAGAGATATTTCATCTTGGTTTGACAAATTTTGAGGAATCGGGGAATAGATTGATGGAGAAGCTGATTGGGTCTTATATAAATGAGAAGTACTGGAGCTTCTTATACTGTCTTGTTTCAAATATCGAGGATTGTTCAAAGGATCAGTAAAGTTTCTGTTTTTTGAAGAGTTTATAGTACCCACAGTAATTGAGTTATTGGAAGACTTTTGTTTTGATATGCTATTAGCGGGTGATCTAGTGTTAGAATCATCATTGCTATTCATGTGACCCATTGAAGGAGAAGAATGTAGAACGTCAAAGCTATTTCTACCAATTTTCAAAGTACTTCCAGCGTTGTTGGCATTCATTAGACTGTTTTGCATTGGCGGTAATGATTGTAAATTTCTTCTTGTACTTAAAGATAGTTTATTCTTATTTGCACCCGAGTTTTGCCTTGTATTTGGAGGTCTGCTTTCTCCATCGTTCTTATTGGAAGATTGGGTTGACTTGATGAACCTTGCATGCTGCATCTTTCAAAGTTGTTAAAAGGTCAAATTTCGAATGCAAACAAATGTAGAATGGTTTTTTCGTGGGTTTTTTTCGTTTCTGAGTTTTCAAACTTATAAATGGGGCTAATGTTGATAAATACTGGACTGGGGCCTTGGGTATTATATAACTCAAGTAAACAATTATGTTCAATAAGGCGATTCAACTTACTATCTTTACTTGTTTGATGAATTCCATGCCTCCTTCTTCTCTCAAAAAGAAAAAACTTCGTAAGATCGGCTCTGGTGAGAAGCGCGGAAACTCATTTGAAGACCTCAAAATGGCTGAAAATTTTCAACATAATCTTCTTTGACATAACGAAAACTTAGTCTTACTTACGAGTTTAGTCTAATTGAAAGGACAACTTGTGTGTGCTGATTATTGTTGGCTACATATCCTAGAAATAGGTAGAGTTTGATTTGAAAAATACATCACTCATTGTTCATTTTTCAGTTTTTTTAGTCAAACAGTGTACCTTCCTTTGTCATCTTACAGGTTAAAGGGGCACCTACTTAATGGGTGACAATGAATTGATAAAGACATTGTATTATATCGATACTGCTAAAAAGATTTTTCATTATTTACGTCCCTTAAAAGTTTGGACAAGACCCCAATTGGGCACACCATCTGAAAAAGAACAATGATGGCTTGATAAGTTAGACTTGGGTAAATTGGGCAATCTCCTCTAAAAGAAGAGTCCGTTTTGGTCCATCTCAATTCATCCGATACCGAACAATACAAAGACAAAGACGACGACATTTTTTTTTTGCAGCAGCAGCAGATGGAATGTTTGAATGGGAAATCTGCTTTTATCAACAAACAATTGGCCCTTGAAAGTGCGTGCTGATAAGCCGAAGGCATTAGTAATGTCCGCTTCTGTTACTTGCAAGGGGAAGCGATACTTTAGTAAGCCTTGAATCAAATAGCAAGAACGAACGTATCAAGAAACCATTTGTGGAACAAAAAATTTTCAGATAATTCTGGATGGAATGAAGTACCGAGTTTATTTCCCTGTTTCACTGCAACGATAAACCCGTTTTCAAGTCGGTGTAGAATTTCCACCGGAGATGAATTGCTATAAGGATTTTCCGACCTGACGGTGATACCATCGGTCAATTTAGCCATTGGAACAGGAGGATGGGTGAGGTTTTCATTTAGCCTAGGGTTTTCGTTCAATATTTGATCAACAATTGGAGCCCGAATGAAAATGGTTGGGAATTCCTTCAAATTGGGGATAAAAGAAGAAAAATCCAAATTTGATTCAAACGAATCAAGCTGTCTACCAAATGCATTTCTTATCACTTTAATATCCATTCCACCCAAAATTTTCTGATCTCTTTTGGCATTTTCAACTTGTTTAGCCAATAATATCAATCCAGCACATGTACCCCAAATTACCTTGGACTCGTCAGCAACAAACTCATACAAATGAGGTAAGAGTCCAGTTCGTTCGGCAATTAATGATATCGCAGTGCTTTCTCCTCCTGGTATAACCAATGCATTACATCTATCCAATTGATCTGAAGTCTTTACCTCGATAAATTCAAGCTGAAATGGCCCGTATTGCTCTGGATTGGACTCGACGGCTCGTTTGAAATGGGATAAGTGTTCTACGACACCTCCTTGCAACGCCAAAACCCCCACAACCTTATGATTTGTCATGCTGTCGACCTTCAACTGATGACTCAAAGAACCAGCTCCCGAGTATATATATATCTTCTGAAAAAAATCAATCAGAAGAATACCTACTAAACGCATACCCCGGTAAGAAGCGGGTTCCCCAATGATTTGACTCTGGCCGGCGGTCAGGGTTTGGACGGAACGAGGCTCTTTTTTTGCTCGTACGCGGGGGCAGGGAGGGCCTGGCGGATGGAACCAGCAAAGGCACTGTTCATGGGGCCAAGATGATTCATTCGGTGACTCAGAGACACTTGCACCAGGCGACGGGGTGATGGGCTGCCGAGCAGGACAAAATCACAGCCAAGTCGGAGTCAATTTAAAGCTTTCTATATAAAGACAAAGTTTTTTCAGTAATTGCTTTAGACGATTGCAATAAGACCAAAATAGCCTTTGAGGATTGCAGCAAGACCAAAAAAACCTTTGCCAAAGATGACTTCTACGTACAATATTAACAAGAACCTCGCCCAAATGTTGAAGGGAGGGGTGATTATGGATGTTACCAATGTCGAAGAAGCAGTTATTGCTGAAAAAGCTGGGGCTGTTGCCGTGATGGCATTAGAAAAGATTCCAAGTGATATGAGAAAATCGGGCCAAGTGTGTAGAATGTCTGATCCAAAGATGATCAAGGACATTATGAATGCCGTTTCAATTCCAGTTATGGCCAAAGTTAGAATTGGACATTTAATTGAGGCCCAGCTTTTGGAAAGTTTGGGAATTGATTATATTGATGAATCAGAGGTATTAACTCCGGCAGATAGAACTTATCATATTGATAAGACCCAATATAAGGTTCCATTTGTTTGTGGGGCCAAGGATTTGGGTGAAGCCTTAAGAAGAATTAACGAAGGAGCAGCAATGTTAAGAACCAAAGGAGAAGCTGGGACCGGGGATATTTCAGAAGCAGTTAAACACATTAGGCAAATCAAGGGAGAAATTGATTTGATTTTGGCTAATAAAACTGATACAAACTTCTTGACTGATAAAGCAATTGAGTATCGTATACCAGTCAAATTACTTGAGGACTTGATTGAGAAGAATGGGAAATTCCCCGTTGTTAATTTTGCAGCTGGTGGAGTTGCCACTCCAGCAGATGCTGCATTATGTATGAAATTAGGTATGGAAGGTGTTTTCGTTGGTAGTGGGATTTTTAGATCTTCAAATCCCGAAAAATTGGCAAAAGCCATTGTGAATGCAACTACTCATTACGATGATCCCGCCAAAGTATTGGAATATTCTACTGATTTGGGTGAAATGATGCCTGGTGTTAGTGTTAGTGGCTTACAACTTCAAGATAGATTATCGACTAGAGGTTGGTAAACATGATTAAAACTAAGATATATATATATGTAAAACAAATAGTAGAAAAGAATGAATCGTAAACGTAATCAAAGTAAGTTATTTAATGAATATCTGACTAATTGTTGAATAGACATCATCACGATCTTGATTTATGGTGATGATTTCTTTAGCAAATCTCTTCAAATCCTTTGGTATATCACTTTTGATACCTAAATCATCAGCACACACTAATAACATATCGGGTTTTAAATTCTTAATAATATTAAAATACCCTTGGATATTATTACAGTTCAATAATTTATAATTTTTAATCAAAGTTTGAGGTAGTTTATAGTTAATTGTAGCATTGGCAGTGGTTGTTGTTGTACTGTTAGTATTGGTATTATCCGGTTCATTGACAATCTTGATATTACACGCCAAATCATCAAGTGATAAATTGGGTGGTAAAATAAAAGTAATATTTTCTGAGTTCAACAAAATATCATTTAAAGGTAATGATGAATTTAATACTGAATGCGATAATGTTAATGCAATGGATTTCGAAGTATATTTATCATGAGTTTTCAATTTCTTACTTGGTTGTTCATCACCTTTAAGTGGATGTTTGGTATGCATTTTTTCACTAGCCCCTTCTCCTTCTTCTTCTTCTTTTCCTTCTCCCTGTATGCTAGGTTTAAGATAGTTATTATAAACTTGATAAGAAACAGTAGCAATGGACGTTGCTATCAAAGCAGTTAACCACAATTTGGGATTCCCTTGACGTGATCTAGAACTCATTAGCAGAAGCAAAAATGGTAATTGTTTTTTGTTTTCCCTACTAGTTTCAGTTGATTGAATTCAATCGATAACTTCAAACCAATTTTTGATATTCAATACAACAACTTAACAACAAACTTTTCTTTAGGAAGATGACTTATTTGTAACAAAATTACACCAATTACCCTTGAGTATGTAATATGATGTAGCTAGTCGTTAACAAGGTAAACTGTTTTTAATAACTTTACCTTACAATCTCGAATTTTCAACTTAGTGACCGTAGCAAACCAGCACAAAATTAAGCGAGGTTCGTTCGAAGACGATTTGATAAACAAATAACGTTTAAAATAGCACCTTCTTACCCAATCAAATGTGGATTTGGGCTTCCTTTTATAGCTTCAGTCTTCCACTTGGTTGATATCGGACAGGTGGATAGTCTCCATATTGTTATTGTGTGGAGATAAACAATTTGTTGGCTCGAAACGAGTCACCGGGGGTGTGGTCACGTGAACACTTAGCGGTGGAGAGGGTTCGCCCTCGGAAGTCGTCGACCCAACAAACGTTTTGACTGCAAAAACTGACAGATAAGCAGATTTTAATACATATTATTATTAATATAAAGAATACATTACGAGTATTAAGGTGAAGGGAAGAAGATTGAATTAAAATAGAAAACTTAAAATAAGATACATGTAGAAGAAAAGAAGTTAGAAAGCAAAATAGAAATATAAAATAACATAGTATAGAAGTAAAAAAAAAAAGTTATTGCAATTGCAACGATTTTTTAAGACAAAAATTCATTTCTTCTTCGTCTAAGGACTTGACGTAAAGACACTTACTTAATAGTTCGTTGTTGATGTTCATTTTGTAATGAGTAGACCATTCGATGCATTGGGATAATGATTTCACAATATGGACCGAAGTTCTAAATCTTGAAAAATTAATTAATTGCTCATCATCGTCCGAATTTATGGTACCATTACCAAAACCAGTGGCAGTATTGATTGAGGAATTCATTACTGTAGCTTCACCGATAGATCCACTAATGCTATTACCATCAGCAAAAGAAATGTCATCGCGAGCATGGTTGGCAGGAATTTGAGGAGGCGATGCAAATATGCTATCATTATCGGGAGAGGAAAATTCTCTCTTTGGGGTTGCCTTTTTCTTAACATATTTGGGTCTTTCGGCATTGAAAATTAAATCTGACAAGTATAATCCAACAAATGGTATGCAACCTTTAGAAGGTTTGATTTGATTAATACATAATCTAATGTTCAAAAAGTTTTTGAATGGAGAGGCTAAGTCTTCCAAATTTTTCAACGTTAGTATATCACCCGGTGCTAGGTTATTCCAAGTATCTTTTAATTTTTGGATTTTTTCACTAGTCAAAGCTAAAATGATTTGCATTAATGATGAAAAATTTTGTAAATCTAAACATTTTTGAGCAATGTGAATGAATCGTGAGATGATATTAATTCGTTCTTCTTGATCCTTTGTTAATAATATTTCGGAAATGATCCAATTCACCATTAAATTAAATCTCGATATAACTAAATTAACTCCTTTATTTTCATTATAATATTCTTCGTTAACGATAATTTCTAACCAACTATTAACTGGAGTTAATTCTTGATTCCATTTCAATTCGATTAATTCTTTCCAATCAATTTCTTGTAACATATCTTTTTCAATTATGGTGAAATGATTTGCTAATGATGTAGAATCATAACTTAATATAAATGAGATATGTGAATCATTATTCATAACGTTCATCACCGATAATAAATCTGATGATATATGATAACCATCCAAAATGACTTTTGGTGTTGGTAAGAAAATCGGACTGCTAGTTTGACTATTTGAGTTTGAATTTGAATTTTCATTCGAATTGGAATTACCAAAATAAAAAATGTCATCCTTATTGCTGTTAAGATTGAATTCATCTTTTGGTGAAATCGATAATAGCTTTTTCATTTTAGTGGATTTTTTATATGTCATTGTAGTATTTGGTCTTCGTGGAGTTAATGGTTGTTCTTGAGTTAAATTAGCAACATCGGTTGAGTAGCTTATGGCATCTTCGGTATTAGCGTTAGCAATTTGATCCATAATATCAGTTTCCTCAAATTTTTCACTGTGAGTTTCTGATTCCTTATTCAAATTATCTAATCGTTCAAGATTGGTTAAATTTTTATCATTATTTGAAATTATTGATCTTCTACCTTCTAATTTATATAATGCAAACTCAATTGGATCATTTGTTTTGAAAGATTCGTCGGGGATAGCAGCTAATTCCTTCAAAACATAATTGCTAATACCAGGAATGGCAACTGAATTAGTTGAAGAATCCATACTCGGAGTCTTATTACTTGAATTTTCAAGCTTTTTATCCTCTTTAATTGAAGCACCTCTACTTTTAGCAACAACAGAAAAAATCGAACTATCACCAACATCAGAAGTTTTAGAAGATCTTTGAGGTAAGACAGAGTTTCTCTTTTTCTGTTGAAAAAGGGACATGCTCGATTCATTCAGATTAGTAAATGGAAGTTCAGTCAAAGCTCCTAAAGTACTAACTCTAATACTTTTCCTAGTTGATGATCTTGATGCAATTGAACTTAATGAAGTGGTTGTAACTTTAACAGGTAAATCAAGTGAGTTCATATCATTGGTAGAATTAGTGGTATTGCTACCATTACTTTCATTATTTTTATGATTAACTGCACCTCTTAAGTTATTACAACCAGTTTTTTTCTTTAATCCATTTTCGAAATAATTTTCTTTATTGGTTTGATTTTCGTGATTATTTGAAAATGAAATTGCTGAATCATAACTAATATAAGACTTATAAGAATCTCTTCTCATCATTGAATGATTAGATTTACTTGATAAGCTTCTCATTGGTTTGTTATTATCGACATTTTCAGAAAAACTAATTCTCTTTGCAACTTTATTATTAGATATTGGACTAATTGCAATTCCTAAATCAGCAATTTCAGCATCATATTGGGTTATATTACTTGGAGTTGATATTGAAGAGTTATAAGAATTTTGAGAACGATTTGATTTCTTAGAATGCTTTGAATTGTTTGAATTATTAGAATGATTTGAATTGTTAGAGTGAGTATATTGAACCGATTGAGGTTCTACTGGTAGATCACTACTAACATCAAAGTATTGAGTGCTAGCTTTTGCTAGTCTTTTACTCGAAATGTCTTCATTATTTATAGTTGATGGACTGATTTCATGACTAGAGGAGCCGATATCGTTACTAGAAGGACTTATATTACTAGTAGGACTGATCTCGTGATTACTAGAAGGATTAATTTCATGAGTAGAACCCATATCATGACTCACATTATTTGAGGGACTGAAATCAAATTTTGAACTAGTTTCAATATCATCATTTCCATTATTTTCAATATCATCATTTCCATTTACAAAGTTTGAGTTATCAAGATTATCATCATCATTCCAATTAATCAGAACCGGTCTTTGAAAAGATTCATGTTTATCCATATCACGAGGAGAGTTTTCGATATTAATCAAGTTATCGATCTTAACTATATTTAAATCTGATAAATCATTAATTGTGATATTATCATTTGAAATTTTTGAAGTTGTTTTTGATTTTTTAGTTGGAGAACCTAATTCAGCAATTGAAGGTTCAAAATTACTTTCAGTATCATCATAATCATTGACATCAACAAATTCATCATTTTGATTTAAATCAGGGATTTCATTAATAGTATCATTTGAATTTTTGAAATAAAAACGAATTAAATATTCTAATTCATCAATTATTCTGGCACTTAATATATCTACTCTGTTACCAATTTTTATTTCATCATCTTTATTTATGACGTTGATTGCGTTATTGATTAAATGATTCAAATCATTGGAAGAATCCGATTGTTTATGATTGAAAGTTTTCCTCCAACCATCAACCAATTTTTTGATTGAGTTTTTACGATTTAAATCATTTTTGAAAGGTTCAGTTAAATCAAAGGGGTCATTACTTTTTCTTTTAGGAGAACTAGTTAAAGAATTTTTCAAGATATAATCCATTTTTTTAACTGGAGTAGGAGGAACAATTGATTGAATTTTGGAAGAGGGTAATTTAATATTACCATTAGTGGAAAACCCGATATTTTCATCATTAGAAACATCTTGTTGATTTGAAGTTTTCTTTAAAACCACTGAAGAATCTTTTAAATTCATATGATTATGTTTATTTTGAGCCTTTTTCTTAATAACTTGTTTATTTTGAGATTTATGATCTTGTAGTTTATTATTAAGAGAAATTCTTGAACTTTGATGTTGTAAAAGTAAATTATTAATTGAAAATTGAGGATTTTCATTAATTGAATTTGAATCATCAAAAATCAACATTTTATGATGAATTTTTTGATCATATAGTGATAACATTGCTGATCTTCTAAATGAAGGATTGGTGTGGATTGATATTTCAGTGTTTGATTTTGATATTTTCTTAATTGAGGTAATTTCTGACATGATTGGTAATGAATAACTTAAAATATTCTGAGTCGGTAAATTTATATTCCAAAATTCATTTATTAGAGAGATCCAATGATTTTTCAAATCACCAATAATTTTTTTTTCAAAAATCATTTCTTCATTGATTAAATTTGATTCATTAGTTATTTGATTCATATTATATATGAAAGTATCACATAAGTATAAATTTGTTTTAAAATCATCAACAAAGTAATTTAATAACCAATGTCTCAATACAACAAATGTTCTTAACAAAACCAATTTCCCTAATTTGACGTTTGATTCTTGTTTAGTATTTATATATTGCAATGACCAAATTATTCTAGTTAATAGTAATGTTAAAATAGTATGACTATCAGTGAAAATTCTATAAGTTAGAAAAAAATCACAAATAAAATTATAGTCAATAACTTCCGGTGAAGTTAATTGAACCAATAACGCTTTTAAAGTTGCATTATTAATTAAATCAGGGTTTGTTTCATCAAATTTTACAATTAATTCATTTTCTTTAGTTAAACTTGGGAAATAATAAGTATCATCAAATATTGATTCATTATGTTTATTATACTGGAAGTCGTTATGGATTCGATTACTTTCATTGACGATATTGATCACCGTAGCATTGGAGGTGTTATTGGACTCTTCAAGATCAAGCAACTCTTCCGATTGACAATCAATTGAAGGACTAGGTAGCTGTTGATTCTCTCCAAGAAGTCTTTTATCTGGATGAAACAGCCTCATCTTATGAAACGATTTTCTACCAGAAGAATGTTCCTGATATTCCTCCTGATCCATTTTTACCAAAGATATATCGATATATATCAACCTCGATGATCTCTAACCAGGCTAATTTCAGTTGTATTGACACTATTCTTGGGTTGAACAGTTAACCATCTACAGTTTTCTCTGTCTGGCAGTTTTTTTTTTCACTTACACTATAATATCAGGGTTTCCCTTACCTAAAACAAACAAACAACCAAAAACCTTGCTTCAAAAGCTGATGATGGCTTTCAGCATTTGTTTGTAATAGCCATTCTACTTTGTTTATGTTTACTCTTAAACAATCATTGTGTATTTGGTTATTTGAGCCTTTATTGTTTATAATTTTGGTTGAAAAATTTCGCGTTTTGCTAACAAAACAAATGTTCCAAAAGGAAATCGATTTGATTAGCGAGATATAACAAAGTCTACTTAAATACCTTAACTGGACAAGAGGAGGACCCGTAAGTCAATTAGACGATCAGTTCAAATTATGGCGGATGGTATCTTTTAATGCTGCAAATGGAGAAGCTCTAAAAGAATTATCCAGTAATAATTTATTAAAATTTTTGTATTCATTCTTCATGATTTTAGCATGACCTGATTGTTTATTTGCATTCGGTAAGTTCGATTGTTTTTTACTGGGTTTTACGTATTCCGGTGTAGTGCTGGTGGTTGTGGTTGTGGTTGTTGTACTCTCCAATGCCAGTAATAAATCGTCCATTTTTGGCTTTAATTCCTGTTTTGCCTTTCTCTTTTGACGTCTTGCACTAGACTTACTAATACCTCCACTTATGTTAAAGGTCACCTTCTGCTGTAGTTTAGTGTTGAAGTCCTTACTCTTATTCAATTGTTTTTCCTTCTTTGTTATTTGCAGTAATTTAAGTAAAGGATTTTCATGGTGTTCTTCTTCTTTGAGCTCTGCTATTTTATTGGACAACTGACTTTTCCTGCCTACTTTTGCCGACTTGGCTCTTAGACTGTTTCCCTTCTTGGTGATGGCCTATAACTGTTAGTGCTGACTCGTAGTTGTATTTGATTGTTACATACCATTCTGTTAATGAATAAGTGGTAGTTATTCTTCGATGAGCTTGTAACCTGCAATTTATAAAGCTGTGCGTGTGCGACTCAGTATCACTATACGAACTTCTATACTATACCAACTTCCATACTACTATACTATACTATACTATACTATACTATACTACTATACCAACTTCTATATTACACTTCTATACTACTATACCTTCTATATTATTATACCTTCTATACTACTATACCTTCTATATTATTATACCATACTCATATGCTAACTAGGTACCCTTTACAGGTTTGCTGGCTGCTTGTCCACTAGTAGTCTATACGAATCTACTTGCACGACACTTGATACAACTCAATGTCTATACTTACTATTGCTCCTCTACTGGATAAGAATCGCTACATACATCTATATACAATAGTATATGTTGCATAGAAAATTCACTAATTTCGCAGTATTTACTAAAATTAAACTAGTGGAATGTTTCGGCCACACAAAGCATAGTTTCGAGATCCTCCATCTATTATCATTGTTTTTCCGATTGTAGTGAAAAGATCAAGCCAGAGATGAGCTGGTTAATACCAAACTTCGATGGATTCGACTAAACTTACCTTGTTAATTGTATTTGTGCTAAGTTAATTGGCTACGAAGTTTGCTTGTATAGCAGTCAAGCTTGATCTCAGTTCACCAAATCTACAATGAAAACGTTTTTGTACAGTTTATTTCTGTAACAATTAGACCAAATCGACACCAGGGGAGCTTTGTTGACTTTGCCAGGGTGGAAATTAGAGTAGACAATATGGCTATATATATAATATAGTATTATCCAATTTACTTGCACAAACTACTCACTCAAAACACTAAGTTCAAGTGTTGCACAATTATACTTGAGCTGCACAGTTATACTCGAGCTGCACAGTTATACTTGAGCTGCACAGTTATACTTGAGCTGCACAAAACATGGCTGAGGTAAATTACTATTTAGTATTTACCAATGTAGCAAATAGAACGAAGTATGCCTTAAAACAATCCAATGGGTTTGATTCTTTGTTAATTGTTCCATGCGCAAAGCTCAACTTAATTAACTACCGGAAATTTATTCTACTCTGATACTAACCTCTCAACGATCTTCTCAATGACCTTCTCAATGACCTTCTCAATCGTGTAACAGTCGAAGTAGTGAAGTAGCTTAATTTAGATCTAAATGCTGCGAAATTAATGAATTCCTCATACAACTATATTATAAATATGTATATTCTATAGATACGAACATAGTATCAATACGTATATTGAATGGATGTATATACATCAATATTATAAATATAGATATAGTATTATATAATTTACTTGCATGAGCAATTCACTAATTTTGCAGCATTTCTTACAAAATTAAAAGTGATCCGCAGTGCTACAACATGTTTCAGTAATGCTAAACGTCGATGTCCTCAAACTATTGTCACTTTTTCTATCTGTATTTATAATAGCAAGACAAGGATCAGAACACTAAACGTTAATAAGTTCGATTAAACTTACTTTGTCCATTGTTTAAAGTTAATTAACTACCATAGGTTTATTATATAGCACTAAGTAAAAAGGAGTATATTTTTGCATTTATAGTTAAGAACGATCTCGTATCTTTTGGTAATTGATCATTAATAAATAAATCCAAGATCTCAGTGGTCTTCCACCCTGAAAACGTCTTGTGAAAGACTTTATTTTTTCTACTTCCATTCCCTTGTCCTTGAACAAATAGATACCAGGAGAAAGTATTGGTGATGGTGTCAGTGTGCAACTTGTTGGCGAATTCAACAAAGCCCAAAGGTAATTTTACTTAGCAACCAATTCTCTTCTAACTCAATGACCTTCTGAATTACTATTTAGATTCCAAAATTTGACCAAATTTAATTTGCTTAAGTTTTTTCCATACAAATATTCAATCAAAATGCTTATCACTAAGTACTTAGAAGATTACGAAGCTGTGTTCCACTAAGAAAATCCTACGTCCACGACGGAACAGAAACTTGGAGCTATAACCTTCGCTGCAGGTCAGGCATTAGAAGGAAGACTCGTAGAAGAGGGGCTTTATAGAACTCATGACGAAGTCAAAGGAATTTTAGCTGAAATGGTTTGTGACTTTACAAATCGGGTTCTTGACAAATTTGGTTGTGATTTAACACGAGAAGTTTTGACAAACGGGTTCATGATCTCGCCTTTGGGTGGTATGACTCATATTAACTACGTTTCGAGGCTTGGGATCCAGCTGTTTTTGGATCCCTCCATGTTGACTTTTAGAAATATATATTCTATACATGTTTAGATGTAATATGGAATCCACTCGTGAGAAATTCAAATTTCGCAGCAAATCGTGCTGAGTTACTTCACTACTTTAACTACGACATAATGCAAATGTTTCTTTAGTATCACTATATTTGTAGTAATTACAACTAGAATTCCAACATTCTTTGTTTATGAGTGTTCTTTTGCTATTTGTTCGATGCCCAAAGAAAGGTTAATTGGCTATAAGCTTTTCCAATCCTGAATACTCTTGGGAGATATGTTCCAAAATGATTTATACTTCTTTTCAGTTCCTTTCATAAAAGCAGTGTACTCTAAGAAACCTACGAGGAAGTCTATAATGGAAGAGATACTTTCGACGAATATGCTATCTCACGTGCTTGTTTATACACTGGTGCTACGTCTTTTGAAAAAAAGCTAAAAGATGGAGTCATATGACAACGCCAAAGAGCATTTCGGTAAGTTTGCCTTGGCGAATTTGATAAGTTTATTGCTGATCAAAGGTTAAAGTTTCTAGAGTATGATCTTGGAGATACCCAGGACCGAGCTAAAGAAGCTACTGATGCTTGTTATTATTCTCAATTCGGTCCAACCACTGACTGGACTCCAGATTCTCCAGCATTAGGGTTCTAAAGTATTGAAGCTATTCCATTAAGTAGCAATCTATTTATAGTGTAAGGGATCTATATATGTTACTTGTGCAATGACAATTTTCACAGTACTAAGCACACTAACTTCGACTTTCACGCAATTTTACAACTAAACAATACATATTAGAGTTGATTATTTGGTACATTTATTTGTGTCATTAAGTAGGCTCTAATATTCGATACAAAACCATTGACTTCTATTCTGGTAAAGGACCATGCAGAGACGAAGGTGATCAACTACCAAACGTTTATGGTATTCTGATACTAAATGACCTCATGTATTCCAAAGCTTATATTTAGTTATTTCCAGGTAAATATTCATTAACCCGAAAATCCATTTTTTGAAATCATTACTAGACAGTCTTTGCTGGGGGATACATCCCAAGCATTTACATTGGGTATTGTCTTCGCTGGATTTAAAAGACAAGGTAAGATCGAAAATTGAAACGCTATTTGTTACAACCAACAGTACTGAATCGGCTTCAATAACTATTTGATCAACTAATAATATCTATATATAATCTATATAGTGTAGCATGCACTGGTTTCATATCACTTTCTCTATACGTTTTCCATTGTCCCCATGGTTTAAGTGATTATTTCAGTTGGTTTTTCAAGTAGTAGGTACTACTTTAGCCCCTATGATTCGAATAAAATTACAATAAACGAACAGTCTCCGAAGACCGTATTGTCATCTTCCCTACCATTCTCTGTTTATATTATAAAGAAAGGAACAACTCGGAGCATCTAATATAAATGGGCATCTTGACCCAGACTGTCAACTTTTAAGATCCATATACAACCGTGGTCTTTTCAAATAATGACTAACTACCTTCTTCTATAATATATATGTAATCTATATACATATCTATGCTTGTATTTGCAGTAAAAGTTGCAAACTGAATAACCTGCACATAGTGTGAGATGAACCAAAAGAAAAAAAAAAAAAAAAAAAGGGAAAAAACAACATTGATAACTAGAAGACCTAGCGGTTAATCTACCATCAGATAAGTAAGTAACATTCGTTAATCCAGAACTCCACTGGGATCTAATAAGAAGTGTCGTTAGTTCCAGGTTGTTGATCAGCAGATCAAATTCTAAAATCCCGTCACGTGTACCCCTTTTAATCCATCCTATAAAACGATTTGAATCTACAATAATGAGTGGTTTGTCATTAGGCGATGACCACCCACTAACCGAAAAGAATTCGTCTAATAGTGAATCACCTAATAATAATTTGAAATTGAATATTATGAGTGAGTCTGATCGGAAGTCTTTTGAGGATGAACCCGATATTAATAATTTGAATCTTGATGAAGAGATTGATGATCTTCTACTGAATAAACGAAAACCATTAGACGAAGATATTGATCCTTTAAACAAATCGATAGCTGAAGATAAGAATTTTAAATCAAATACTGCTAGTAACACACATTCACCAAATCCAATTATTGAACAACATGAACATAAATTATCTGATTCTCAACAAAATTTGAGAAAATCATCGTCGTTAATTCCAATAACCAGTGAAGCAGCTTTGGGTAATTTAAAAAATGATGATAATAATGAAAATTCAAAAATTTCGGCTTATGCCAGATTAGATTTTGAAAATTTCACCTTTTTCGTTCAAACTTTACAAGTTGTTTTGGGTAGAAAATCAAATGATGAATTATTACAATCTTCTCATCATGCTGTTGATGTTCATTTGAGTTCTAAAAAAGCTATTTCAAGACGTCATGCTAAGATTTTCTATAATTTTGGTACACAGAGATTTGAATTATCTATTTTAGGAAGAAATGGTGCATTTGTTGATGATTTATTCGTTGAAAAAGGTATTACTGTTCCTTTAATTGATGGTACCAAAATTCAAGTTGGTGATATTCCTTTTCTGTTTGTTTTACCTTCAATCGAACCAAATGAAAACGATGAAAGTAAATTATTATCAAAACCAATGAATCCAACTGATGCAATTAACTTAAGATCCAATTTATATTCTGGCTCTTCTTCTCCTCCGAAATCAATAAGAAGAAAGTCTTCAAAATTATCAAGAAAACCTTCAATATCTTCGGATAATCTTCATTCTCGCAAGAATTCAAAAGTAAAACTACCGAGAAAATTATCTGATGCTAGAAGAAAATCATTAGCATCAGCAACAAATGACGAAATTAATGAAATTTTAAATGCTTTAGGTGCTGATTCTATCGATTCAATAGCTGAAGATAATGATGAGTTTATAGATGCTCAAATTCAAGCAATTCTAGAAGGTCATGAAAAAAGTAATTCCAATAAAAATGAATTTAATAACGCTTTGAAATTGGCCCTGTTCAATGAATCGGCTATAGAAGATGAAGAAGATGAAATTGATAAACTTGTTCAACAACATAACCTTGAACAAGGTGTAACATTAGATGAATCCATTTTGAATGATGAATCAAAAGACCGTCAAAATGATCACAATAATAATAATACTAATACTAATAACGATAATAACGAAAATGATGATATCAATATGGACTTATCAATATTGAATCAAGAAATTGCAACTTTAGCACCATTGATTGATGCTCATAATCATGACCTATTGAAAGAAAAGGAAGATAAAAAGAAAAAATTGGAACTCTCAAAATTCAAAAAATCCCAAAATTCAAAAAAATCTAATAAAAAGCAATCTGGTAAAGATCAAACTTCACCTCCTTTAAATTCAGTTTCTCCACCTTCAGTTATTACCAGTAATAATATGAATCCCTTGATGGGAAAACCTGCTCCTCCTAGAATGGGAAAACCTGCTTCCATACAACCCCCTGCAAATAGATTATATGGTAGACCTTTAACTGGTAAATCTTCTTTTGGTGAAGAATCAATGTCTTCAAATTCATTACCTGTAAATTATCAGAATATTCCAAACCAAATTACTCAACCTCCTTTAGTTACAAATGTCCCCCCTCCAATTGTTAGACCTCCTCCTCCAAGACCTTTACCTCCTAAATTAGAGGTCCCAGTCAATACTATAACTACAGTTCATGTTGTGTCTTCTTTAATACCTGCCAAAGCAATTACAGTTGACCCTTTTAAATTCGAACTTGCTCCTATCTGTGTACTCAAATCTCTAGATGAACCTAATAGTACACCTAAGATTCCGAAAAAAAATAAAGATATGTCAATACTCAAATTGACTGCTAAAACTGCCCATCCAACCGGTGAAGTACCTGAACAATATAAAACTAAACCAAATGTTGCATTTCCAACGATGATTACCAGTGTTTTGAGAGCAAAAGCAGGAGATTATGGAATGACTTTACCTGCAATAATCGAAGGAATTAGAGAAATGTATCCTTACTATAAGTATTGTCCAGATGGTTGGCAATCAGCTATAATTCATAATGTTGAATTAAATAAAATATATAAAAAAGTTTCAAACTATGGTCAAAAATCAGAGTGGACTTGGACCATGGACAATGCTTATATAGAAGAAAGAGAACGAGTTAGAAGAAAACAACAAGAAATGGCTGCTGCTAGAGCCAAAGCCGCAGCTATTAAAGCTGAAGAACTTAAACAAAGACAAAAAATTGAAGCTCAACAAACTGCAATTTCTCAAAATATTACTGCAAGAAATGTTCCGGCTTATACTTACAATCCAAATGTTCGTTTACCACAATCACAATTCATTTCACAACTTCAACAAAAGCAAGCTTCATCTTTACCTGTCAACGGCCAAAAACCAAAAACAATTGCAGAACTTGCAAGTGAAATTAGAAGAGATGGAGTGGGATCGAAGGCTCCATTATATTTTAAACCTCAAACTTCCACACAAGGAAATAAACCTGGTGAATTACCAAGACCTATGTCTGGTTCCAACTCTCCTGCACCAACTAGTGCTTACTCAAATTCTCCTGGAACCCATTCTAAATCACCAATTGGCTCAGGGTCTCAATCTCCAACTACTATTAAAGCACAATTAGCTGCAAACAGATCTCAATCACCATCTCAACAATCACAACCCCCGGTTATGAATTCAGATACTAAGAAGTCATTAGCTTACCTTCAAAAAGAATTGTTTGTATTATATAAGGCAAGAAAGTTGTCATACAATACTGCAACTACTACAGAGATTATCACCAAAGCACTAGCCACTACTATTGCACAGGTAAATGTCATAGGAGCCAGAGCTGGCTGTGGTGATAATGCTTTGAGTTTTTTGGTTGAAAAAGCTCCTCAACAAGTGAGTAAAATTTTGGATATTGCTTTGACAAAATCAATTAAAGAGAAGCAAGGTACATTATCATCCAGGCAATCCAGTAGAGATGGTACGCCGGTACCACAAGGGAGTCCCCCGGCATCTGCTCCAGCATCTGCTCTATCTCCAAATGACCAGCCAAAACAAGTTTCACAGCCAGTTTCTCAACCAGTCGTTCAATCAGACGTGGGGCCAAAGCAAAGCTCTCAAACTTTGGACGCAAAATCTGCCTCGGGCCAATCACCCTTGTCCAGTCAACAGTTAAGAGGACCAAATGGTCCTTCTTCTCTGCCGCCATCTGGTCAATCAATAAAGACCTCATCATCTCATGCAAACCCCGTTCTCGTATCAGATAAACCTTCATTCACACCAAGTACTAATCAAAACACGTCGATTCCACAATCCCAAGTCTATTCGTCATCTCCCATAAATAAACAAAATGCACCCATAGAACAAAGACCAGCCTCAACTGTTGCTGCAAACCAGTCACCTTCAAACCATCCTCAGGTTTCTACTAGCCCAGGCATCAAGTCAAATTCCCCTATTGTGGCACCAAGTGGCTTGTCTTCACATCAATCGGCTAGCCCCAATGGAGCAGCTACAAATAGTGCTCTGAAGCCCCAATCACAAGAATTCGGTGGTCAGTCCACACCAGCTGCTGTACAACCTCCGGAATCGCAACCAGTCAAACCACTGGTGGCACCAGCCACTAATTCCTCTCTCGCAGACGATAGCAGTCTGGAGAATCAATCATCTTACAACAAGACGTTAGCAAATTCTCGTCCTTTGGTAAAGTCTCCAGTTCAACAGCCCCAGTCAACAACTGGAGCATCTACCTCACCTACACCTTCGTCATACTCATCTGGATTGACCAAACCCCGTTATGGTTTATCCAAGCCTCCTAGCTTTCAAAAGACCGGGTCTCCTGCTTTATCTCGTCCTGCCTACTCTGGTCCAGGATCAAGAGGTACTGGGTCCTTGCCTCGGCCACCCCAATTCTTGTCTAACAAACCGCCGGCTGCACAACCCCAAAATAGTGAGCCATCCACCGGTGACAAAAGACCATTGGATCAAAATGGCGATAAAGTTAACGAGAACAGCCCTAGTAAGGTGATCAAGATTGAGTAAGTGACTTATAATTTAATAGAATAACGTATTTAATGTAATATAAAAATTTTTTGCAGTATGTGCACGTGACCAAGTTATGTACAGTTTCAGTACTTTAGAGCGAGAAACGCTCGAATATCAACATCTCAAAAATCATAAAAGGGTGGCAATCAGAATACTGATAAACTACTAATCAATCATCCCCTTACCACCAATTAAGATAGATATCATATACTTCACATAACCCTTCCCTTCATTGTTATTAAAAAGTAAAGTAACACGTCCTCGTTAGTATTGTTAACAATTGCATAAAAGAATCATAAGTGTAATTCGTCATAGTTATATATCAAACAGTATCCTGAAATAATGAATTCGATTTCTCAACAATTTTCACATAGCAATACGAATACTTATATGAATGAAATAAGTGCTGCCAAAAATGAGTTTGCCAGCGGGGTTCAATTAGATTTGGCACCATCAATTGAATTACCACCAATTTCACAACCAACTGAATTTTTGAGAGCTCATACTGATGATGCCAGTAATCCAGATTGTAAAATTAAAATTGCTCACGGTACAACCACATTAGCATTCAGATTCCAAGGTGGTATTATTGTAGCTGTTGATTCTAGAGCTACTGCTGGTAATTGGATTGCTTCTCAAACTGTTAATAAAGTTATTAGAATTAATCCATTTTTATTGGGTACCATGGCTGGTGGTGCTGCCGATTGTCAATACTGGGAAACTTGGTTAGGTACTCAATGTAGATTACATGAATTGAGAGAAAAAGAACGTATTTCTGTTGCAGCTGCTTCTAAAATATTAAGTAATTTAGTTTATGAATATAAAGGTATGGGTTTATCCATGGGGACCATGGTTTGTGGTTATACTAAAAAGGAAGGCCCAACTGTTTACTACGTTGATTCAGACGGTACTAGAATGAAGGGTGATATCTTTTGTGTTGGTTCCGGTCAAACTTTTGCCTACGGGGTCTTGGATTCAGAGTACCATTGGGATTTAAGTGTGGAAGACGCATTATACTTGGGTAAGAGAAGTATTTTAGCCGCCACCCATAGAGATGCTTATTCTGGTGGTTCAATCAACTTGTATCACGTTACCGAAAAAGGTTGGATTTATCACGGTAACCATAACGTTGGTGATATCTTCTATGACATCAAAGAACAAGAAAAGTCCTTCAATAATGTCGATGGTTAAAAGTAGTATTATTGCATAGTGCTCCCCTATTTCTTATAATATAATCATAAGTAATAAATCCTCTGTAGTAAATCTTCCGTAATAAGTCTGCAACGGTAGTTGCAGTCAAAATAGCTAGGGCTGTTGCCCTAGTGCATTGTCTTCAGCACGTGATACTCATATTCTACTCGTTTTTTTTTTTCCTTCGTTTTTTTTTTTTTTTTTTTTTTTTTTTTNTTTTTTTTTTTTTTTTTTTTTTTTTTTAGCAGTGCGAACTGCTCCCATCGAATTTTCACTTTACTCTCACTTTACTATTCTGAAAATTTTTTGATACTGTAGAAAAAGAATTTTTTTGAAGAATTGAAGCTTTCCCTTTTTTGAACTAACCAAAGTATAGCCAAAATGGTATGTGAAGAGGATATATGAGATAAACGAAATAGCATCGGGATCGTTGGGATGTATCAGAAGGTGGCAAGCTGAAGAGATTGAAGGAGTATCAAAGAATGGGAATGGATGAAAGAAATGAATCTATATATATTAGAATCAAATGAACAATCTTATTTGAATAATAGAACAGCAGGATCGATTCAAAGCACCTTATACGAGATGATGTTTCACATTAATGACAAGCAAATACTAACTGTAATTATAGTCTTCTAAAGCTCAAAATCCTATGCGTGAATTGCGTATTGAAAAATTAGTCTTGAACATCTGTGTCGGTGAATCCGGTGATAGATTAACCAGAGCTTCTAAAGTTTTAGAACAATTATCTGGTCAAACCCCAGTTCAATCTAAAGCTAGATATACCGTTAGAACTTTCGGTATCAGAAGAAATGAAAAAATTTCTGTCCACGTTACCATCAGAGGTCCAAAAGCTGAAGAAATCTTAGAAAGAGGTTTGAAAGTTAAAGAATATCAATTAAGAAGTAAAAACTTTTCTGAAACCGGTAACTTTGGTTTCGGTATTGATGAACACATTGATTTAGGTATCAAATATGACCCAGGTATCGGTATTTACGGTATGGATTTCTACGTTGTTGTCGGTAGAGCTGGTCAAAGAATTACCAGAAGAAAGAGATGTAGAAGTACCGTTGGTAAAAACCATTTAGTCCGTAAAGATGACTCTATTCAATGGTTCAAACAAAGATACGATGCTGATGTCTTAGATAAATAAACTAGTTAATCTTGTATCTATCTTTTAATTTAAAACGAAATCTAATAAAATATTAACCATATTTCTATATATTCTTGTAAGACGTTGTAGGAGTTTCAAATCTAGATTGCTGATCCGTACATTGCAAGGTTGGTAAGGCTATTCACCTCCATCTCCATCTCGTAATGGTAAGGCACCATTTCAGATTTTTGAGAACTGCACCAAAAAAAAAAAAAAAAAATTAAAAAATTAAGACTCACCCTTACGGTACGGGGCAAAAATAGTATATTTAACTTATAACAAGGTTAGTTTTCGTCTTTTTTTTCCAATAATTGGTAATATCTACTTTTGGAGCCTAGCAATGGTTATAATCAACTATGAACCATTGGAGCATTTACCATGTATGTATATTCACAATACAGAAAGATGACAGAGATACTAACAGAAGAATAGATATTGATGAACCTATAACAGAACAAGAAAGACATAATGTTGAACAGTTGATAAGACTTGAACTAGCAAATAACGAGAACGGTGGCGATAGTAATAGCTTGCATCCGTTAGTTAATGAGGTTATTCCCTTACCTAATCCTAATCGGTCAACACCATCGCCGTTACTAATGCAAGAAATCGAACGATACGAACAGGAAGAGGATACTGATGATGAACAGGAACCTGATAGACGTCTTTCAAATGGTATTGACTTATCCCGGTATTCGAATTTCAATGATGACGACCTTAATGATAATGACGACGATAATATTAATTACAATAATTTATATTCAACCTTGTCGTATTCAATGTTACACGAAAGAAATTTAACTTTAATGAATGAAAATAATGAACAGTTGGCTCAGTTGGAACAAAATCACTTAGCACAATTGTCAGACTTGAAAGAAGATCAACAAGAACAATTAACAAGAAAACGACAACAAATTGAAGACATCAATGTCATACGTAAGAAAAGACAAGTTGTTGATTTCAAACCAGTTAATGATTATCTCAATGATAGATGGAAAGACGGGATCAAGTCAGTGGTGGATCTAGGTATAGAATCTGCTCGTATGGATATGGAAATCCATCACTGAACTCTTTTACGATATCCATGATTTCTTCTTCATTTCATTTGGCCATAGCCTTTTATTTATTTCCTTATATATAGATATATATATATATATATATATATATATTGTTCGTTAATTCATGTATTCATCGCTGTAGTGAATTGGTGGAAACCTTCTTAAACATCATATCTGCTTTCGAACTACCAATATTAACAATCCGTGGGCATCCTTCCCGGTGTTTCTCCTGGCGAACACACTCTAAACAGTAGTAAGCAGCAGACCCTGAGCCTTCCTCTCTCCCTAACCCATTCCCACACAATATGCACTTATCTCCAAGGTGTCCAAACGAACATCCATCACATATTCTAACCTTAGCTGTCGGTTTGACATAAGAATCACATATTGGACATCTTCCATCACACTGTTGGCACACCTTCCCAACGCGTGTGCCTGGCTGTTTCATACACTGGACCAAGTCATACTGGTGACGTGACATTATTTGTTGGTGGTGTTGGCGGTGGTGGTGGTACTGGTGGTAGTGGCCTTCTCTTCTCTTCTCTTCTCTTCATCGCTTCTTTTTTCTTTATCGCTAATACCTCATATTGTGCTCATTTTTTGTTCTCGTTCTTTCTCTTTATAAGGAGATTCCAGGCATTTATCCACCCATTTCTACCATAACTTATTAAGCAACTAATACTATAAAAGGCCCAGTGGTATACTAAATCCATTTTCAAGCGAATAAAGATCAAAAATCGCAGGTTTTCCTAGCAAAATACGGATAGAATGGCAGAAAATCTACGTGTTGCCGCTCAGGAGGAAGAGTGCACCATCTGTCTAGAGCCCATCACTAAAACAAGCATCCTTGGAGTCATATCGAATTGCCATCACTATTATCACGATAAGTGTTTGCTTCAATGGAGTGCCAACTCAAACTCGTGTCCTACTTGTCGAAAGAAGTTTTACAAGATTGAAAATATTGATTGTCAAAATCCACACAAAATCACCTCTACGGTGGCAGTAAAGGATAAGTTATTATCAAACGATGCTATTAATGAAATCCCAGAGGAGTTTATAATAAGGCCTCATCAACAATATACTTCGATTCACCTTTCTGGGGTCAATGATCGAGAATCGCCAAATGGAGTTTGTTCGATCTGTTCAAGTGCTGATTATCGATTATCACGCACTAGAAATATGATAAGCTGCCAAATTTGTGCTTCAATGTTTCACTTGGTGTGTCTTGGGATTTCCGCTGACTCGGCAAATGATATTGAAGAATGGTTTTGTCCAATGTGTGATTCTCCTCAAGAATTATTGGTATTAGCCGCTCCTTCTTCTAATGGGTCAAGAGTTAGATATCGCCGATCAGCACCTTATCGTTCTACAGGGTCCTCCGGTACTCAAACGTTGTCTATCAGACCAACTACAGGATTATCAACGGGCCGCCAAACAACGACTCTGAGAAATTCAAGACCGGGATTGGTCATTAGAAATGAAAATAATGAATTGGATGATGATTTCTTGTATTCGGAGGACTTCAGTGAAGACTTTCACACCCATTTCAATTCCAATTCAGGCTTGTCCGCTGGATTCCGCAATCATCCATTATCACCTATTGCTACTCCAGTAGTTAATGGGGGTGTTCTTCTTCGAAGAGAAATGAGAAATAACCAAAATTTAACTGAAGACGAAGCTCAGTCATGGAACTTATTTGAAGAGGCTAGACGTAGTTCAAATTCTGAATTACCTCAAAGCTCAAACCCTTCAAATAGTATAAACGGTGAACGTAAAAAAAGACGGAAAAGAGCCGTCAATAACGATGATAAGGTTTCAGTTGGTCCTTCACAAAGCATACAGCAAACTGGGGGGTCGAGTAGTAGCGGATCTAGGATTGCCAGCTTGATAAGTCAAATTAAGACTCCTTCAAAGCCTGTTGCTATATCAAGAAATGACAACAGTAGCTCATTTTCAATACCAGAAGAAATGAATGCAAATTCGTCTCCTTCGAGTATCTCCGCAAGTCAACTGCCGTCAGTCTATAGTCCCACTGATGCTAGGTCTCTCGATAGTGACTATCAAACCGATTCAGAATCTAGCATTGGGAGTCGATCAAAGAAAAAGATTTGTCCAAATGATAATCATGAATCAACTATTGGCACTCCTGAACTTACTTTTGATCAGAAAAACGAAATCCAAAAACATATACGAAATTACTTAAGGCCCTTGTATAAACCTAGAAGATCAAATGGGAAATCTTCTGCTAATCAAATCATCAAATCCGAGGATGCGTATATGAATATCAACAAAGGTATTTCTCGAAAACTTTATTCTGCAATACTTTCTGACGCAACGATTGAAAATGGACGATATATCCAAAAAACAATAGATGACTATTTTGAAAACGAAAATAAATTGAAACAGCTCGTTGATAAGTATGTTGAGGACGAATTAACGACGTTACGAAATGCATAATCCATTCTTTTTTTATTTTTTTTTTTTTTGCCTTTTTTTAACCTTTATTTTAAAAATCTCTAAAACTTTTTATATAAGCCTATATATATATATAATAAAGGTTAGTGAAATTTTATCTACGACGAGGACCTTTAGGTTTATTGAATTTCAAATTCTGTCTACTAGTTGACAGTGGTTGATTAACCTCAGGTTTCAAATCGTTTAATTCTAATTCGTCCAAGTCCCCAACTTCGAGGACTTTGTCGACAACAACACCTTCATCAGCAAAAGATTTTATGAAGCTTATCAAACCTTGTCTATTTGAAGCATAGATCATTCTATCTTTTACCTTGGAACCAGAAGGGCATGAGTAAATAAAAGCGATTTTATTTGAATCGTAATTATAAATGGCAAATTGGGGATGAGGAGATGATGAATCAACCGCTTTAGTCAAATGGTCAACTAAAGAGTTTAATTCTACATTTGAACTCGAGGATGTTTTCTTGACAGTTTCATTTGGAACATCAATGTTGAAAGTGACCAAATTACCTGAATTTTTGAAATTTGGTAACGATTCAAATTCTTCCTTTAAAGATGGTTCAACATCAAATAATAACGCACCTCCAATGCTACTGCCAGCAGCAGTCTCGGATTCTCCGTGCATCGATGCTAGTTCCTTCTTAAAAGAATCCTGACTTGCAAGACCAGATTCTGCTAAAGATAATGTTTGTAATGAATTGATTTCCTTCATCATTTTTTCTTCACTGGTAAGGGCATTTGAATCATCCTGTTGAATGCTTGAGCTATTTTCATAATTTTTCAAATTTAACTCATCCAACTCAGTCCAAGCCAACAAATGAGATTTCTTAAATTGATTTGAACCTAATTGTTGTATCAAGGTATTCTTCGTTGAAGCATAAAGCATTTTTTGACGGATTGGTGCAGTGTCAGGTATAAAACTAATAAAAGCGTATGATCCCTCATCTTCTGGGACTATTATATAACCCGGTTGAGGATATTTCTCCTTAAAATAGCCATGTAAACCTTTTAAAACCTCTAATTTATCTGAACTTGAAGGTTGGGGGAATTCTTCGTCTGGAATCAAGGTAGTGCTATCATCCGATACCCTAATAACTAAAGCGTTTACATCAAAACTCTTGAAAGCATCTAATAACTCGGTAGACGCAGTGATCCCGGATCTTGCTGACATCTTTGGTGGGTTGTGCTAAACTTATTAAACAGTCAATTGCTAATCTAACATGGATTATTTAATACTGTTCGGTATACCATTTATCCAAAAGCCAAATCACCTTTGTGGTGTGCGGGTGTTTATGGTTATATGTACGGGCGTTGTTTCTGTGATAGTGTTATTGTTTTACTTTTTTAGTAGATCAATTTTTTACAGCTAACTTCCCAGTTATTCAATTGAAGTCTTTCACCAGTGACTGATGAACTTGTTTGGTATGATAGGTGGTCCGAGTCCACCTTCCACAGCCAGTATCCCCCTGTTTGAACAGGGCGAGAAAAAAGACTCTACCGATTTGCAGATAAGATCATTAGTTTATCTATATAAAAGGCTCCGAATTTGTAAATTAGCGTCTTTTTTAAAAGATGGGAGATTGAAATATGTGGATGGAGAGGAGGATGAAGACAATCTGTATTTTAAGAAGCTTGATGTGTTGTATAATACTGAAGGGTTCAAGAAGAAACTTGTTGAAGAGAATTATCGGATCACCATTGATTTTACAAAGAATAAATTTCGGTCGTTTTGCATTTTGAGTGAATACCCAAGTGAAAGTCTAACCAGACCATCTTCTCCCGTGAAGGGGCAGTCTGTGAACGAGGAGTTCAGTGAAGGGTACCCCGTACTAAAAGATCATAAAGAGAAAAAGAGTAAAGGATTCAAGTTTGTTTATTTACCATTACAGATAAGAATGAATGATTTGACTAGCATACTTGCCAACTCAGATATATATATCGAGCATTTCTCAATGTTCTCTTTGGAGGAGCGATATACGAAGGCTTTCAAAGCGGTGAAGCTGGTGATTGATAGTGATCGATATGATAATGATAAAGTCGTCAATCTAACGTTAGATGAAAAAGAGTTGATCATTAGAAACTATTTGACCAGTGTTGCATTTGCAATACAAGTCAAACGTATATACCTGGAGTATATGAAGAATGCATTGAAATCGAATGAATCAAAAAAGGAGCCAGCATCGCCAAAAAAGCTAAGTTCGAAACCTTCAATTTCCAATATATCCAGCACTTCCCCTATTAAATTGAGTTCAAAACCATCAATTACAAACTTATCGAATGATTTGAATAAATTATCGGTGGGAGCAACTCCCAAATTGAAATCAAAACCCTCAATTTCCAAGTTAAAACTTGAAGAGTTATATAACCCAGTCGCAGCTCCTCCAAAGTCTCCCACAAAATCTAGACCATCGAGACCATCTTCACCCACAAAATCCCCAACTAAGTCTTCAAGCAAGTCTACGAGTAAATCAGCTTCGAAAACATCCAGCGAAACCTCTTCATCCTCTGTTGATTCAGACTTGATGAAAAAATGTGAATGGGCCGTTTCTGACAAGCTCGCAAAGGAATCGGTTAAACTTCAGCCCAAAGTTTGTCAAGGTCCAAGGGAGACGTAGGGTAATAATTGGCTTGGGGTATATGGCCATCGGTGAAAACGTAATCTTTTAGAATGTCATCATTAGAAATGGAATTTTCAAAATTAATCAAGACTGGCTTTGCATATTTTGCAGTGTCCTCTTTCTTTGTAGTAGTACAACTATTTTTTTCAGACATGATTCTAGTGACGAAAGTAAGAGTAGAGCAAGTACCAAAAAATTGCACCCATTTAAGCAGCAAATTCAGAAAAAAAAAAAGTTAAATTTATCAACAGAACAAAATTTTTCTTTAAGAAAGCATTAGCATTTGACCATGTTTAGAGGCATCAGAGCACCACAGACCAGACTAATTAGAACCATTCATAGTAGTTCTATCAGGCCTAATCTATTTGGAGGTAAAAAAGTTACTCAGAATGATTTGGGCGCACCATCAGGAAAGGGAGAAGGGACCACCAATCCGGTTGATATATTGAAGAAGAATGATATTTTGATGTATTCTAATAAGCCGATAAATTATATTGAATCGGTCAAAGAGAATGGGTTCCATTTGGCAAATAACATAATGATACAATCCCCCGATAAAGAAGGGAATATAATTGGGGCATTATTGATTGAGACCGAAAACATTGAGGTTAATTTATCCAATGAAGGATTTAAGATTATTAATGGATTCATGATTGAATTTAAAGAAGAAGTACTTGGAATATTTGAGAAAATCCATCCCAAGCCTGAAATAGTGGTTATGGGGTTAGGTGGAAGATCAAGAATGTTATCCGAGAAGAATCGAGTTTACTTTGCCAAATTAGGGATTCAGTTGGAGATTGGAGACTCTAATAATGCAGCACAAATATTTGACTTACTAGCTACTGAAAGACCAAATGTAATTCTGGCATTTTTGTTGCCTCCCAATGTGTAAATAGGTAAATATATATATATATATATATTAATAATAAAAGTACATAAGTTACAGATCAACCAGTAATCTAATCATGAGGAGAGAAGGTATTATTTAAATGACTATTATTCAAATCATAATCATTGGGTATATCATGATTGAGGATTGGATAGTTCAAGACATTTTGATGTTGAGGAGTACTCATCATCATCATCATCATTACTGGTTGTTGGGGGTGTTGTTGTTGTTGTTGTGGGTGTTGTTGTGGTGGTGGTGGTTGATGTATCCTTGGAGGAGGCATATTGTATTGATTATATTGATTATAATGAAGATTGGGAGAAGGTTTATCAAACATTTTATCAAGAACGAATTTTTTATTTGGAGTAGACAGGATATTACCTAATTCAAAAGAAGAGTGATCAGTGGAAGACATATTCAAATTTGAATTCACCGAAGAGTTACTTTCTTTTGAGATATCGGAATCGTCTTTTCTTTTAGAAGGAGGAGGGAGAGAAGGATTAGGAGTTTTCTTTAACCTGCTTGCATTCAAATGGCTTAATTTTTTCGATTTAGATTGGTTATTTAATTTAGTGTGAACGTCGGTGAAGACAATTTGGAATTTATTCATTCCGGCTTGCATTTGTTGTTTATTATTTTTCTTTTTCGATTTTTTAGAAGGTTGTTTTCTTTCATTAAATACCCCCATTGTTGGTTTAAAATCGATTATATTTTTTTTAATTTCTTTCTTTGGAGTTGGACTTGGGGGTATTTTTTGATTTTCATCGTTGGACCTTAATCCACTGGACATGATGACTGTGGAAGGCGAAGACACCGGGTGGGTTGATTTAGCCGGGGTTTCAAAGTTCTTATTAGATAATTTCAAGGGGGTCTTTGTATTTAAAATGTTTGATGATACGTCGGTTAAGACTTTTTTCGAAGGAGTATCGGAGGGGACTTTACGGTATGATTTTTTATTCAAGATTGGTTTTTGTATTTCATCTCCATCTTCTTCGTCGTCTTCTTCTTCTTCATCGGTAAGTTTATCATCGATTTTTGTTGTTATTGAAAGCTTATGGGGTTGTCTTGGAGGGGTATCAATTTGAGTGATTGATCTTTTTTGATTATTCTCGCTGAAAAGAGACTGCTTCAAAGTCTTCTTATCATTTGGAGTCAATTTAAACTTGGAAGGAGTGATGGTATCCAAATCTTTCAAAGGAGTAGCTCTAATAGGACTATCCATGAAGAAATCGGTCAAATGTAAAGATTTATCATGGAAAGGGGTGATATTTTGTTGGTTTGACTGGGGGAGATTCAAGTTATGATTTAAAAAGGGAGTTAAGTTAAGACCCGAACCAAAATCCTCGTGGTTTGAAATAACTCCATTAAAGAACTTTGAACTTGGGGTCGAATTATAAGAAATGAATTGGTCATTGAAAAAAGTTTTACTAATCAACGGAGTCCAACCCGTTAAAGGCTGTTTAGAAGCAGAAGTGGTTGGGGGAAGAATTGAATTGGCCTTGGGAGTGTTTATATCTTTTGATCTTTTCAGTTTATGTTGTTTTGATTTTACTAAATCTTCATCATCGGTTTCATCATTTTTATTTTTTTCATCAATATCATTAAAGTTATTATAAATCAACGGGTCTATTAGTTGACGAGAAGGCGAGGAATGTAAGAATTCGTTTGACATCGTTTGAATAACTGGTAAAGATAAGTAACAAGTATCTGAGAGAAGGATTATCAAAATATAGAACGGTGAGAAAGGGACTTAAATCAACTTTTTGAGATGCGAATGAAATGAAAACAAAAACAAATGAAATTCAAAACAAACAACTCTGGTGTAGCAACTTGTACAATATCCCCATTCGCCTTCAGCTTCTTCATGCTCTTTATTCATTATAATATATAATCTTCTTTGTTAACTCATTGACTATTGTCTTACGTACTGAATTTCTACATCGCGTTACAATGGCAAAGGGCATACATCCGTGCACCAATTTTTTTACAAAGAAATCACAGTTTATTCACATTTATTATGCTACAATTTTATCGTCGTTATCCCAATCTTGTTCGGTAACTTGTAAGTTTTCAGTTTCTTCGATTAGTTGATCGTCGTCGTAGTCTTCGTTAGCCAAGGATAAGGTGGGTCTCACCACAGCACTGTCAAAAGTCCAGGAAGCCAACGCATTTTCGGCATCGATAATAATTTGTTTGGAAGCTTCGTAACCATCGTAAGCAGCTCTGGTTTCACCGGGGGTCACTGGAGACTCATCCAACAACTCCAAGAGAGCTTTACCATAACCGGCAATCAAGGCGATTTTTTCAGCGTGTTCTCTAATGGAATCAAATTGATAGTTAAAGGCGGTTTTCAATTTTTCCCTGGTGATATTGGATAATTGAGCTTCAGCAACCAACGATTCGGCTTCTGCTCTCACCAATTCTTGTTCCAAAACGTTAATTTTGGGGGACTGAGGGTCTTTATACTTCAAGTAAGCAATTTGATCGGTGATTTTTTGTTTACGGTCCCTGGAAGGTTGAACACTACCTTCGATATCCCTAATGGACTTGACGGTAATTCTATATTGATCATAACGGTCAATGAATTGATCTTCCAATTCCCCAATTTCGTAAATTAAAACCCCTAATTTATCAGTTATATCACTAATATCATCATCGTTAACTTCCCCCCATAAACTCAATTGTTTAGCAACGTCTTTACGTTCTCTTGCGGTGATTTCAATTGATCTCATTAAATTTTTCTCCATCTTAATTAATTGGGCCAATTTTCTGGCCAATTCGGGACCAAACGAACCAGCAGTGTTTTTACGGAAAGTATGGCTTATGGAGCCTCCTTTACCGAAAAAACGATTCTTGGTCGACGAGGGTGGTGGTGGGGGCGATTGTAACTGAGCAGCAGTGGGTGCTCTTTGGCTTCTTAAGGAATATGTTCTGTGCATTGCTTGTAGTTTCAAAGGGGAAAAGGGAAAAAAGAGGATTATTTCTAAATTAAATATTAAACGAAAATGATAAATAAATAAAGAGTCGATTAAATAATAACAGCATAACAAAATGCTGGTGGACTTTACTTGATAATAGGGTCATTATTATTATTAAATTTCATTTCATTCTTAATTTGGTAATATCCCATTCCCTATTTGGCCTTTTGCAACCACCTAATCATTACTGCCATATATAGTTATATTGAATTTATACCTCCTTCTATACATACACCTACTACCTACTATACTAGCTTCTACTATACCTACTATACTAACTTCTACTATACCTACTATACTAACTTCTACTATACCTACTATAAAACTTCTACTATACCTACTATACCTATACTACTATACCTATGTTACTGTACTACTATACCTATACTATAAGTATACTATACCTATACTATACCTACACTATACCTATACTACTACACCATTTGATAGTACCCCGTTTGCACCATTTGTACACCGTTGATACCCTTTGTTATTCGATGGTCCATGACAGTATGATAGCCGTTTGTAGGGTTTGTAGTACACCGTTGATAACAGATAAGAACCCAGTTCGCAGACCGTTTACCCATTACCAACTACTCATACTACCCTACTCATCTACTTGTGTTCTATCCCACGTAACTGACAGAACAATGAGCAATGAGGGTGGCTGGTTGTTTTGCGAAACGGCCACTAATTTGAGTATTGATTAATTTCGTGAACTTTGACTAAGTTCATCAACGATTGGTGATTAAGCTTAATTGGTACCTGATCAACTGGATAAGCATAAGTTACGTTCACTTACTATCTTATATATACTCGTATTGATACTTCTACTTATCCATATACTTATCCATATACTTAAACATATACTGATACATATACTATATATATGTACTTAAATATATGTACTTAAATATACTCATATTTATATACTTATATTTATGTGCTTATATACTTATATTTATATACTTATATTTATATACTTATATTTATATACTTATATTTATACTTATATTTATACTTATATTTATACTTATATTTATACTTATATTTATACTTATATTTATATATTTATACTTATATGTTGGTGTAGGGATGTTTCGGCAAATCGGATATTGCCAGGCCACCGGCAGTGCATCTCCGTGTTGCGGGAAGCGAAAGCGAGAGGCCATCGCTTGTGTTATCGCAAATGGTTAATAGACGTTTAGCATCCATTTAACAGTAGCGACGATTCAACGTATTTAGTCTACTTCATTTCATTCTTTTCTTGTTAGTTTGATCTTTATCCAGCATGTCATTTTTCAGAGTATATAATAACTTATTGAAAACTCACCCTTATAAAACAAATATGGTCACCACCGGCACCTTATTTGGTGCCGGAGACGTTTTGGCCCAATACTTATTCCCATCAGAAGCACCAATAAAAGAAAAGAAAAGCTTATTCCCATTTCTTTCCAAATTCAATAACTACAACTATCCAAGAACCTTCCGAGCACTCATTTATGGGTCTTTTATATTTGCTCCGGTTTCAGTTGCATGGCATGCCAAAAGATTGCCCTTTATTAAAAATCCCTTCATTTCTTTGAAAACAAGATCGATTTGGTCTCCGGCAAAATTACAACGCTACGATAACTCTTATAGACTAGCCATTGACCAATTCTTCGGCCCCATTTTGGTTTGGATCCCCATGTATAATATAGTAATGACTTTTTTGGAATTACCTCAGGACCCAATCTCGGTGGCTAAAACTAAATTGGAAAATAATTTTCTCGACGTCTTAAAGGCTAATTGGACCGTGTGGCCCATCTTCCAGTTCTTCAACATCTTCTTTATGCCCATTCATTTAAGAATCGTCTGTTCTAATTTCTGGTCCATTGGTTGGAACTGCTTCTTAAGTTTTGTTAATAATAACAAATCCCATGATTCTAATCATAAACATGGTCTCCTCGACGATTTGATCGACGAAAAAGATGAACTGAGAATCATTTACCAATAGTCCTAACGCTCCCATGATTTCTTTATTTCTTTAGTGTATTTTATCTGCATCCATATATTCATCTCTTGTTTGCTGCAAATTTGTAGAATTTTCCACTCACGTGATCTCGCCCTATAAAACTCATTGTTGTTCCATCGATCAATTCATCTTCATCAAGCTTTACCATTTCCTCATGTTATACTCCAAATACAATCAGCTCCTCACCAGACGCCCTCTCTTGACCAATATCATCACCACCGGGGCGCTTTTCGGGACCGGTGACTACTTGGCTCAGAAAATCTCCAATGGGAAGTTCGATTCCGCCAGATTAGCCAGAGCAATGGTCTATGGTTCAATCTTTTTTGCTCCAATTGGTACCAAATGGTATAAAACATTACCCAAGTTCAAATTCCCCGGCTACAATAACTCTTTCCTCAATACCTTGACTAGGGTCGGGGTGGATCAGTTGGTGTTTGCTCCAATTGCAATTCCAACTTACTACTCGGTTATGACCGTGCTAGAAAACCCTCCCAACCTCTTACCCACCATCAAGTCAAAGCTAAATGATAACTGGCTCAACACTTTGCAAACAAACTGGTTGGTTTGGCCAGTGGTCCAGTTGGTCAATTTCTCCCTAATCCCGCTCAGATTCCAGCTCTTGTTCGTGAATCTCGTCAGCATCGGCTGGAACTGCTACTTAAGCATGGCCCTCAACTCATCCAGTCACTTGGCCGACTCTGAAGACCAGATATTGATATAGTCTTAGTGATAGTGTATAGCTAGTGTATAGATAGTGTGGATGCATTGGGTGTACGGGTGTGTATGCCGGTGTATGGGTTCATATGCTATTTTTGACAAGCTCACGCAACTCGTTCACTTTTTGTTTTGTTGTTGTTCCCATTTTCACTACTCTTTCTTTCAAAGTTGATTAATTGCAATACACTGAATCAATCAAATAATAGATTCTAGTTCTGATTGATTGGTTGGCTGGTTATTCAATTGAATCACACTCTGTGTACACTCTGTGTTTCCTGTCATTCTCTTGTGTATTGATTGTCGGCGGCAAGAAGTAAAATAAACGAGAAAGCTTTTTTTTTTTAATAGATATTTTACAATATGATGAAAGGATTTAAAAATAGACTTACTAGAAATAAAAGTCAAAATTCTGGTAAGAAAAGTGATAAAAAGAATGAATCCAATTCAAATTCAACAAAAGATTTAAAAGAAAAAGAATTAAGTAAAAAATCTTCCTTGACTTCTTTAACTGGTGGTAGTTCTAAAAATTCAAGTTCTAGTTCTTCAACAAAGTCATCAAGCCCAAATATTTCTCGAAATAATAGTGGTACTTCGATTAAATCAATTGAATCAAATAATTCAAATACCACCGTACAACAGGATCAACAATTAGATATTTCAAATTCTCCTCAAAATTCTTCTCCTAAAATTATTATAAATAATTCATTAGAAAATAAGTCAAATACCCCTTCAAAATCTCCAAAACATATTCCTCCAGCAATTAATATTAATCATGATACTCCAATATCCCCTACTCCAACTACTCCAATAACACAACAATCTCAATCTCAAGAAGTTACTTCTCCAAATCAATACGATGTTGGAATACCTTCATCAAATTCAAAATTACATTCCAATTCTCCAATTCATAGCTATCAATTAAACCCAAATATCCCCTCACCAAATCGAGAAAACTTTGATATTGATTTAATTGTAACTCCCAAAAGACATTCATCTTCTCGTTTTGAACCTTCCAATTCTGATACTTATCAAGAAATTATTAAATTACCAAATTTTGATGAAGTTTTACCAGAAGAACAAATTTCATTATTTATTCAAAAAGTTGATCAATGTAATATAATGTTTGATTTTAGTGATCCAACTTATGATATTAGAGGTAAAGAAATTAAAAGAATTACTTTATCAGAATTAATTCAATTCATTTCAAATACTAGATTAACCTATACTGATGAAATGTATAAACATGTCATAAATATGTATAAAAAAAATTTATTTAGACCAATTCCTCCTCCAGTTAATCCAATTGGTGAATTATATGATCCTGATGAAGATGAACCGGTTAGTGAATTAGCTTGGCCTCATATGCATGCAATTTATGATTTTTTTTTAAGATTTATTGAAAGTCCTGATTTTTCTCATCAAATGGCAAAACAATATATTGATCATAATTTCATTTTAAGAATTTTAGAATTATTTGATAGTGAAGATCCAAGAGAAAGAGATTGTTTAAAAACAACTTTACATCGTATTTATGGGAAATTTTTAAGTTTAAGATCATTTATTAGAAAATCAATTAATAATGTTTTTTTACAATTTACTTATGAAACCGAAAGATTTAATGGAATTGGTGAATTATTAGAAATTTTGGGTTCAATTATTAATGGTTTTGCATTACCTTTAAAAGAAGAACATAAAATTTTTTTGGTACGTGTTTTATTACCATTACATAAAGTTAAAAGTTTATCAATGTATCATCCACAATTAGCTTATTGTATAGTCCAATTTTTAGAAAAAGATCCATCCTTAACTGAAGATGTCATAATGGGATTATTAAGATACTGGCCTAAAATTAATTCACCAAAAGAAGTGATGTTTTTAAATGAAATTGAAGATATTTTTGAAGTTATGGAACCAAATGAATTTTTAAAAATTCAAATACCTTTATTTGCTCAATTATCAAAATGTATTTCTTCACCTCATTTTCAAGTTAGTGAAAAAGTTTTATGTTTTTGGTCAAATGAATATTTTTTAACTTTAATTACTGAAAATGCTGAAGTTGTTTTACCAATTATTTTTGCATCTTTATATGAATTAACTAATTCAACTCAACCAGGTATTGCTGACGGTTTATTAAAACAAAAATTATTAGCTAATCCAAATTCAACCGTTGATGCAAATGGTAATTTAGTTGATAATCAATTAATTTTGAATGATTTAAATAATTCAAGTAATTCAAATCATAATGATCCAGTGAATTCCTTCCATCATTCAATTCATGATATGACGGATGAAGAATATTATGATTCTTTTAGTTCTTTACAACAAGGTGGTCATGGTGAAAATGATGATTTTATCGGTCATCCAATGCCTCCTGATCATTCAGCAACTTCAAATTGGAATAGAAGTATTCATCTGTTAGCCTTGGGTGCATTAAAAGTATTCATGGAACATAATACCATTTTATATGATCATTGTACAATGTTATATCATCAATCAGTTGAAGAACAAAAACAAAGAGAAGCTGCTAGAAAAGAAGGTTGGAAAAATATTGAAAAATACGTTCAACAAATTAAAGCTAAACAAGGTGCCGGCGCCACGGCTGCTACCACTACTACAAATAGTCAATAATGATATTTTTGCTTCTTTTTCACTTCTCATCCATTCATTATATCAATTAACATTTTTTTATTCTTCTCTTACTTACCTTTTCTTCCTTCCCTTTCATTTGTTTTGTATTTTGTTTTTGTTTTTGTTTTTTGTCTTTCCTTTCTTTCTTTGATATTCACCAGTTTGTTTTACAAAGCATGATTTAAATAAATACGTTTCTTCCTTTCCATTTTGTATTACATTACCCGCAGAGTCAATTATCGTCTGTTTTTCTCTTCAAGTATAAAATGAGATGAAAATTTTTTCCTCTACCACTTTATCTTCAAACTACATAACAATACGTATGTTAAATCGTCTTTCAGACTTAGTTAAATGATTCTATGATGATTCTTGTCCTTGCTATTGGTCGTAAGATTGGTAGTCTCGATTCTTAATGAAGATTTATTACAAGAACCGCTACACTGATCGAATCATTTGCTGGTCTTTCTTCTCAAAACATTTACTAACATTCTTTTAGTATTGCAGTATTGCCCTATATATACTCTGCATTATTGCAGGTTCTTATACTAGTAGCAATTGTAGGTTCCGTTCGGTGGGTTCGTACTAATGCGTTGGTGTACTACTCCGTTGGTGTACTAATCCATTGGTGTACTAATCCGTTAGTCGTGCTAACCCGTCGTCGTGCTAATCCGTCGTCGTGCTAATCCGTCGTCGTGCTAGTCCGTCGTCGTGCTAATCCGTTGATGAGCCGTTCTCCACCGGATACTCCGAGCCATTCGCTCACAAGTACTCTTGACTACCCTTCATAGCCACTCCCTACCTCTGCTGGTTCCTGAGTCTACTTCATTAATCTAATTAATCAGTCAATTAATTAAAGAGGCTATTAAGACCGGTCGTGTAAAATCACATAAAAAGAAAATTCCGATGAGCTTACAAATTTTCATGAAATTTTTCAGTATAAATAGAGAAGCAGATCCTGATTGTAACCTTAGTTTATACTTTCTTTTTTGGCAAAGTTTGCCCGTTCGCCCCTACAATATATCCTTTTATAATCAGTAGTTTATAATGGTTTTAGCTTCATCTAACGCACTTGCTCATTTGAAAACCTATTCATCCAAAGATGGATTGGATGTTAAAAAATTGATTGATTCATCAAACTTTGGTGGATTAACTTATAATGATTTTTTAGTTTTACCAGGTTTGATTAACTTCCCATCCAATGAAGTTCGTTTAGATACTAAATTGACCAAGAAAATCACTTTGAAAGCACCATTTGTTTCATCTCCTATGGATACTGTTACTGAAGAAAATATGGCTATTCATATGGCTTTATTAGGTGGTATTGGTATTTTACATCATAATTGTACTGCTGACGAACAAGCCGACATGGTTAGAAAAGTCAAGAAGTACGAAAATGGTTTCATTAATGATCCAATTGTTATTGCTCCTTCTACTCCAGTTGGTGATGTTAAAAAAATGAAATCTCTTTTGGGTTTCACTTCTTTCCCAGTTACTGGTATGTATTTATTTTAAAATTTGTCATTCTTCTTTTTCATATGATGATCAAAAACAATATTTTAATAACTTTCGTTCTACCGATTTACATCAAACGATGTTGGGGATAAATTGATCCACTGAAGATTTTAAGCAGAGTGGAAAGGATGACTTTTTTGAAAAAAAAAAAAAAATATTCTTACTAACATTTTTTTATAGAATCTGGTAAAGTTGGAGGTAAATTAGTTGGTATTGTTACTTCTCGTGATGTTCAATTCCATGATGATGATAAATCTCCAGTTTCTGAAGTTATGACTAAAGATTTAATTGTTGGTCAACAAGGTATTGATTTGAGCAAAGGTAATGAATTATTGAGAGCTTCTAAAAAAGGTAAATTACCAATTGTTGATAAAGCTGGTAATTTAGTTTCAATGATTTCTTTAACTGATTTACAAAAAAATCAAGCTTATCCTGATGCTTCAAAATCTTTTGATTCTAAACAATTATTATGTGGTGCCGCTATTGGTACTATTCCGGCTGATAGAGAAAGATTAGATAAATTGGTTGAAGCTGGTTTAGATGTTGTTGTTATTGATTCTTCTAACGGTTCGTCTCTTTTCCAATTAGATATGATCAAATGGATTAAATCCAAATATCCTGAATTACAAGTTATTGGTGGTAATGTTGTTACTAGAGAACAAGCTGCTTTATTAATTGATGCTGGTGCTGATGGTTTAAGAATCGGTATGGGTTCTGGTTCTATCTGTATCACTCAAGAAGTTATGGCTTGTGGTAGACCTCAAGGTACTGCTGTTTATAACGTTACCGAATTTGCTAACCAATTTGGTGTTCCTTGTATTGCTGATGGTGGTATCAGTAATATTGGTCATATCACCAAAGCTTTAGCTTTAGGTTCATCATGTGTTATGATGGGTGGTTTATTAGCCGGTACTGCTGAAACTCCAGGTGATTATTTCTACCGTGATGGTAAAAGATTAAAGTCTTACCGTGGTATGGGTTCCATTGATGCTATGCAACAAACCTCTACTAATGCCAATGCTTCTACTTCTCGTTATTTCTCTGAATCTGATAAAGTTTTCGTTGCTCAAGGTGTTTCTGGTTCAGTTGTTGATAAAGGTTCGATTACTAAATTTGTTCCTTATCTTTACAATGGTTTACAACACTCTTTACAAGATATCGGTGTTAGCTCATTAGATAATTTGAGACAAGGTGTTGATAACGGTGAAGTTAGATTTGAATTCAGAACTGCTTCTGCTCAATTCGAAGGTGGTGTTCATGGTTTACACTCTTACGAAAAGAAATTACACAATTAAAATCTTCTGTAATTACATAAAATTAATTTGATTTTATTTCCAGTTCATATAAATTTGTATTTTATAGTTAATTATTACGTTTTTGTCTATTTAAATAAAGTGCTGTTCAATTGTAGTGAAAATTTCGAGTGAGTATTAATTCATCAAAAACATACAATACAATAATAATTACGTACTCTACTATATAACATCTACTATATAACATCTACTACTACTATATAACATCTATAACACACAACTCATTATGAGCTTTCAAAACGCAAGCACCAACCTCGATCAGGATTTGAAAAATTCAAGACAGTCCAAATACCAATCATCAGAACCAGAAGTAAAACAATGGATATACAATATCCTTAGCATACCAAAAAACATTCAAACCCAATACTCCCAAAACAACTTGGACCTCTTGGATATCTTAAAAGACGGAGAAGTACTCTGCAAACTAGGTAATCTACTCCCAATTGATAATAAACCAACCTCCAAATACAAAAATTCGAAAATGCCCTTCATCCAAATGGAAAACATCTCCTTCTTCCTATCCACCTGCAAAACCATCGGCATCCCCCACGACGAAATCTTCCAAACCGTGGACTTATTCGAACGTAAGGATCCTTATCAAATCATCATAACCTTGATCTCCTTCAGCAGAAAAGCCCACGACTTGAGCCCAACCAGCTTCCCCACCTTAATTGGCCCCAAGACCGTCAAAGTCAAACCAACAATCCCTAAAAAACCAATCGGCTTGTCCTCTAAATACAATTAGTTACATCTATACTAGTATACTATTCCCATTTGCTGCTTATGTAATGATAACCCGGGTGCTTATGTAATCCCAGGTGTTCTTCGCTCTTCTCTTTTTGAGCTCATCACTTTTTTTTTTTTTTTTTTAAATTTTTCACAATCTGATGAGATGGACAGTCGATACTCTTTCTTTAGATACCAAAGTATACCCAGGTAGAAGTGATTAAGGATTACTTTTGCGATTGTACGACGAAAGCAGCAACTGGGGAATCAGCATTCTACGTATTTATTAGAACAGGTTTATTTATTTATTGGTGATTCCATTTATTTCTAGGTTAATTAATTTTATTATTTATTTTAATTCATTTCATTTTATTTGCATATATTACCATGTCTGACGAGATCATTTGGCAAGTTATAAATCAGCAGTTCTGTGCTTTCAAGATAAAAACCGATAAAGAGCAGAATTTTTGCAGAAATGAATATAACGTTAGTGGGTTTTGTTCCCGTCAATCATGTCCTTTAGCAAATGCAAGGTATGCTACGGTTAAGAATATAGAAGGTAAGCTCTATTTGTATATGAAAACGGCTGAAAGAGCACACACCCCATCGAAGATGTGGGAAAGAATTCGGTTATCCAAGAATTATAATACTGCTTTAGAGCAAATTGATGAAAATTTACAATACTGGCAAAAATTCTTAATCCATAAGTGTAAACAGAGATTAACCAGATTAACCCAAGTTGCCATTACTGAAAGAAGAATGGCAATGAGAGAAGACGAAAGACATTATGTTGGTATCAAACCAAAAGTTAAAAGAAGAGAAGAAAATAGAGAAAGAAAAGCTTTAACAGCTGCTAAAATTGAAAAAGCCATTGAAAAAGAATTATTAGACAGATTGAAAAGTGGTGCATACGGTGATAAACCTTTGAATGTTGATGAAAATATTTGGAAAAAAGTTTTGGGTAAACAATATGAACAAGAAGATGAAGATGAAGATGAAGAAGATGACGTTGAAATTGAAAGTGGTGATGAAGATAGTGATGTTGGTGAAGTTGAATACGTTGAAGATGACGCTGAAGATGATTTTGTCGATTTGGAAGATTTAGAAAAATGGTTAGGTGATTCTTCTGCTTCTGAATCCGAATCGGATGATGAAAGTGATGATGATTCCAAATCTAAACATAAAAAACGTTCTACTACCGAACAAGGTCCTAAAGATAAGAAAAGAAGAAGACCAAGAATTGAAGTTGAAATTGAACAAGAACAAGACCAAGATCAACTCCAAACAAACATCGCTGCTTAGTCTAGCCCTTCATTCTCTTCTAGTGTATAGTATTAATATATCATAATGTAACTATCTGTCAACTTATGCTTGTACTTGAAATTGGGGGGATTTGTTGAAAATCGTTGTTTTTTTGCAACTTTTGAATAATTTTGACTATAATCAGAGAAAAACTCACCGATTTGCAACTCAACTTGCAGTGAAATCACATTTTACAAATTTTTTCAACATCTCTACTAACCCACCAGCAATACAACTACAAACCCACCAGCAGAACATCTACTAACTACCTTCTTTCCAAAGCTGAACCCCTAATCAAGCTATAAATTGAAAAAAAGGTTTAAATTGCGCAAAAAATGAAAAAAAAAAATCCAACTTCAAAAGGTTGATAATAGACATTGATTGAATTACTGAAGTTCAAGTCATACACAGCTAAATATAAGAATAGAAGAGGCATCAAAGAAACTAATTGACGGATTCAAAAAAAAAAATTGAAATAAAAATACAAATTAGAGAAGTAATACGAAAACTAAAAGTTGGTTAAATTAATCAGTTACCGGTGTGGTCCACCACATAACTGTCATTAGGAAATAGCATCAGCATGTTAGTTTTAAAGTCAGAGGAATTCAAACCTCTTTGGTTAAGTGAGTTCAATCCGTGTTGGTCCGGGTAGTTCGATTCAAACCCGGTAGTTGAAAGTTCATCATCATGTGGATCATCATTTGCAACGTCATAAGATGAACTTTTGGCTTCATCTTCATTTGAATCACCTTCTTCATCGCTATTTTCCAAATCCTTACCTCCTTGTTTATTGAAAAAAGTCTTCAAATCTTTAACAAATAAGGGATGAAGTAATTTATCAACACCTTCATTTCTAGCTAATTCCAATGCCCTTTCAAAAGGAATCCAAATTCCTTTTAACGACATTGATCCCACCTTCACAACCTTGCCTTCTTTACTCTTTTCGTTTTTAAGAATCCCATCGCGCTTACCTCTAGTCATAGAGGTTGCATTTAATAATTTGGTTCCATTGATATAATCATCATCTTCACGTCTGGAAACCAAAACGTTATTTGCCTTGACTTGATAACATAATGTTCCTTCTTCATCCCACTGAACAGTTTGAATCTTTGGTCTTCTTGTTTTAGTATATTCCACTTCTGGAGATTGGGTATTTGAAGATGATTGTCTCAGGTGACGAGGTCTTAGGGCCTTCTTTGGTGAGCTCTTACTCAACGATAAACTTTTAGAAGAATCGGTATTTATAAAATAGTCTCCTTGAATTTGTGAGTTTGTAACATGGTTTGAATTTCCAAATTGTTGCATATTTGCAAAATTTACTGAAGTACTACTTTGCAGCGGTAAAAATCCATTATTGGAAACAGTAGAAAAGTATCCATTGAAATGGTGATGTTCTTGCATTAAACTTTGCTGATCATGATATCGATAAGGGTGCTGGGTTTGATTTTGATTTTGATTTTGGTTTTGATCATAAGATTGTTGTTCTGTTGGTGAAATGTTTTGAGAATTCAAAGAAGAATCACCACTATGTTCTCCAGATACTTGAGTTGTTGGTTGAGATACAACAGTGGGATTGTACGTGGTGTAATTGTTGGGTCTGATATTTTCAACAAAATTATGAACAGACATGAAACTATCTGGTGAAGAATTTGCGGTAATCGTTGGTGAAGTTATTGGTGTTGGTCCAATATCACCTAAAACAAAAGAGAGTGGGTTTTGAGTTGTCCAAGTTGGTTTTATAATTGATTCTTCTGAAACTAACATTTATTTTCTAAGTACTTGATATGATATATTATACGATAATACTTCCAGCGTCTCGTATATATATATATTCCATCTAATTTAGTTTTAAAAGGAATCAAATACTTTTTTATATTACAATCCAGATGAAATCAGGGAGCCAAGAGGAAAGTTAGTAATTAGGTTAACAGGTTGATTAGTTATATTATTATTTTTTCCTTCTATTTCAGTTATAAGTACCAATAGGATCAAAGATGTTATACTTAGTAACGCTATAGACTCAGGCAGACCCTTATTAGATTTGATGTAATGAATGAAATAAGGTTTTACCTGGAATACGATTTTCTTTTTTTTTTTAAAAAAAAAAAAAAAGTTAAGTAAAGAATGAATACCAGTGGCACGAATAGTTACAGGGAAATAGAAAATATAGAAAATTACAGGCCATTGACCATAGCAAAGTCCAAAATGTGAAGGCTGCTTCCTACTTCCGCCGAAAGCATATATCTCTCATGTATATTTTGAACCAGGCTGAAAATTAGTCTTCTACCACGGCTGCCTCAATCACTGATTCAAAGTTTACGGCTATAAGTTATTCTGACCAAGGTTCATTGGGATACCTCAATTCAAACTTTACTAAGATTTATCCACCCGAGTTTTACAAAAAAGAAAAAAAAAAAAACACTCGGTAAAGCAGATTAAAGTTACAAATAGAAGGTGTGAAGAAGTAACAATCGGACTAAACAATATCGTGAAACTGAAGCGAATGAAGGAGAAATTTAGGAAGTTTAAACAAAAAGGAGTTGATTTCAGTGACCGTAAATAAAATATTTCTATTTAGAAAAAAATCTTCAGCTTCTCAAGATGGAAGTTTTGATTTTGTGATTAGGTCGATCCAAAAAATAACTGGGTTATTATCTCTGATGAAATTGGAAGAATCCCATGGATCAATGGAATCAAGACGTGAGCTGACGCAAGATTATGTGGGTTGGGAGTCAACTTTTCAATTGGGGATATTTTGCTGGTTTTAGCCTCTGTCATGCATTCAACTTTCACTTAAAGCTGAGAGGCCCCAACTTTGATGAGGATTTTCTCTCACGCTAGCAATGATTCGTTTGGTATGCTTCTATTTGGCTGCATTTGTTTACTAACCTTCCAAGTAATAAGCTACCCACCGGTGTATAATCTACGATCTCCGCCCTGAAGAAAAGCAATAACCAGCTTCTACATGTATGACTGCAATACAAGTAATAGGAAGCAAAGAGTCCGTTGGAACACTTGGAACACTTGCAGTAGTTTCTGGTTTTACAAGTCTGGACTTTCCGTTTTTCGCAGCTATAAAAAAAGGCCGCAAAAAAAAAAAAAGACTTTGGAAGAAAGGAAAGAAGAGGAAAGTATAGTAATTAAAGGAGACAATAGCTTGGTCAGCATAGGTTTGGCCACCTCACTTAGCCATTGAAGGAAGAGGCAGATGAAGCAGAAGGCAACTTCAAACGAATCGGGTGTATATGTATACGCAGAACATGCACGAATAGAAATGGTACATTGCGTCAAGCTACGTCGGTGTACCAGCCTTCTCGAACAAATGGTGCATGGATTAAGTCACTAGCTAACCGTGTTTCAATATATGTGAGAGGGCAATTAGGATAGCGAGATTTCAATAAAGGACAGAATTAAGTGAACTGAAGGACAACTTCATACAACAGGTGGTACAAAAGGTGTCGTACGAGTCAGGGAATGGATGAAGAATTGACTAGAACCCCCAAACCTGTATGATCACCATTCATTTAAATTTAGGAATAAGCAAGCAAGATCAAGTGGAGTGGTAATAACCTTATTACTCACTTGATATCTTGAGCTGTATTCGAGGGCGAGCCTATTGCGTTTGCGAGCTGGTCAAGATTTCGGACGACATATGCAAATAAACTGTATTCTACTAGAGTTTCAAGCAGTCTTATCCGAAATTGGAGGAACTAGATTCAAAATACGTCTTTTATCCGAACAGAAGATTTGTTCTATATCAGCCCTAGATTTTTTAGGCATACATGTAGTCCTTCTTATAAGGATAGACATACCGATAAGCAAAACGTGCTATCCCTTTATCTGCTGGTTCGATACTTCCATGCTGTATTCGAAGCTTCTTCTGCTTCTACACAATAGACACGTACACCAAATCCATCATAGAATCACTCTGTCCGGTATTGGAAGTGAAATAAGCGATGCAAAACTCCGTATTTCTCGTAATTATCTCCAGCAATGTCTTATAATATGACTGAGGAATCCAAGAAGATAGAAAACTTTGAAAGCATGAAAAATTACTTGAATTTAATTGAAAAATGATAAACTTATTATTCGCAATCAGTGAAAAGATTGAAATTTTTTCTGCCGTTCCCCGTTTGCAATGACTTTATCAGAAGAAGTCACTTTAACTCGAGAATAATACAAAGGCTTCGAGGTTTGATTATCGAGGCCGTTTCAGAGAAGCAAATTTTGGTTGTTAGGTTGGAATTTTATCTTTACTCGGAAAATAGAACCATCAACAGCAAGCTTTAGCAGAAAGTTCGACAATGAGTGCAGTATCTTCAAGTTCCAGCTCACCCATTAACATTAATAGTCCAGATTCCAGGCGAAGATCATTCTTAGATGTAGGAGGACGAAATTCGATTAATAATTTTGTTAGCTCCTTTCAAAGGGCACAGTCCTTTTCAGGTCTGAATCTATTTGAACCAGCAATTGATACCATTGATGATATCTCTCCACTTACTTCACCGCCCATTACAAATGGAGAGTTCGGAGAACCTGACAATAATCGTATTTTTGACACCCTATCGAGACATGGAACAGAAAGTGAACAAATCAACAATTTTGAGTTTCCTCAAGATGAAAATTCGTCATTATTATTGGGAAGACAAAATAGTAAATTAAGTAATACTTCAGAAAGGCTTATCAGTGGTAATTCTACCGCTCCTCAAACGATATTTAACTCGATAAATACTTTGATGGGTATTGCAATGTTGTCATTACCGTTTGGATTCAAATTATGTGGTTGGATATTAGGTACTTTATTACTATTATCAAGTGCTATAGTTACTGATTACACTGGTAAAATTTTGGGTAAGATTATGAGAAAGTATCCTCATTTGACTAGTTACGGAGATATTGCAAACTTATACGGGGGAGGTAAAGCTCAATTTATAATCACTTTGATTTTTTCAATTGATTTATTTGGTGCAACAATATCATTAATTTTAATCTTTAGTGATTCTTTTAGTTTACTATTCCCGGATATTTCCATTAAAGTTTTTAAAAGTATTATAATATTTATACTTTTCATTACATCATTTATCCCGTTACATATTATATCATTTTTATCAATTTTCGGAGTTGTTTGTACATCGGGAGTTTTAATAGCTATTATAGTTAGTGGATTACTTACACGAGAAATACCTGGTTCTTTATTGAAACCAGCATCTACTTATTTATTACCGGATAATCTAAATGATGTATTATTAAGTTTAGGTATAATGATGGCACCATGGGGAGGACATATAGTTTTACCTGAACTTATTAAGGATATGAAACATCCTTCTAAATATTCCAAATGTTGTGATATTGCCTTTTCGTTTAGTTTTGCATTATATTACTTAATTTCTTCAGTTGGATTTTTGATGGAAGGTTCAAATTGTGAAGATTCTTTAATTAAAAATATTATGCTGAATAAAAACAATTCCAAATCTTTAATATTAATAATTTGTTCTTTAATGGGATTATTATCAATTTCAAAAATACCTTTAGTGACAAGACCTTTAATAACAGTTTATGAAAATTTATTTTCATTAAATTTCGAAACAGAAATTACTTATCAAGATGGAGTTCGTCAAAAAACATTTTCGATGAAAAGGTTTATTGGTAGAGTTTTATTCACAATATTTATTCTCATTTTATCATTTACTTTCACATCATTTGGTCAAGTTATTGCATTTTTAGGGAGTGCAATTTGTTTTACTGTTTGTATTACATTACCATTATTATTTTATCTTAAACTATTTAATGATGAGTTAAACCAGTTGACAAAACTTGCCATTAAATTTGGTATTTTAATTAGTATTTCCGGTGCAATAATTGGTACTTATAGTTCATTCGTCTATGATACTAGTATATAATTTTTACTAAACATTAATATAATTAATTACTATGTATAAGTAAATGTAATCAAGCAAAGCCAGCTTTTACTTCAACCCAAAGGTGAAAAAAAAAAACGAAGCATGATAAACCATTTCAAACCCGAATATAACAATAAAACAAAACAAAAAAGTGAAAAAAAAAGGAAATGGGTTATCTGCTTTTCACTATTTTTCCATGAATAAAACAATTATAAAGACAAGACACAACTAGAAAACTAAATTTTAAAGAGAAGAACACACAAATGAAAAGGGCATAAACCAAACAAAAGTTTAATAAATTTATAGATACATAATAAATGTCACAATTTTTAAAATCAAACAAGGTTTTTAATTAACGTTTTGAACTATGTCTAGAACGGTTATTTGACTTATAACTATAATCTGAAGCATCTTCATCTATGTCAACATCATTTGAAAGAATACTTGCAGCGTATAATAAATTATCATGCTGAGATTTAGCAAGATATTGAGCCATAACTTGAGAACCAGAAGTTAAATGTGAATTTTTTGATTGAGGGCTTGGTAAATGATTAAAAGAATGGTGAGGCATTGGAGCCAGAGGTTGCATTGGCATTTGATTAAAATAACCTGAATGATTGCTATATAACATTGGTCTTGAATTTTGATGATTTGGTAAATAATAAAATTGATTTGATTGAGGAGCATTTGAAGAAGGTGGCGGATGAGGGAAAATAGGTTGGTGATGTAAATAAGGAGATTGATGAAATTTAGAAGGTTGATGATAATATTTAGCATAATTTGAATTGAGTGAAACCGTCGAAGAGTTTCTTGATCTTCTACCACGAACAAATCCATCAGATAAGCTCAGTTTATTTTGATTATTATTTTTATAAAAATTTTTAGGATTTTTCTTATTAATGGTTGAAGAAGTATCATCTGAGCCAATAATGATTGAAACATCATCGTCGTCATCATCATCGTCATCATCATCATCATCATCATCATCATCATTATCGTCACCGTCATTAGCTTCAGCTTGAATATTTTCATTTTTGTCATTTCCATTTTCGCTTTCATTTTCGATTTCATTTTCGATTGCATTTCCATTTCCATTCTCAATTTCATTTTTATCGTCCGTTATACCGAAAGCATTTTCTGGATTACCACTAATAATACCAAACACCATTGCCGCTTCTTCATTTATGGTATCTTTATCGGACGATTTATCATTTAAATCCGTCAAGCTCTCAGAAGATTTATCAATCTGTTTATCAGAAGCTTTATCTATTAAATCATCATTCAGTTTTTCAGTTTTCTTTTTAGAACGTCTTGATTTAAATTTATTATATTCAGAATTATCCAAGATAGTATTACCAGCCGGACCAAAATTATTATTTAATTTCTTCTTAAAAGAGAATTTTGGAGGATTACCACATCTATCTTTAGCAAAACTAATTTTAAAATTTTTATAACGATTATAAAAAGATAACGGATTTGAATCATCATCATCACCGGCGATTTTATTAATTTTAGATTCATTTTTAGTTTCGAATAATTCAACCAATCTTATGGCATCCATAATATTTAAGAAATTTATGAACCCACAATCTTTATTATGATAAAAATTAATTTGTTCTAATTCACCGAATTTTTCAAAATCTTTACGTAATTGTAAATCATTTGGTAATTGAATTTTTCTTTTGGTTTCTTCTTGAATTTGTTTTTTATTTGATTGATCTTTAATTAGTTTAATACCGATATATACATTTCTAGAAGCACCTGCAGTTACCGCCAAAGAGATTTCTCTATTGATAGGACCACTATGATTTTTAGCCCACCCAACGGTAATATCAAAACCATGAATGATTAATTGATGTAAAACTTGATGATTTAAATAAAATTTCAAAGCTATAGTTGGATCAACAAAGGTGATAAAACAAACTTTTTTATCGGGGTGATATTTAATTTGTTCCACCAACCCACCAGCTCTAACGTTATTGGCAATTTCTTCAATGGTAGTATTTGGATGTAAATTACCCAAATAAATGGTTCTATTACCAACGTTAAAGGGATCAGGATTATAATTATTTGAAATAGAAGAAGAAGTATTTGAAAGATTAAATTGAGAAGGATAATTTAAATGATTTGAAGAAATCATTGAAACATTATCATCTAAATCGGACTCCACATCATCTTTTGAGGAAGAAGAAGCCGAATTGGAAGAAGAGGTTTGATGGATTTGTTTATCAATAACTGTTCGATCACATCTATCCTTATGGAAACCAACGTAAACGAATTTATAACCGGACTCATTATTTAAATTACCTTCGTTATCAATTTGATTTTGTTTATCAATTTGAATTCTTTTATTATAGAATTCATAAGTTTTGATAGCAGCGTCAATGGAAGTGAAATGAATCAAGATTTTATATTGCAGTAAATCATTATAGTTAATTTTAAAATCTTCAATATCACCGAATTTACAACCTTGATTAAAAATTTCCGATTCAATTTTTTTCAAGAAAAAATCTGAATTACAAGAGATTTTAATAAGGATACATCTGGTAGCATTTGAATCCAAGATATAATTCAAAGTTTTCAATTTGATGAAATCTTGTTTGCTAATGGTTGAGTTATTATTTGAATGATTTGGACCTTCATTTAATTGAATTTTCAAATATTTTGAATTTTTCAATTTCAATTTCAAGTTATTCAAGTTATTTGTATTCTTGCAGTATTTTAAATGGAAATTAATTGATATTTTCGAATTTATAAATGATATATAGCAAGTTTTCAAGCATTTAACATCTTTTATATGATTTGGTGCTGGTTTGGAGAAAATTTTCACGTATTCAATCGGTCCGTAATCTATTTCATTTAATAATTCATTTAATGATAAATCATCATTTAAATTTTTCAATATAATTGTTCTTGATAAATTTAATTGATCTAAATTTGAATTTGATGGTAAGGATGTTAGGTATGGAGAATGATTCATATGATTCATATGATTCATATGATTCATATGATTCATTGGACTGGGATAATTATAAGGACTATTGATCAAATTTGCTGGTAACATTGATTGACTATAGTTCGAATCAAGTGGGGTCACTGGTGGTTGGAAAGGGTATCCTATTGGAGTTTGTCCATTTAAAGGACTTGGAGGATAGTACATTCCCGAATACATAACGAATGATAACTCAATAACTTAACTCAGAACTCAACTCAATAACTTAACTCAGAACTCAACTCAATAACTTAACTCAGAACTCAACTCAATACTCAATAACTCAGTACTCAATAACCAAAGTAAGCAATAAGCGAAGGTCAGCGGTTAACAAGCAACAAGTCAGCGGCTAACAACAAACGGTCTAGCGGTAACGATAGAATGAACGATGGCGATACAAGCAATACAAGCAAGTAATACAAGCAATACAAGCAGCAAGAACGATAGAAAACCAAACCTCAAGGTGTTAAAAGAGCGCCAACTGGAAACTCGACTGAAAAACAAACCTAAAGGGTAAAAAAAGGTTTAGAGAAAAATCCAAAAATCAATTTTTGAACTGATTTCAGGGACACGCAACACGAACTTTGACTCCTTCACTTGGGTCTGGGTTTCTTTACTGGTTATGCTTTCTGCTCCACTGGCTGCCACCACCGGGTCCACACCTGGTTTATATAGCGGCCATGTCTTGTCTATGGGAGAGGGTAGGAGATTGCGTCTATTATTAGACCACGTAAACACTGATTCTGTACACTATTGGGGACAAAGAGTGTCAACAAACACAGAGTGCACCATATGGGATTACGCTCTAAGTAATACATAAGTAGTACTCAATACTAGTAGTATAGTAACAGTATAGTAAGATAGTAGTACAGTATAATAGTACAGTACAGTAATACAGTACCGTAATACAGTACAGTAATACAGTACAGTAATACAGTACAGTAATACTAGAACAACTCCATAAGCCATGCAGCAGTAAGTATACCATAATAGTCAGTTACGGTAGAAGGTATAAGGAGAGTGAAATATAGTGGGTGTATAGTATGTATGTATAGTATGTATGTATAGTATGTATAGTATAATAGTAAAAGGTTAATAGTATAAGTATAATACTATAAGTATACTAGTATAAGTATGATAGTAAAAGTATAATAGTACAGTATAGTATAGTACAGTATAGCATAGTATAGCATAGTATAGTATAGTATAGTAGTTTAAGTATAGTAGTATAGCATAGTAGTATAAGTAGTAGTATAATAGTATAAGTATAGATTAGGTACAGTATAGTATAGTAGTATAGTAGTATAGTAGTATAAGTATAGTAATAGAATTGTAGTATAGTATAAATACAGTATAAGTATAGTATAAGTACAGTAGTATAGTATAGGTATAGCATACTAATATAGCATAGTAATATAGTATAGTAATATAGTATAGTATAGTATAGTATAGTAAAGTATAGATATATAAGTTTAGTATTACAAGTATAGTAGTATAGTATAAGTATAGTATAGTATAAGTATAGTATAATAGTAAAAGGTAATAGTATAAGTATAATAGTTTAAGTACAGTATAAGTATAGTAATATAAGAATAATATAAGTATAGTAATATAAGAATAATATAAGTATAGTAATATAAGTATATTATTGTAGTATAATATAGTAGTATAATATAGTAGTATAGATATAGATGTATAGTAGGTAATATTTATATGGACGAAGCAATGTTTGCAGACTACCGGATTAGGAAGTCTATATCATCGATGAAAATTTCACGCATTTTTTTATAAAAAAGTTATAAATTCGTCGTTGATAATTTCAATCCTTCTTCTTCTAAACAATCAATCAATTACAAAATGGCACAAGAAGTTCCAAATTTCAAATTAGTTTTAGTTGGTGATGGTGGTACTGGTAAAACCACTTTTGTTAAAAGACATTTAACCGGTGAATTCGAAAAAAAATATATTGCTACTTTGGGTGTTGAAGTCCATCCATTAGGTTTCCACACCAATTTTGGGGAATTAAAATTTGATGTCTGGGATACTGCTGGTCAAGAAAAATTCGGTGGATTGAGAGATGGTTATTATATCAACGGTCAATGTGGTATTATCATGTTTGATGTTACTTCTAGAATTACTTATAAAAATGTTCCAAATTGGCATAGAGATTTAGTTAGAGTTTGTGAAAACATTCCAATTGTTTTATGTGGTAACAAGGTTGATGTTAAAGAACGTAAGGTTAAAGCTAAAACCATCACTTTCCATAGAAAGAAGAATTTACAATATTACGATATTAGTGCTAAATCAAATTATAATTTCGAAAAACCTTTCCTTTGGTTAGCTAGAAAATTGGTTGGTAATGCTCAATTAGAATTCGTTGCTTCTCCTGCCTTGGCTCCTCCTGAAGTTAACGTTGATGCTGAATTAATGCAAAAATATCAACAAGAAATGGAACAAGCCACCGCTTTACCTTTACCTGATGAAGATGACGCTGATTTATAAGCTCGTCCTATATAGCTAGTATATAATAAATATATATATTTTATATTATCGTTTCCTGTATCTCGTATTTATTAACCCCCTTGTTGTATTCTTCGTTATATCGATACGCTGATGCCGGGGGGTTGGGCATCTCGCTTAAATTCGGTGGTGGTGGTAGATAGTATTCATCTTCACTATCCTCTTCTTCCTCTTTCTGTGATGGACCCGGCACTTTTTCATTCAACTTCTCTAACGTCACTTGATATTTGAACGTACTTGGTTTCCATTCGTTGGTTTCTTTGGCTTTGGCTTCGTAGTACTGGCAGTAGTACCGTATATGGTTTCGTCCTTGGAGGTGTGACTTCCTCACACTCATGGTGTCGTGCGTCAAGTACGACCGGCAGTAGTCACAATAGTACTTAGGCATATAAACGTATAGATAAATGTATCAATAAATGTACATATAAATATATATAAATGTATATTTATGTATATATAAATGGATATCAATGAATAAATGTACGGATGTACGGGTAGTGTCCGTGGGACAAAAACTTCCTCCACCAATAAAAAAACAAGCCCGGGTTTTGTAGCTGCGCGCACGACCCGCTACCGAAATTCGGTTGATTTTTTTAACCTCAACAAAAAGTGAATAAAATTTTAAGCACTAGTTAATACTTTAGATAATAACCATGTTTAGAGCTTCAATTGTATGTATAAGAAAGAAGAGATTCGAAGAAGACGTACTAACCGGGTGCCAGAACTTGTCTGTTAGAAGATTTTCTGTTGCAAGCAGAAGAAATAACTTGATTTCTGACTTGTACGTTAGTCAAATCAAACAATTTAAACCAACTCCAATTTCAACTGAACAACAAGAAGCTTCAGTTAAAGCTTTCCACTTACCTCAAAAACCATCGTTACCATCTGAAGAAGTCAGTGCTGATGGTTTAGCTTCATATGAATCTGCAGAAGTTGAAACTGAATCCGCAGCTCCAGTTGAAGGATCTGCTCCAGTTGAAGAAGATTGGTTTGTTTTTGAAGAACCAGAAGAACATCATTAATGACTATATATTCGTTTATGTATTAGGTATGACAACTATCCACGATTTTCTATTAGTTCAATTGAATTGATAATAAAAAGTTCAAATGTTAATTGTATTTCTTGTAGTGCACTAAAAAAGAAAAAAAAAAAAAAACACAACAACAGAGATTATCAGCTAGTTATTCTTTTCTAGTAATGTCAAATTATTTGGATATAGATGCCATTGAAAATGCATCGGAGTTATTGAACTCAACGTTGCAGTCAAAGGGGTATATCAGTACTCCGCTACTTTTCAATTCAATTAACTGGAACGATCTCGTAACCGATGACAATTTGAAAAATTTAGAAATCACCGAAGAAATTTATAATAACGATAAAAATTTCATTAATATAATATACTCGTTACAAAAATCTATTGAGAGACATCAATCGCAATCTAAGTCGTTTAACAAAATGATCATGAGTAAAGATTCCAAAATCGAAAGTCTTAGTAAACAAGTTGAATCATTACAAGCCAAACTAAATGATTTACAACTGAAAAATAATCAATTTGAAGCGATTGATAAAAATCAATTGCAAATCAAAATCCACGACTTGAACAAGTTGAATAAACTACAGAATAATGACTTGGTCAAGTTGAAAAATTGGTGTAACGATTTGAAAATAAAGTATAACGTTGAATTGAAACGAAAAAATATTGAAATATCTCAATTGAAAAATCAAATTCTAGAAAATAGAAAATTATCAAATACCGATATCAATTCCAATCTTATACTCGATAACGACCCAATCATCGATAATTCAGGGCCTCAGCAAGATTCCTCGAATGCGGTCATTGAACAGCATGAGGACATCTTGAATCAGTTAACTGATCTAATTACAAAATTAATGAAGGAAAACTCTAAATTTTCAAAATTTATTAAAATACTCAATGAATACATTTCGAATTTAAATTTACAAATCTTCAATAAGAATTCCCAAAATTTGAATCTCATCAATTTGACTAATCCGTCTAAAATCATTGACTTGAATCAAATTGTGAATGACGACTCCGACGAACTTGAATCTTTTGAAATCTTATCTAAACCGTTGATCAATAACGTTTATAAAAACTTCCATTATTTGAATGATTTGATCAATTCGATTGATTCTCAAATCGACTCGACTTCATCTGATCCAACAATCTCAAAATTAAGACAAGAAAATGATATTCTTTATTCCAATTGGCAATCGGCAATAAAAGCCTTGGAGGATTGGAAATCTTATGAGCAATTCAAATCAAACTAAACGCTTTTAAGCACCGTGGTTTCTAAAGATATTGAACTCAACGGGAAATCTTTCATCAATTCTCCATCCCTTATTTCGCTCGTTGGCCGAAACCTTATTGATAATCCACCATCATACTCTAAATAAGTGTTCAATATCACCCCTGTACAATATATCTGGTCATATTTCAAATCATCCTGATCCATAAATTCTTCTTTTGTATTATTATCAATAAATTCTTTTTCCTGATCATTTTGCTTAGAAAGTTGCAACACCCTTTGTTCTTCCTTTTTAGGTTCCTTATAATAGAATTTCATCACTCTAAGTAAATCCCCCGTTTGCAACATCTTAAACTCATTCGCCTCGCTTCCCAGAAATTCCTTCACCACTACTACCACCACTCCAACTTCAATCACACTTTCGCTGTAGGGATCGCGTACTTGCTTGATCGGACTCTTCTCTTGTAGCATCTTTTGTATTACTAAAGTACGCGATAAACTATCATATTGGTCGGTTCCTTCATCGCCGCCCTGGGTTTTAATCGAACCTAACTTCAATAAGCTGGCTTGGTCGTCTTTCTTTCTTGAACCGTCGCCACTTGAATTCAAATCTTCATCGACTGCCTTCGCCTCCTCGGAGCTCAACTGCTCGATGTCTCCTACCTTCAGCTTTGAAACAATCATGATTCTCAAATCAGTAATTTTTACCCGCTTACCAGGCACATCAATCACAACACAGCAGCAAAATCCCACAAGCAACCCAACAAGCAACATAAACCCAAACACAATCCCAACCACAGAACCAACTACAACTCTATTAGATACCATTTTTCGATGTAAAACCGCCGGGTTAGAAGTGGGTGTTTCTAGCGCTCATCCTTTTTTTTTAAAGCTGGTTGCAAATTTAGCGCAAAAAAACTAAACCTTCTTCATTAACTGATCCAACTCAGCTTCAGGGTCGACCACTTGTGCTAGAAGCTCATGCTCTTTCTCTTTTGCCAACTGGTTTTCCTCATCCAATTTCTTATACTTCTTATTTGATTTTTTGCTTTTAGATTTCTTGAGTAACGTCTTCCTGGTATTCAAAACTGCAGTTCGACAAGTTTCTGGATTCTGCATTTCGTCCAACTTCAAGGCTAGAATTTCTCTTGCTTTCTTTCTATTTGATTCCTGCGACCTGGAATACTGGCAGGTAACTACCAATCCACTTGGTTTATGGGTCAATTGAACCTTACTGTTGGTTTTATTGATTTTTTGTCCTCCTGGTCCACTACCTCCTTTCAAAAACTTCTCTTCTATTTCCTCCTCCACTATTAGCCATTTTGGTCTGGGTGGAAGCTTGTTTCTTTTGGGTATCCCGCTTAATATGCTCGTCTGGCAAAACTGTCTATACGGTTGGTAGAAACTCCGGATTCGTGCAAACATGCTATCCAATCCTCGAATATTTACTACTAATAAATTTTCACTTTTGGTCTTTCTTCGCTTCAACGAAAAATGCATGTTACCCGCGAGTTATTACAGGTTACAGAAATGCAGATTACACTGAGATAAATACAGGTTGGACTCGGGGAATTGCAGGTCCACCAAAACTACAGTTTAGACGCGTCTTCTCTGCTCATTAAAAATTTGACTCAAAAGGGAAAACTAATTGATGTTCTTTTGATTTTTCATTACTCGACAGAAAACAAGTCAAAAAAACACAGGAATAGATACTCTTTTCAATAGAAACAGCGGTTGAGAATGTCATTTGAAAGAGCAGAAACTTACAATGCCCAGGTGTTGGCCATGGGAGAGCAGGATGAACGGGAAAACCATGAAGTGATCAAGGCATTCCGTTCATTTATATTAGAGTTCAGATTGGATAGCCAGTACATTTATAGAGATCAATTAAGAGAAAACTTATTGATTAAGAACTATTATTTGAAGGTGAATTCTGAACACTTGATCAGTTTTAATGAAGAATTGAATAAAAAATTGTCCGATGAACCAGCCGATATGATTCCTTTATTTGAAGTTGCAATTACTGAAATAGCCAAAAGAGTTGCTTATTTATCAAATGACGATGTGCCAACCAGTTTCCCAAGTTGCCAATTAATTTTGTACTCCAATGCCACCAAGACTTCTTTTAGAGATTTAGATTCTGAACACATTTCCAAGATTGTTAGAGTTAGTGGTATTATTATCTCGGCATCTGTTTTATCATCCAGACCTACTCAAGTTCAAATCATTTGCCGTAATTGTAAACATACTCAAAAATTGAATGTAAATTCCGGGTTTGGTCAAGTTAATTTACCAAATAAATGTCTTCACTCTTCTGAAACTACTGATCAAATTATCCCAATTAAATGTCCTCCTGATCCTTATTTAATTGTTCACGATAAATCTACTTTTGTTGATCAACAAGTATTGAAATTACAAGAATCCCCCGATATGGTACCTGTTGGTGAAATGCCTAGACATATCATGTTACAAGCTGATAGATATATGACAAACCAGGTTGTCCCCGGTACAAGAGTCACCATTGTTGGGATTTATCTGATTTATCAATCTAAACAAAGAAACGCTACGGGGATTAATACCGTCGCTATCCGTAACCCTTATCTTAAGATTTTGGGGATTCAAACTGATGTTGATAGTCAACGTGGTGGATTAACTTTTACCGATGAAGAAGAAGAAGAATTTTTGAAATTATCTCGTTTGCCTAATTTATATGACCTTTTCTATAAATCAATTGCGCCTTCTATTTACGGTAATGACGATATCAAAAAGGCAATCACTTGTCTTTTAATGGGTGGTTCTAAAAAAATCTTACCGGATGGAATGAGATTAAGAGGGGATATTAATGTTCTTCTTTTAGGTGATCCAGGTACTGCCAAATCTCAATTATTAAAATTTGTTGAAAAAATTTCTCCAATTTCGGTTTATACTTCTGGTAAAGGTTCTTCAGCTGCCGGTTTAACTGCTTCTGTTCAAAGAGATTCTCAAACTAGAGATTTCTATCTTGAAGGTGGTGCAATGGTTTTAGCTGATGGTGGTGTTGTTTGTATTGATGAATTCGATAAAATGAGAGATGAAGATAGAGTTGCAATTCACGAAGCCATGGAACAACAAACCATTTCAATTGCTAAAGCAGGTATTACTACAATTTTAAATTCAAGAACTTCAGTTTTAGCTGCTGCTAATCCAATTTTTGGTAGATATGACGAAATGAAATCTCCTGGTGAAAATATCGATTTTCAAACTACTATTTTATCTAGATTTGATATGATTTTCATTGTTAAGGATGATCATAATGCTGCAAGAGATATGTCAATTGCTCAACACGTTATGAATGTTCATACTGGTAATACTAATAATCAAGAAGATCAAGAAGGTGAAATTCCCATCAATATCATGAAAAGATATATCCAATATTGTAAAGCTAGATGTGCTCCTCGTTTAAGTCCTGAAGCTTCAGAAAGATTATCTTCTCATTTTGTTTCAATAAGACGTAAATTACAATTAAGTGAATCTGACATGAATGAAAGATCCTCAATTCCAATCACTGTTAGACAATTAGAAGCAATCATTCGTATCACCGAATCTTTAGCTAAATTAAGATTATCTCCAGTGGCTACCGAAGAACATGTCGAAGAAGCAATCAGATTATTTAATGCTTCCACTATGGATGCTGTAGATCAAGGTGTCTCCAGTGGTGGTGTCGTTGGTAATAGTGAAATGGCACAAGAAATTAAAAAAGTCGAACAGGAATTAAGAAGAAGATTACCAATTGGTTGGTCTACTGCTTATAGAACCTTGAGAAGAGAAATCGTTGACTCAGGAAAAGCTAGTGCCCAAGCTCTAGATAAAGCTCTTTATATTATGAGTAGACATGAAGTTATCAAATTTAGACATCAAGGTCAAAATGTCTTACGTTGTGGTGTTTGAATTTGTCTTTTCTGGTCTTTGTATATTAGTCTTTTCTTCTTCATTTCTTCATTTCCTTCTTTTACTTCATTTCAATCAGTATTATAATCTCTAGTATGTTTTAGTTCTTTAAATATTAGTTTCCTTATCGTATTGACTGTTCGTTGTAAGTTTTAACCTGCGCACTAATTTTTCATGTATTTTTTCCTTTAAAACTCCAAAACTGGTTGATTTTTTGTATTGAAAAAAGCAGATATTGTGAATTCATCAAATTAGAATAGCAAAAACTTCAGCCTAGTCATTATGAGTGTGGAAGAACAGACCGTTGATGAGTCAGACTCATTCAAGTTTTTCGGTCTTGGGGGATGTAACGAGGTTGGTAGATCTTGTCATATTATAGAGTATAAGAACAAGGTCATCATGCTTGATGCTGGGGTTCATCCTGGTTTGAATGGGTTAAGTTCGTTACCGTTCTATGATGAATATGATTTATCCAAAATTGATATTTTATTAATTAGTCATTTCCATTTAGATCATGCTGCATCTTTACCTTATGTAATGCAACACACAAATTTTAGAGGCCGTGTTTTTATGACCCATGCTACTAAAGCCATTTATAGATGGTTGTTACAAGATTTCGTTAGAGTGACTTCAATTGCAGGTCAGGGAGACGATAGATCCCAGGCGAATGGTGGGGCTTCTGCTAATCTTTATACTGATGATGATTTAATGAGATCTTTTGATAGAATTGAAACCGTTGATTATCACTCAACGTTTGAAATTGACGGGATAAGATTTACAGCATATCACGCAGGCCATGTGTTAGGTGCTTGTATGTATATGATAGAAATTGGGGGGTTAAGAGTATTGTTCACTGGTGACTTCTCTCGTGAAGAAGATAGACATTTAAAAGTAGCTGAAGTTCCTCAGATCAAACCAGATATTTTGATTGCTGAATCAACTTTTGGTACGGCTACCCACGAACCAAGATTAGAAAAAGAAACAAGAATGACTAATTTGATCCATTCCACTATATCAAAGGGTGGGCGTGTTTTGATGCCTGTTTTCGCTTTAGGGAGAGCCCAAGAACTTCTTTTAATTTTAGAAGAATATTGGTCTATGAATGAGGATATTCAGAGTGTTAATATTTACTATGCTTCTAACTTGGCTCGTAAATGTATGGCGGTTTATCAAACTCACACCAATATCATGAATGATAATATTCGTCTTAGTTCTACATCCAATGAAAACACTAATCCTTTCCAATTCAAATTCACACAGTCAATCAAAAGTATCGATAGAATCCAAGACATGGGTCCATGTGTTGTTGTGGCTTCACCAGGTATGCTTCAAAGTGGGGTATCTAGACAATTACTAGAAAGATGGGCACCAGACCCTAAGAATTCTGTTATAATGACCGGTTATTCTGTTGAAGGTACTTTAGCCAAAGATTTAATAAATGAACCTCATACCATTCCATCTATAGCGAATCCAGAAATGACAATCCCACGTCGTTTAACTGTTGAAGAAATCTCTTTTGCTGCTCATGTTGATTTCCAACAAAATGCAGATTTCATTGAAAAAGTTAGTCCCCTGAAAATTATTTTAGTACACGGTGATAGTAATCCTATGGGTAGGTTGAAATCCGCGCTTTTAAGTAGGTATTCTTCAAGGAAAGGAACAGATAGTGAAGTTAAGGTTTTCAATCCAAGAAACTGTGATGAATTAAAAATCCCTATAAAAGGAAATAAAATCGCTAAAGTAGTAGGTTCTTTAGCGGAGGAACAAATCTTATCATTGAAGGAGGAAGTCAAGGAAAGACTTGAAAAGAAAGAGCAGAAAATAGAAGAACTCAAAGAGGAAGATGAAGATAAAGAAGATGCAAAAGAAGTTAAGAAAGAAGATGCAGATGAAGTTAAGAAAGAAGATGCAGATGAAGTTAAGAAAGAAGAAGACGTAGTCAAGAAAGAAGAAAACCAATCAGAGGTTAAGCAAGAGGATGGAGAAGATAACGAGGAGGAAAAAGAAAGCACTTTAAGTTTGGATTATGGAGTTTCTGGTGTCTTAATCCAAAAGGATTTTGATCTCAATCTTCTTCAATTACAGGATTTGCATGAATTCACTCTGTTGTCGACCTCTATAGTCAAGTCAAAGATTAATTTAAAAATTCAAGCTGATATATCATTAATGCAATGGCATTTAGAGCAAATGTTTGGCTTTGTCAACGTTGTCAATGACGACGAGGAAGAATGGGAATGTTTAATCATGGACATGATTGATATTCTAGTTGAAAGAAAGAAATCGCAAGACGGATTACAAATCACAGTTGAATGGATCAATGATAACTTAATGGCCGATTCTCTTGCTGATAGTGTAGTGGCCATATTGTACTCCGTCGACTCATCACCAGCATCAGTCAAGCTTACTTCTAAATCTTGTTCCCATTCCCACCCAGTTAAAGCTGAAGACGAAGATGATGAAAAAGAAGATGATAAATCAGGCTATACAAACTCCGAAATTGCAAGCCGCATTCACCGTATATCGACCTTGCTTAAGGCTCAGTTTGGAGATTCCTTAAAATCATTGGATAACCACAAGGCTGTCATATCTATCGGAAAGAACGAAGCAAAAATAGACTACTTGAATCTTTCTGTTGAATGTGGATCAAAAGTGTTGAGGGATCGTATAGAAAATATAATCAAAAGAGGTTGCGGTTTAGCTGCTCCTTTGAGTCAATACCAAAAAACCGTATAGACTTGTGTATACTATCTTAATTAAACCTTTAATGTATATTATGAATATAACTTGTCAACTACCAGTAAATCAAGCTTAAACAGTAGTAAAAATTGCAGCTATTCAGAGTCGTGCAAAAACCCGAACGAATGCTGCTCAAATAAAAAAAAAAAAATACATATATAAAGTACATACAAATATATTACTTCAAGGTAACCTTCCGTTTGACTCTATAGGACCGAAGTACCATGGCGTATGTATCGAAGCAAGACGACAATACCAAGACAAATACTAACAAGAATATAGTGAATTAATAGATCGTGCTCGTTCCGAGTTGACTGAACTCGAGCTTCAGAAGTTAGAAGAGTTCGAATTTGCTCATGGACCCATGTCCTTGCTCCAAAATGCAGTCAACAATAACACTCCGGTGGTCATATCGTGTCGTAATAACCATAAGCTAATAGCTAAGGTGAGATCTTTCGATAGACATTGTAATTTGATTCTAGAAAACGTCAAAGATTTGTGGAACGAGTCTGTTAAGAATGATAAAGGTAAAGTCATCAAAACGGTACCTAAGGAAAGATTTATTTCCAAGTTGTTTTTGAGAGGTGACTCGGTAGTCATAATCTTGAAGGCATGATGATTTGCTTTTACCTTTAATTGTATAATACGCATCTAGATTTTATTAGCATGGAAGTTATGTCAAACTCAACTCTAAATACACTAATATAGTGTAACTGTATATTATTAATAAACATCCATTAATTTGTAAGAAAGATAGTCAGTAGGTCTTGATGTAGGATTATGTGTGTGCATCAAAAAGTGAAAAATATCTAAATTTCCAATCGATCTCATAGTTTTATCAGAATACCACACCGCTTTATTCTTCTTATCACTTTCAATGTCATTTGGACAATCGATGAAATAACTGGGGACAGCTTTCTATCAATCCTTTATAAGTGCTCGCCTTAAAACACGTCAAATCATGAGGTTAAAACTAAGAACTCAAAACATCGAAAAATTGAAAGATACTCTTTCGTTGATCAGTCATTTAAGAAAGTTTATAGTGTTGAGATTCACCGAGTCTCAGCTTGCGGTGATTCTGATGAACTCCAATCCAGTGAACCAAGAACCGCAGATCTGGTGTAAGTTACGCATGGCAAGTTTATTTGATGAGATTGAAGTTATAAGTAATCATGATAATACTGTTCCTTTAGAATTGAACATCGATCTACTACTACAAACACTCCGAAACTTTGATAAGGCAAATAGTGATGGCTTAAACATAAGATTACAACGGAAAGACACGTCGGGGTCACTGGGGGGTATTCTGAATACGGGAAGACTTGCATCTCTAGCGTTGTTCTATTCTAATACAAATGCTAATAATAATACCGTTAATCACACTTTTAAGATTCCAGTAAGGATCTTGAAAGTCACTCATGAGTCCATTAGTTTGAGTGAGCCCGAGTTATCACGAATTGATCTAATGATTGGGATTCCAAACCAGTTCGTCTCCACATATAAAAGATTGGACAAATTCAAAAAGGCTTCTAGCAATGACTTGGTTACCCTAAAGGCAAGCAGAAGGAGCCTGGGGTTTCTTGGTTTCGTCCTCGAAGAAGAAGGTAAATTCAAAATCACAATCAGCTGGAATGATAAACTTGAAGTACAAAAACCTTTACAAAATCACGCTATTGATGGTGAAAGCATGCGTACAGCCGTTTTGGAAACTTCCAATAAAGACCAAATCGATGAAAATGACGAAAATGAAGATAAAGAAATCAGTGTAAAACTACAAGATTGGAGAAACGCTTCTAAGATTGTTGCAACATGTAAAACAGTGGTTCTACTCATTGCCCATAAAGAAGCATGTGCCTTGCATTGCTTTTTGGACGATTCGGAAGACGTTGAAATAATCTACTTCATCAGTGGAGTCAAGATTCGTGATCTTCTTGATTGACCCGTGTCGTAGTTGCACCTGAATAAATCAGAGGTAATTTGTGACTCAGGCCGCACTTTGAAATTTTTTTCTGTTCAGACCATATTATACTTCTGCTCTTCTTACTAGACTTAAGGATTTAGTATTAGTATCAGTGACAATGGCTCAAACTAGAACATTAGACCGTGAAGAACCAAACTATTTTGGTGCTGGTCCAGCGTTATTACCAACTTCTGTTTTACAGCAAGCAGCTTACGACTTGATCAATTATAATGATGAGAATTTAGGTATTGGTGAAATTTCTCACCGTTCTAAACCTGCAATTCAAGTTATTGATGATACCAAGGCTAATTTGAAATCATTACTTAATATCCCTGATACCCATGAAGTTTTTTTCATGCAAGGTGGAGGTACCACTGGATTTTCATCTATCGTTTATAACTTATTTGCCAATTACGCTAAAAAGACTAATGGTAAAAAAGGTAAAGCTGCTTATGCAGTTACTGGTTCTTGGTCAAAGAAATCTGCTGAAGAAGCTCAAAGATTAGGCTTTGACGTTGATATTGTTGTTAACACCAAGGACAAAAAATTTGCTGAAATTCCACCTTATTCTGAATGGAAACCAATTGACGCAGAATCAACTGCTTACTTATATGTTTGCGATAACGAAACTGTTCACGGAAACGAATACAAAGACACTCCTGCTCCTGATTATTTACCTGAAGGTGTTGAATTGGTTGCTGATATGTCTTCCAACATTTTATCGAAGAAAATTGATGTCAGTAAATACGGTCTTATAATGGCTGGTGCTCAAAAAAATATCGGTTTGGCTGGTTTAACCATTTATATCATCAAGAAATCTTTATTGGAACAACCATCTGATGAAGAATTGAACAAGTATGGTATTCCTCTTCCTCCAATTGCTTTCCATTACCCAACTGTTGTTAGCAATAATTCCGCTTATAACACCATTCCTATTTTCACTTGTCATATCTTGAAACTCGTTACCCAAAGATTATTAGATAATGGAGGTCTTGAAAAACAAGAAGAAATCAATAAAAAGAAAGCCCAAGTCTTATATGAAGCCTTAGCTAAATATCCTAATTTCTATAGATTACCAGTCACTAGCGAAAGTGCTCGTTCGAATATGAATGTCGTTTTCACTCTTCCAAGTGATGAATTAGAAGCCAAATTTATCAAGGAGGCTTCTGAAAATAAATTGACTGGTTTGAAAGGTCATAGATCAGTTGGTGGTATGAGAGCTTCTATATATAACGCAGTTACCCTCAATAGTGTTGAATTATTAGTTGATTTCGTCAAACAATTCGCTGATAAGAACGCTTGATCCTCTAATGACCATATAATATATACATATAGATAACACTGTTATACTGTAGAGAAGTAACTTGTTTGCAACTAAAAACTACTGCGCAAGTCTGTGATGAAAGCGAAAAAAAAAAATACTTGAAAAATTTGAAAAATCCAGATTTAAAGTACTGGGAAACTGAAAAAAGACTATCTTGTAAATATAAATACAAATTGAAATAAAAAAGCGACTATTATGTTGATATCGAGGTGGTCATATCGCATTTTCCCTCCGAAACACCTCTCTATAATTCAGAGTCGTCTACTATCTAGAAGTGCAGTCAGTTTGGCAGCTAAGAATGTTGTATCGGTTGAAGAAAAGAAAAAGACTCTTGACAGGGACAATTTCGCTAAAGATGTCCAAGAACGAATTGCCAGAATACCGATATCAAACTACAGAAATTTCAGTATAGTAGCTCATGTGGATCACGGAAAATCAACCTTATCCGATCGTTTACTAGAGTTGACTGGAGTTATTCAACCAGGTGATGCAAATAAGCAAGTTCTTGATAAATTAGACGTGGAAAGAGAACGTGGTATAACTGTCAAAGCTCAAACATGTTCGATGTTTTACAAAGATCCAGAGACAAACGAAGATTATCTATTACATTTGGTTGATACCCCAGGTCATGTTGACTTCAGAGCAGAAGTATCGAGGTCGTATGCTTCATGCGGTGGTGCTCTTCTTATTGTTGATGCAGCACAAGGAGTTCAAGCACAAACAGTAGCCAATTTCTTTCTTGCCTATAGTATGGGATTGAAGCTCATACCAGTGATAAACAAGATCGACTTGGACTCCGCTAATATACCAAAGGCAATAGAGCAAGTAGAAACTACTTTTGAATTACCTAGAGAAGAGTGCATTCCAGTCAGTGCTAAAACAGGACTCGGTGTTGACAAAATTATACCTACAGTAATCAGAGATATACCTCCACCTACTGGTGATCCACTGAAACCGTTAAAGTTATTATTGGTTGATTCATGGCATGATCCTTACGTTGGAGTGGTAATGTTGGTCCATGTTGTGGACGGGACTGTTAAAAAGGGTATGAAATTATTATCAGCCCATTCAGATCGAAGATATGATGTCAAGGAAGTGGGTATTATGTATCCTGACAAATTACCAATGAAAAATATTCAAGCCGGTCAAGTAGCATACATTATTCCTGGTATGAGGAATCCCAAGGAAGCCATGATTGGGGATACATTCTATCAATACGGCAACCATGAGGGTCTTGAGCCTCTTCCAGGGTTTGAAGAGCCTAAACCAATGGTCTTCGTTGGGGCCTTTCCTGCTGATGGGGGTGAATTCAATGTGATGAATGACCATTTGGAATATTTGGTTTTGAATGATAGGGCTGTTACGTTGGAAAAAGAAACATCGAATGCATTAGGACTTGGATGGAGGTTAGGTTTTTTGGGCTCTTTACATGCATCTGTCTTTAAGGAAAGATTGGAAAAAGAATATGGTGCTAAAATAATTTTAACTGCTCCTACTGTTCCATACAAAGTCATTTATAAGAACGGTGACGAAAAACTAGTTACAAATCCAGACGAATTTCCAGAAGATAAGCAAAAAGTTGAACTGTTGTTGGAGCCTTACGTTGAAGCAATAATGACAGTACCAGATGAGTTCATAGGTACCGTAATGTCGTTATGCGAAAACAATAGAGGTATTCAAAAAGAATTAGAATATTTGACGACGGGTCAAGTTTTACTTAAGTACGAAATCCCATTGGCTCAACTAGTTGAAGATTTCTTTGGGAAATTAAAAGGTATGACCAAAGGATATGCATCTTTAGACTATGAAGATGCCGGCTATAGAAAATCAGATATTGTTAAAATGGAATTATGTGTTAACACTGTTCCACAAGATGCCTTGACACAAATTCTACATAGATCACAAATAATGGCAAGAGGTAAAGAAAATGTTACAAAATTCAAAGAATTTCTTAGACATCAATTATTTGAGGTTGCAATACAAGCTAAGGTAAATAACAAGGTGATCGCTAGAGAAACGATAAAAGCTAAAAGAAAGGATGTTACTCAAAAATTACATGCAGCCGATATATCTAGAAGAAAAAAGTTATTAGAAAGACAGAAGGAAGGTAAGAAACAAATGAAATCGACCGGAAGAGTCAATATTAACCAAGAGGTTTATCAAGCATTTTTACGTCGTTAAGCAAGAAATAACGACAACTTGTATATAGAAGCTCAGTTCGTATATAGATAGTTTTGAACAAATACAGGCATTCTTATTTATTTTAAACGTTTATCTGGATTACTATATACAAATTATATACGAAATAATAATCGTAAGCATGAAGTGAAAAGCTATTATCTTTGAGTTACGCAAAACTAATTTTGCAAGAATTTTTTGTAGACGACGTTATCAGTTTCTTCAACAAATTTGTAACCCAATTTCACTAAGAATTGTTGGAACTCTTCATCACTAGTGGATTCAGGGAGAACGAAACCACACAAGACTTTACCAACGTCATGTCCATGATTTCTATAGTTGAATAAAGTAATATCCCAGTCGTCCTTAAGAGATTGTAAAAAGTTAGTCAAAGCACCTGGTCTTTCAGGGAACTCGAATCTGAATAATCTTTCTCTTGAAATTTTAGTACAACCTTCTCTAGGTGATTTACCACCAATTAAGTAACGTCCGTGGGTTTTAGCTAATTCATTCTTAGAAATATCAATGACTTCATACTTGTGATCTTCATCAGTCATAGTGTTTATGATGGATGCAAGTTCTTTATCTTTATTAATAACATTAAAGCTTAAGAAGATGTTAGCAGGGTCTGAATTACCAAATCTATAAGAGAATTCAGTGACAGCTCTGTTATGTAAAATTTTTTGTAATTTGGCGAATTCACCAGGTCTTTCAGGAATAGCAACGGCTAAAGAAACTTCTTTACCTTCACCCAAAACAGCTCTTTCACTTACAAATCTCAATCTATCAAAGTTCATGTTTGCACCTGATAAAATAGGAACGTAAGTTTTATTTCTATGATCAATTTTTCCAGCAGTATCATGAACATATTTTTTCAAACCAGCTACCGATAAAGCACCAGAAGGTTCAACAATGGATCTGGTATCTTCGAATATGTCTTTAATGGCGGCACATAATTCATCGGTTGAAACTCTAACAACATCATCTACCAAAGTACTACAAAGTCTCCAAGTTTCATTACCAAGAACTTTGACAGCAGTACCATCAGCAAAAACACCAACTTTTTCTAAGAATTCTTGCTTGCCATTTTTTAAGGATTGGTACAAAGCATCAGCGTCATAGGTTTCAACACCAATAATTTTAACATGAGGAGCAATTTTTTTCAAATAAGAAGCAATACCAGCAATTAAACCACCACCACCAACAGGGATGAAAACAGCATCCAACTTATCTAATTGTAACTGCCTGGTAATTTCTAACGCAACTGTACCTTGACCGGCGATAACAAAAGGATGATTAAAAGGTGGAATATTGATCAAGTTATTCAAGTTACTCAAACGATCACATTCTTGTTTGGCAGAATCAAAATCATCACCATATAAAACGACTTGAGAGCCTAATCTTGAAACATTAGTGTATTTGATAGAAGGAGTGGCAGTTGGCATAACAATTGTTGAAGGAATTTTCAATCTTGCAGCTGAATAGGCAACACCTTGAGCATGATTACCAGCTGAACAAGCAATAACACCAGAAAGTGGAGTTTTTGACTTAGCGTGTAATTGGGCAATCATATTATAAGCACCACGTAATTTGAATGAAAAAACTGGTAATAAGTCTTCACGTTTTAAAAAAACATTACAGTTGGTTTTATTAGACAAATTGATGGCACGAGTCAAAGGTGAGCCAGCTCTATCAACGACATCATAAACCCTTGCGGTAAGAATCAATTTGAGGTAATCTGGAGTACCATCGCTATTCAAATCGGAATCTGATAATTCAGGGAAGGCTTCTTTATATTTATTAGTTAAGACTGGGCCAGAACTTGAAGAATTAAATCTTACAGTCTGAACCACCTTCGAAGTACATTTAAGTGTCGTAACACTCTTGGATGCTCTCTGGATATTCCTAGAAAGTAACATTTATGAGGTAATAAAGCAGCCACAAGATGATGGGTAAAATGAAGTATTTCAAATCTTGATTTTTTTTTTCACTCGGTTTTTTTCACTTTTTTTGAGTCATCTGAGCTGCCCCAGGAAAAACACGAGGTTAATCTTTTGCATCTAATCCTACATCGCTGAGGAGACCCATGAGAAACCTACAAGTTGTTGTGTCAACAGGCAATATGTCTATAAGTATAGATGGAAGAAAAGAAAGAAGGAAAAAAGATAAAAGGTTTTTTTTTTTTACTATTTTAATAATTAAAAGAACCAGAGGTAATTTAGATTGAAATCCTAGAGAAATATACAGAGTTAAAGCATAAGAATTAAAGATAATAGAAGAGAAAGAAAAAATGAAAAGCAAATCAAGGAAGCCAACCACCCGGTATGAAAGAAATTGAATATAGTATAAAGAGCAACAAAGACCAAAGATAAACCAGGAATAAATAGTACAAATAAGTCATTATTTTAAAAGGGGAACAAAGAAACAAAAGAAAAATCAATTGATTTAAATCAATAATACATTAAAGGAAGCAAAAAGATTAAGATAAGTTGCTAACTTCGAATAAGAAATCAGAAAAATTTATAGTAGCAACACCGGAAAGATCTTTATCATATTTTTTAAAGATATCAGTTAATTTTCTTAAATAAACCAATAATTCAATAAAAGCGTCAAATTTCAATTTACCAACAACACCACTATCATAATTATCAAGATCTTTATTTGAAAATTTTTGGAATAGATGTAAAACCAAATCGATATTTAATTTATAACCGATTTGTTCAATAATTTTTTGGAATTCACCAAAAGAAATATCACCGGATCTGTTAGTATCAGCAGCAATGAATAATTTTTTGTAAGCAGAAAGATATTTCCAAAGCGAAACAAATTGATCAAAGTTTAGAGACTTCAGACTTGTACTTGGAGAGCCACTAGTACTGAATAGTTTAACCATTAATAGAATGGTAGAATCTTGAAATCTTGTGTGATCAAAGTTCAATAAGGCCATTGATAGTTCACGGGCGGAAATTCTTCCTGATCTATTACTATCGACTTTTTCAAAAACCGATCTCAATTCATTCTCCAATTTCTGTTTACTGGAGCTTTTGGACGAAGGGGTGGAAACAGGGTCCAAGTTTTCCTTGGACCTATGGTGAGGAGATGAAGATGTTGAAGTCGACGGAGGAGGTCTTTTATGGGGGTGTGATTGCGAGCCATACTGCGGGACTTGCTGGTGAACAGGAGGAGCGGCAGCAGAAGCCTGGACCGGCGTAGAAACATTAGGCTGGTATCTTTGCTGGTGTTGAGGAGGAGGAGCAGAATATTGAGAAGGCATTGGGGCTGCTTGTGGAGCCTGCGGAGCCTGTGGAAGTGGTTGGGGCTGATAGTAATGCTGTGGAGGGGCCGGAGCTGGGGCCGGAGCTGGTGCCGCCTGATACTGAGGTGACTGGTATTGATGAGGAGGTGATTGCATGGATTGTTGATAACCTTGCTGAGAATAATATTGCTGAGGAGTTGGAGCAGCATTCATTCCTCCACTGGCGGGAGCCTGTTGGTAGTGGGACCTTGGCTGGGACTGCTGGTATCCCTGAGGTTGTAAATGCCCGTAATTGTTTCGGTATTGACCATTGGAAGAACTTTTCGACGTTTTACGAGACGAGTGAGCATGATGACTCGGACTCGGGGTATAAGTGGCCTGCTGTGGTGTTGGGTACAAGGGTAAATCGTTACCAGGCATCGTGGACTCGGATCTTTTTGGACTAATAAGCAAATAAGTGTAAGAACTTCAAACCTGGAGAGCAAAATAATACTTCAAAATCCAAAATCTAAAAAAAAAAACTAGCGATTGAGCGTCAAAAACACGAAAAAAGTCAACCTTTTTCGACAACCAACACTAAAACTCAAGTGAAATCAAGTAGATCAAGTCAATGGTGTGCTGTTGAAGAGTTCCAGTACCAGATATTCAAGTAAGGCTCTCAATACAACGTCCGATATATTGACTTGCCAAAAGAAAGAAGGTGTTGCTGAGTTTTGTTTTGGTTGTTTTTCATTTTTGTTAAACAAAATTTCATCAAAGGTTTTTGCCTGGTGCACGGGTGCTTTCCGTGCCCTTTAGGGCAGTGATAGTCATTACTTTAGCAGGTTGACTACAACCTGACTACGTAGTTGGCTCCATTGTTGGCGTTGGTTGAATACACACTCGATGGTACTGGCACAAACTGCATGTCGATGTTACTGGCGGAATGAAGATTGTATTGTAGCAGAGTAGATTTAATTGTAGTGGGGATGTACGGAGGTTCTCTTTCGAACAGCAATTAGTTGGAAAAATGAACGAATTTCGGGGAGGATTGAAGGATAGACCACGATTCAAAAGGATCAAAGAGGGATAATTGAAAGATCAAGCACATTTACAATGTCAAGCAGCTCATCATCAGGATCATTTTCGCTTTCCAAGATCAATCCAAAGTTATTGAGGAGAATTTGTATGTATAATTGAAGTTTATCAAAGTTGAATAATTTACTAACAACGGAAATAGATAGGGCTTGTAGGCCAACGTTGAATGAACCAAATTTAGCATTAAACTTAGAAATATGTGATTATGTCAATGCTAAGCAAGGATCAGCACCTAGAGATGCAGCAATTGCAGTAGCTAAACTTATAAGTCAAAGAGATCCACAAACATCAGAATTAGCAGTATCGTTGTTAGATAATTTGGTTAAAAATTGTGGATATCCGTTCCATTTACAAATTAGTCGTAAAGAGTTTTTAAATGAATTGGTTAAAAGGTTTCCTGAAAGACCACCATTACGTTATAATCGAGTCCATCGATTAATTTTGGCCCAAATTGAAGAATGGTATCAAACAATTTGTAGAACTTCAAAATATAAAGAGGATTTTGGGTATATTAGAGACATGCACCGATTATTATCAAATAAAGGATACATTTTCCCCGAAGTTAAATTGGAAGATGCAGCCGTGTTAAATCCAAGTGATAATTTAAAATCTTTAGAAGATTTGCAAAAAGAAGAATCAATAGTTCATAGTGCTAAATTGCAAGAATTGATTAGAAGAGGAAGACCTCAAGATTTGCAAGAAGCAAATAAATTAATGAAAATTATGGCTGGGTTCAAAGATGATAACTTACAAGAGAATAAAAAGCAAATTAATGATGATATTGCTAGATTGAAGAGAAAATCAGAAATTTTTGCTGAAATGTTGAATAGTATTCAACAATCAGGTACTTCAATTGACGATTCAAATGAAGCTTTGGTTGAATTATATTCTTCCATTAAATCTTCTCAACCAATTGTGACTAAAATCATTGAAGAAGATAATGATAATGAAGATTATGTTCATGATTTATTGGGGTTGAATGATTCAATTAATCAATTGGTTGAAAAATTCCAACTTTTGAAAAATGGTCAAATTGATAAAGCTGGTGCAATTAATGTTTCTACTAATAACAATTCAGCTAATGATAATTTGATTGACTTTGACGATGATGAAGGTCCAATTAGTAATGATAAACGTGATGATCAAGGTTATCAAGATTTATTAAGTGATTTGACTAATTTAAGTTTCAGTAATAACAATGCACCAAATCAATCAAATAATCTTGATTTAAATAACTTATTTGGATCAGGAGGTTCAATTTCATTAGGACAACCGATTCAACAACCAAAACCTCAACATCAACAACCAACACAATCGCTGAACTTTGATTTATTATCAGATTTCAACTCACCATCCCCGCAATTACAATCAAATACTTCATTGGATCCATTTCAACTTAGCTTCCCCAATACCACCCCTTCGAATGTATTACAAAATAATTTTGAATCGATTAAATTGATTAATCAATCATCAAACTTGAAAATTGAAGCCGGAGTTAATTCTAATGATGCTTCATTAGTTAATGGGAAAATCTTATTCAGTAATTTAAACCCCCTGCAAATTCAAGAGTTAAAATTCATGTTGGCAGTTCCTAAAAGTTGTAAATTAAATTTAAAGCCCCAATCAAATGATTCCATTAACGGTTCAAGTAATCAACTGGTTTATCAAGAATTTTCAATTGAAAATAATATGAATAAACAATTGAAAATCAAATGGAAAGTTGAATATAAAGTTAATGGAGAAAATTTCGAAGAAACCGGGGTAAACGTTTTATAAGACTATGTATTACATAAAATAATAGAAATATATATTGATAAGAACTAAAAAAACCATAAAAACCCTAAGGATGAACTAAAACGTCATCGATAATAAACAAGTAACCATTATTAGTCAGAATTGAATTAATAACCGGAACGAACCCACCGTTCAATCCAATTTGATAAGCCCCAGTGTTAGCATCCTGTTTAATCAAGACCGATTCACCGTTGATTAAAGTACCTTCAATTATATTTGACTTTAAATGGTCATCATTTTGATTCAAAGAGTCAATCGATTTGATAACGTGACCAGATAAGAAGCTATTCAAGTTATCGTGGATTACTTTTTCGTCGGAGTCATCATCTTGGATTGGATTAGGAAACTCCCAAGGTTTTAAACCATTCAATTTAAATTCAAGAGCGTTATTAGTGGGAGCAATTATAACCATAGAATGAGCTTCTTCCTCCACTAATTTGGAAAACTTTAAATCATCTCTTATATAAGAAGCGAAAAAGGAGATTTCATTCACTTGAGAAATAACCGACTCCAAGTAGTTATCATGGGATTGAAATACAATCTGGTCCCTTTTATGATTTGATTTTTGGAATGGGAACTTGAATACGTTTTTCGGATCCCGTTTAGTTAATTTCAAGGTGAACTTATCGTTTTTTTCACCTTCGATGGTTTCTCTTAACTTCTCCAAGTCAAATACGTTTTTAGCAGCCACTGCCGCAATGGTAGCGAGAAGAATAAGCGTGAATAACTTCATTGTTGATAAAGAAGTAGGAGTAACAAAGGTTAAAAATGACCAAATCTTTTGAGGGATATAAAAAGCTTCCAAAATGTACGGGTGTAAGCGTATAGGTACGGGTGGGGATTGTATATATGTACGGAGGTTTGTATTTGCAACTACATTTAACAAGTAAAACACTAATTAATTAATTCATACCTAGACGAAGGTAAGGTACAGAAGAGAATTTTACGATGAAGAAATTAAAATTAAACAATATTAGAAGTAGAATTAGTATAAGGCGACACCGACGGAGACAAAACCAACAATGACGGTTAACAATTTAACGACGGCAGTGTTGGAAGCACCAGAAGAGTGGCTTGAAGAAGAGGAAGAAGAGGAAGAATCAGAAGAGTCAGAATCGGAACCAGAGGTAGATTCACCGTTCTTGTTACCCTTTTTAGAAGAGGAAGAAGAAACGGTAGAAGAAGCACCTCTACAGTAAAATTTATCACCTTTGATATCACCAGCTTTGTTTAATTTAGTGAAATCGGAACAAGATAAATCACCGGTAGAGGTCAAGTTGAAACCACCAGAGACTTTGTTTAAAGAGTCAAAGGTACCGTTATCGAATTTACCACTCAAGACAACAGAACCACCGATAGTTTTCAATTTAGGGAAACCGTCAAAAGAAGATAATTCTTCATTGTCTTCGACTTTCAAAGCACCACCAATGGAAGATAATTGAGGAAAGTCCAATTCTTCCAAGTCATCATTTTCACTAATGGATAAAGATTTACCGACGGATTCCAAACCTTTGAATTCGATTTTATCGATAGAGTTTGAATCTAAAGAGAGAGAACCGGTAATTTTGGTCAAGTTGGAAACAGATAAAGAGTTAATGGATTGTAAGTAGACAACGTTGGCTTCGGTTAAATCGTCCAAGGAAACGTCGACTTTTTCGGCGTTGTAAGAAATGGATAAAGTATCGGTGACTTTTTGTAAACCAGAGTCAATCGATTCGATATCACCGTTATTGTTAACGTTGAAAACCTTCAATTTGTAAACGTTAATACCGTCCAAAGAGGTTAAACCAGTGTCACTAATGATGATTTCATCAGCAGAAGTAATCCCACTGGATAAACCGGTTTTTTCCAAAGCTGGTAAAGCATTCAAGTTGAAAGTACCAACGGTGGTTAATTGGGCCAAGTTAAGGGTGGATAAAACAGTGTTGGCAGTAATAACCAAGTCCCCAGAAACCAATTGCAAGCTTGGAGCATTAAGAGTCTCAGCCTTGGTGGCGTTTTGAATGGTTAATTTACCGTAAAATTGTTCGACCCCAGTCAATTCGATTGAACCGAAAGAATCCCCTTGAATGGTAACATCCCCAACGGCAGTGGCACAAGCAGCAACCGATTGCACTTGCGAAGATGCAGTAGCGGTGAAATCCTTGAATGAACAACCTTTAGAAACTGATGGAGTGGCAGTGGTTAAAGTAGAGTCTATAATAAAAGGTTAGTACCAGACGAAAAGAGTAAAAATCAACGAAGCAGAATCAGGTAATAGGAAATCCAAAAGAAGAAACAGGCGGATCGCGCACGTTAGACATCAATTTTTCACCAAAAGACAAAAAAAAAATTTTTTTTTATTAACAAACTTCCCAGTGCAGTATTTTCAGTGAAAATTCCCAGTACCGTATTTTCAGTGGAAATTCCCAGTACCGTATTTTTAGTGAAAATTCTTCGGTATATTGAACACTGCCCGTGTGCTGAACACTGTGGAACGGAGCACGGGGGTAGCTGAGTCGAATGGCTCGTTGAGACTTGTAGAATACATACTGTTGGCACCAAACGCAACACCAGCGAAAGCGCAGGCGGCGAAGATTTTTTTGAATTGCATAGCGAACGTGATAACTGACCAGGAAGAAAGCTGGAGGAAAAAGCTGGGAAAAAGTTGAGTTATAAAGGATTGGGAGACAGGAAGGGGGTGATAACACAAACTTATCAGGCAAACAATTGGAGGTTATGATGATGAAAATTCCGGTTTGGTTTTGATCTATTTTTGGGACGTAAATATTCGAAGACAATACTCTATGATGGTATGCTCAGTGCATACCTCCTCCACCTCGCTGGCCACCGTCTGGGTCTACGGTCTTGCTGCTCTCGCTGGCCACCCACTGGCTGTCTACACCCCGTCTACTGACTGGCTAGTGACTGGCTGTCACTGGGAGTCACTGGCAAGTCACTGGCAAGTCGGAACTCAGTAGCCAGCCCACCGATATAAGACATCGTCTAAAAAATAAACAGCAGTAGCCTGATTTGGAAATTCACTAACACAATTAAAGAAGTTGAAATGAGTACAAGTACCCGGAGGTTACTTGGGTTCATAATCGAGTAAATTTACGTTAATTATACCCTGCATTATATATGCTTTCCTTGTTGATGTTGCTTATGCCTTGATTGTGCTTTCTTGGGTGGTGGGCTTTGGTATGTCTTTGTTTCTTGCCTTCTGCCTTCTGCCTTCTGCCTTCTGCCTTCTGCCTTCTGCCTTCTGCCTTTTGTCTCTTGTCTCTTGTCTCTGTTCTGCCTTTTGTCTCTTGTCTCTTGTCTCTGTTCTGCCTTTTGTCTCTTGTCTCTGTTCTGCCTTTTGTCTTCTGCCTCCTGCCTCCTGTCTTGTCTTGCCTGCCTTGGGTTCTAATACGGCGAACCGGTGAATAACCAGGGTACGGAGGTTTTTTTTGATGTCTTCCGAGGGCTGGAGGGAGCGAGCCATTTTCGGGGGTAATTACATACAATTAATTTTCCAGCTCTTTAAAAGAGCTAATACCAAAACACTAGGATAATGTCAAATATTTACTTTTATAAGTTTATTGTGAACAATCAAGTGTTTTACAAGTCACAATATACTTATGCACTAGTCAATTTAAAACCATTGGTTCCGGGACACGTTCTTATTGTTCCATTAAGAACTAGTGTATATAATTTAGCTGATTTAACAATTCATGAAAGTATCGATTATATGAATACATTACAATTGATACATAGGTTTATTAAACATGTTTATAAAGCCGACTCTTTGAACATTGCAATCCAGGATGGACCTGAATCAGGACAATCAATCCCCCATTTACACACCCATATCATTCCGAGATATAAACTGGACGGTTATGGAGATGGAATATACTCCAAACTCGAACAGAAAGATCTCCTTGGCGAGTGGTCTGCCAGAAGAGACTCCTTTATGAGCTCGGGTGGGTTTAGTCCCGTGGACGATGATCAAAGGGTTGCTAGGACTCTGGACGTGATGGCTAAAGAAGCCCTTTGGCTAAAAGACGAATTGGCCCGGTACACGTCCTCCTCTACTTGAAAATAATTAAGTCCTCTCTTTATATAGATATATATACATCTGTCTTTCTTAATAAAACAATGACCAGTCTTGATGAAATACAGTGGAAGTCGCCAGAATGGATCCAGCAGTTTGGATTGCACACCGGGAACGTGCTTGACTATTTCACCGAGCTGCCATTTTTCGATCGAACATCAAATAATCAAGTATTGAAGATGCAATTTCAATTTCAACCAGTGCCTAATTATAATCTTCAAAATAAGTTAAGTGAAATGGTCGGGGTTGAATTTATAATTGCGTTTATCAAGGAACCTAATTTCTGGATAATAAGAAAACAACAGAGAATTAACCCATCCACCGTAATACCAAAACAAGATTATTATATAATTGGAGCAAATATATATCAATCACCTAAAATTCACGATATACTATCATCCAGATTATTGGCCAGTGTATTATCAATGAAAAACTCAATTGATCTCCTTAATGAAATCAGTAATTATAATATCATGGACGGGGGTCATCAATATAATAAATCCTCCAGTATAACAAATACAAATACTCCCACTAGTGTCACTACAACGTCGGAAACTCCCGTTACTACAAATAACTTAGAAGAAATAAGTTCAAACACTTTTGATAATTTATTGAAATCAGTAGTTAATTCAAATAATGATTCAATTTACTTGGATGATTTACCAATGTACGGTAAAAATAGTACCGTTGATCAATTAAATCTAAAATTAAATCTCTAAAGTTCGTCTTTAATTGACTCCTTCAATTCTCCACTTTGTTTGATTTTCAATTCCTTCACTGGTCTATCTCCTCTTTGAGTTTTAACTTTTTCCATATAATCAACAACTTCAAATCCTTCAATAACTTCTCCAAATACAACATGGGCATTGTTTAACCAGGAGGTAACAACTGTAGTAATGAAAAATTGCGACCCGTTGGTATTCTTACCGGCATTGGCCATGGATAACCTGTATGGTCTATCATGTTTTAATTCAAAATTTTCATCATCAAATTTGCCTCCGTAAATTGATTTCCCCCCGTATCCTTGACCAGTTTCAAAATCTCCCCCTTGTAACATAAATTTAGGAATAATACGGTGGAAAATTGATCCAGTGTATCCAAAATCAGCATCTTCAGAAACAGCTAATTGTCTGAAATTCTCAACCGTCTTAGGAACAACCGTTCCAAATAACCCAATAACAATTCTACCAATTGGTTGTTCATCTTCCACAATATCAAAGTAAACTTTATTAGTAATTGGTGGGTTTTCTGGTAATCCGGCCACCGCCAACTTGAAAACAAAACAAGTGGCAACTATAATTGATAAGATGGTCAATTTCATTATAAACAGCATGTAGTTTTTCAATTCTACAATTGGGAATCTTTTTGATTGATTTTTAAATACAAATTTATTGATTTTTTACACGACTATTTACAATGCTAAAATTCTCTTTCACCTCTATCTTCAGCTTCTAATTCACCCTTTTCAAAAGCTTCTCTTTCTTCCATTCTCTTTAATGAAGCCTTCTTGGCCTTAACGGCTTTGGCATTTCTTTCACCTCCGTGTCTCTTTTTACCTCGTTTATGTTCTCTCAATGGTTCTAAATCATTAACAAATTTATGTTTCCATCTTAACATATATCTTCTTGTGGATACATCGATACCTTTATTCTTCAATTCTTTAGTGTCAGTTGATAAAAACTTATTTAAATCTCCTTCAAAACTATCTAAATGCTCGATAGTATTACGTCCGATCAATTTGAAAAATGTTTCTAAATCATGCACATTTTCTTTGGTTCTAGTAGAATGGTTGGTTCTGTTGAGCGTGCTGGTGATATGGAAGCCACGTTGGCCTAGGCTGGGCGTTATTCTGGGTATGAACCTGGTGATCCTTAACATCTTGCTGATAACTAAGTTAAAGTGAAAATTTAATGGAAAACGATGAAAAAAATCTGTATATATATAACTGTGCCGGGCACGCAAACTTTTTTGGAAACTCCCTGTGCACCCGTACATATATATCAACATCTACACCCGTGCACCCGGCTTACAGCTTGAATTATACAAATAATATCAAATCTAATATATAGATATATACTTTTCAAACAGATTACAATAAACCTTTGTTTTTGAATTCAGATAACAAGGAGTTACCCAATCTAGCTGGGGATTTTTCGACAACGACACCGGCAGATTCTAAAGCAGCGATTTTAGAGTTGGCATCACCTTTACCACCAGCAACAATGGCACCAGCATGACCCATTCTTCTACCTGGAGGAGCAGAAACACCAGCGATGAAGGAAACAACTGGTTTGGCACCTTCAGGTCTGGTTAAGTTGTGTTGTTTTAAGAATTCAGAAGCTTCTTCTTCGGCGGTACCACCAATTTCACCAATTAAAATAATACCTTCAGTTTCTTTATCATTTAAGAATAAAGTTAATGCATCAATGAAGTTGGTACCTGGGAAAGGATCACCACCCATACCAATAACTAAAGATTGACCTAAACCAACTTGAGTAGTTTGAGCAACGGCTTCATAAGTTAAAGTACCTGATCTTGAAATAACACCAACTTTACCTTTTTTATGAATATGGGATGGCATAATACCAATCTTACATTGTTCAGGAGCAATCAAACCTGGACAATTTGGACCAACTAATCTGGTCTTTGATTGAGTTTTCAACATTTGAGCAATTCTAACCATGTCGTGTTGAGGAATACCTTCAGTAATGGCAACAGCCAATTCGATTTCAGCTTCAATGGCTTCTTCAATGGCTGCGGCAGCAATTGATGGGGGAACAAAAATACCAGTGGCATTAGCTCCAGTTTGCTTAATGGCATCACTAACATTAGCAAAAACTGGTTGATCCAAGTGAGTAGTACCAGCCTTTTTTGGATTGGTACCACCAACAACCTTAGTACCATAAGCAATGGCTTGTTCGGCATGGAAAGTGGCTTGTCTACCAGTGAAACCTTGGTAGATAACCTTGGTATCAGCATTAACCTTTAAATTCTTAATGGTAGAAGCATAGTTTCTAGCTGGCTTGGAGGAAGCAAATCCACGAATAAATTGTCTGTTCAACATCTTTAGCTGGGAATTATTGAATATATGGTAATTGAAATCAAATAAGTGATATACAATTTGAAAAAGAAGAAGAAGAAAGTTGTTCAATAAATTTTTTCGGTTTTGTTTTTTCGTTCGGGGGTACTTTTGATATTTCACCGTACTTTTTTTTTTTTGTTTTGTTAGTGCTTTTTTTTTTTTTATTAGTGCTTTTTTGTATGGGTTTTTTTTTTGTATGGACAGCTTGGGAATTGTATGGAGAAAATCGCGATTTATCGGGCGTTTAGTATCCGCTGGATGGGATGCTAGTGCTTGATCACGGTGATCTGCTGGGTTGGACCACCGGTGGGTTGGCCACTGGTTGTCCAATGATATGTAGTGTAATGGATCGAGGTTAAACCCCGATTGATTCAGCGGGAGAGGACCAACGGATGCTCTCCAGAAGATGAATATTCACTTGGGGGATGGACGGAGGTATGGGTCTGTCATTTTTTGCTTCGTGGGTGGGATTTTCTGGTGTACGGAGCTTTCTGCCGGTCCCCAGGGGGTTCCTGAACTCCGATTCGCACCGGGAGCTCTGGCTCGGGGAGGACCGGAACGCTCCAGTGGCCCGTCGATTACATAAGCAGGGAAATTTAGAGGTATAACGTCCAGGCATGGGGTTAAGCAATACCCCGGATTTCAACGGTTCTACACTGATTCAGAATAGGATATGTATGTATAAATAGGTTAGTAATTGAATAAACTTTTATAGGAAAGACATCTGCTTTCTAGCAAGTCCCAGTCCTTGTAGGTGATCCACATTTCATTGACAACTTTCAACCTTCCGTAAACACTTCCACCTTTCCAGGTTAGCATTTCCGGATCGAATTCTCTGGGAGGAGGTAAGACGTTGACGGAGAAAGATTGGCCCTGTTCGCTGATGGAGTCGATATAATCCAAATCGATATCCAAGTTGGTTTGGTTTTGGATTTGCAATAAAACATCCTCGTCAAGCTCGATATCTTCCACGTTGGAAGGAATGTTCTGTTGCTGGCTTGAAGTTTCCATAAGATGTTGTTTCTTTTTATGTTTTTCTTGTAAGATCAATTCCTTTTTCAATTGATCAAGCTTATTTTGTTCATTAGTAACGTATTCGATAATGTCATCAAGGGCACTAGTTGATAAAAACTTTGGTCTCCAAATATTAATACGATCATTTAAAATCAAGTCGTATCCGCTTATTTTAGCAAACCCCCCACCAACAATTAAGATATTATCGTATAATTTTTTAATTTTACTCAAGTCATTGGCAAGTCCGGCATTGGTGATTGATTCGATAATGGCTTTTTCTAATGAAGTTGTCAAGGTGGGCATTTCATCTGGCTTAAATCTCTTTTCTTCTTCCGACTCGTCGCCAAAACTATATTTGGTGAATTTGGGTCTTTGATATGGATTGGTATTTTTAATTTTGGTTTTCTCTTCCACTAACTTCTTTAATAATACTTCTTCTAACATATCACAATAATTTTCTTGATTACCCAACATTTCTTGGGATCTGGAATATGGGTTATTTGATTTACTAGTATATTGATCAACACTTTCACTAAATAATTTATCATTAGTGAAATATGGTGGAATTTGATACAACTCTGGATAAAACACTCCTAAAGGAGCTAACATAACTTCATCATAAACTTTAAATTCATATTTTTCAGTGTTTTTGAATGGTCTTCTTTTATAGAAATTATATAATTGTACCGCTATATCAGCATCTTGGAATGTAATGAAATTATGCTTTAAATTAGTAGCTAATTCCCAATCATCAACTTTTTTCTCTAAATTAATCTCTTTATACGGGAACAGTTGTTGTAATAATAATTTTATAAAAGTTTTGGTTATATCATCTCCTCCATAATTTAATTTAATTCTCAGATTATTTAAAATCATTCCTTCATCGACACAAGCAATAGATGTCGTTTGTGATCCAACATCAACAACACATGCAGTCAGGGCACCTGCTCCAAAAGTTGCCGCTACTGATTCTTGAATTATTCCAACTCTGCCAAATCCAACGTATTTGAATAATAATTCAACCCATTTTTCAACATATTTTTTATCATATAAGTCAGGTATCACCAACATAGCTTTCAATTGATTTAACTGTCCCCTTTTCACTTCAAAATCATTTAATGATTCAATTATTATGTTTTCTAAATCGCCTAAGATCTCATGGTTGGATTTATAAATTTCACTCGATTGATTAAAATTCCCATTCTTAATAGGATACCTCAATATCCATTCTTGATAATCTTCACAGATGGGTAATTTTAACGCTTCTTCTCCAACGAAAAACTTCTTATCTGCTGGTATACTCTTAATATCAATCCAATCTTTCTTATACGGATCATTATGATCCGGTATAATCTCGGGCTCTTGCTTTTTATTGAAGTTCGAAGCTGTTTCTCGAGAATTAGGTAACATTCTTCTCTTATAATATCTCATTCTTGATTTAAAATCTTTCGTGACAATCGATTTGGCCTCATCAAACTTTTCATTGATCTGGATTTCTCCTTCGTCATCAACATATCTTTCTGGACTAACTTTACTAGAATCAATCTTTTTACCAATAGCATTAGGGACCGCAATCACAGTTGGTATGGTTTTAGGATACGAGTCAGTGGCTCGTCCAATTCTAATATTAGATGATCCTGGATGTATCACAATTGTATCAAATCCCATCTTGACTTTCTCCTCATTGGCTTCCTCGTTTTCAGCTTCTTCTTCTTCTTCTTCTTCCTCCTCTTCTGCTGCAGCGGCGGCAGCGGCGGCGGCAGCTTCAGCTTCCTTTGAATTCTTTTGTTTACTCATTTCGATTTCAATATCATTTAAATCAAAATCGTCGAAATTTTTAACTTCATCATCCTTCTTAATTTGGTTACTAGTTGTGGGATTTTTCTTCATATTCTTAATTTTTTGTTGCAATAATCTTTCTGTTCTCCAATTTCTAACAAACGATACTTGTTCATCCTTTTTCAAATAATCAGTATAATAATTTTTTTGATTGATTAATGGAATTGTCCTCACACTTGTAAGGTTGAACTTATTTTCATCTTCAAACCTTCCTATACCTGTTTTCTTCAAATTTTCTGCAATTGTTATGGCCGCCTTCATTCTTCCTTCCTTACGACGTTGTAAGACTTCGGCACTTGGCTTCTTACCCTGTTGACTAGAACCCGGTTTTTGACGCTTATCATCATGTTCTTCATTCGTTGGATGATTGGGATTCTTCCCATTAGTATTAGCCATCTTGTTCGACGTTTCAATGAAGCTATTGAAGATATTGAAGATTGTTTTTTTTTTTCTTTTTCATCAGTCAACGCACCCATGAATTTTCAACATTTTCAGTTTTCGCATTGTAAAGGACCCTATATGCCTACTGAGTGCCTTATTAACGATTCTATTGCCACTGGCTTTTGGAGCTTGCTTCACAGTTGGCATTAGAATGGATAAACCGTAGTCTGCAGCCAAATCTGGGTGTGTCTGTGATTTTTATCAAAATTATGGCATTTTTGAAAAAATAGTGAAATTTTTGGGAAAACTTGTACATTTTGATTATAAACTGGTGGGAATGAACATTAAAAACGTAATATCCACTGTATTTTTACGGGATATCATAAAAACGATACTATAGATGAAGAGACATGAGCTTAGCCAAGATGAAAGCAATTTGAGTTTATTAGAACTATATTTAGGAATAGGAATATCAAAGATAAAGCATGTTCATGTATAGATTGGTGAAAAAACTTAACTCATATACTACTGAAGCAATTCTATACTACGCTAGGGAAAAAGCAGCATAGGTAAGTTGGATCATAGTTGAAAGATTCCTCTGAATCTTTTAGTCGTAGTATTGTTACTGATAACATGTTTGGTCTTTGAATCACTCTAGAATATTGTTAATTTTACATTCGGTTTTTGATTCGAAGAAACAATATTAACAAACCTGTCACTTTTGCAACCTTCTGCTTGTCAAGTTTCATCCACTTACTTTGATATCTTGTTATTGAGTAATGACGTTTCATAACAATCAGATCCTTTGGTTTCAAGTCCTTCAGAGCTTCCTCAAAGAACAAAAGTCCATGCTTAACATACAATTTGAGACTGGCTCTCCTTCATTTGATATTAGAGCCACTCTAATCGATAACTTCTTTACAGCATTTAGAAAGTCTTCTTGTTCATCAGGCTTCACCTGGGGTTTTTTGAAAAGCATCACTGCCCATCTTGATCGTTCTATATTTCCCTAAAACTGAAGAATGGAGAATGTATTTTTTGCATGATGAGCCCAATACTTTTCAATTTCTATACCTTCCACGGGTTGTTCCCAGGAGATAACTCTGATGATCAGGACTTCTCTCTTGAGCGAACTATTTCTAATTATGATTCAGGTGGGAACTTACATACAAACATAAAAAGAATTTCTGCTGGTGACTCAATCCATCGTCATCCTGAATGCTACTAGAATGATAACTGAAAAGTCATTGAATACACTTTCCTCACCTACTATTGCAGCCTAACAATGTCAATTCTGCTTAGGCTGCGAAAAGAAATAAGACGCTAAATATTAACCACTAAAGCTTTCCCTAAAATTTCAGCCAAACAATACCCATTCAACAGGCTAGCACTCTTTCCCAAGGCTTCGCTGTCGCCAGGTTTCCCAAGGCCACACATACCCAGGTGTCCTAACGCTTCACTTCCTCACACGATGTGGCATTGTCCCCACGGGCTTGATCAATTGAGTATGCTTATTACTACTTCAGTTCACTCCGTCTAATTACTACCTTGGTATATTGTTACTTCAACTCAATCAAACGTGGAACTTATTATTAAATTCGTATATTACGAAGTTGCAAAAATACAAAAAATCCATTGCGCGGAATTTACTTCTGCACGTGGGAATTCAAATAATACGTCAAAACTGTCAAGACTGTCAAACAAGAAAAGTCTTGACTAGTCTTTGGGTGCAAATGGCAGCCATTGGAGTGCTATTCCAGCGCAATTGGACGTGGTGAGTAAAGAGCAGGGACTAGTGTAGAGAGTAGAGGTGGGGAGAGTGGAAGACGGAGTGAAGACGGAAGCCTTCCTAGAAGGGAACGAGGAATAAACAATAATTAGTCCAGTTACACGTGCATTACCAAATGAGACTAATTAGAACCCAATTGGATATCGAGTCCAGATGAGATGGACTGGCAGTATATAAAGCTGCCCTTATTCCAAGATGGAAGAGGAGATATGGATGAACAACAGACAAGATGGTTTCTATATCCAAGATTATCAACAATGGGTTATTATTAGTTGGACAAAGTGTTTATCAAGATGTTGCAGTTCCAGAACAGGCTTCGGTTGATAATTATAATGTTATCAAGTATCTTGGAGGTGCAGCACCATATATTCAGCATAACGGGTTTGGGATCAGTAGTGAAATTCCTCAACAATGTACGTTAGATCAAGCCCATTTAATTTCGAGACATGGAGAAAGATATCCCTCGAAGGGGTTGGGTAAGAACTTTGAAAAAATCTATGCTAAATTCCAAGCATACAACCAAACATACAAGGGAGATTTATCCTTTTTAAATGATTATGAATATTTTGTTCATAATAAAGAATATTACGAAAAGGAAACTGATCCAAAAAATAGTGAAGGTACTTATGCTGGTACTACCAATGCTTTAAGACATGGTGCTTATTTCAGAGCAAGATATGAGTCCCTTTTCAACTCCAATGAAACCTTACCAATTTTCACCTCAAATAGTGGAAGAGTTCATCTTACTTCGAAATACTTTGCTAGAGGTTTCTTGGGTGATGATTATGCCGATGATAAAGTTAAATATAATATAATTACTGAAGATGGATCCCAAGGGGCCAATTCATTAACTCCTTATGCTGGTTGTAAAGATTATAATCAAAGTGCTTTTGATTATAAAGTTGATGAATATGACCAAACTTATTTGAAAACTATCTTGAAAAGATTCCAATCAGAAAACCCTGGTTTGAATTTAACCAGTGATGATGTTTACCAATTATTTAGTTGGTGTGCATTTGAAATTAACGTTAATGGTACTTCACCATTTTGTAATTTATTCACTACTGAAGAATACGTTAAATACTCTTATAATCAAGACTTGACTTATTTCTATGAACATGGTCCTGGTAATAACTTAACTGCAACTATTGGTGCTCCATTTTTAAATGCAACTTTACAATTATTAAAAGATGATAAGGCTTCAAATAAAATTTGGTTATCTTTCACTCATGATACTGATATTGAAAAATATCACAGTGCTTTAGGTTTATTAGAACCAAGTTCAGATTTACCAACTGATCATATTCCGTTCCCAAATCCTTATGTTCATTCTTCCATTGTTCCCCAAGGTGCTAGATTATACACTGAAAAATACACTTGCGGCAATGATTCATATGTGAGATTCTTAGTTAACGACGCCGTTTATCCTTTGCAACATTGTCAAGATGGTCCAGGATTCTCTTGTTCTTTATCTGGCTTTGAAGATTATGTCAATCAAAGATTGAATGGTAAAAACTACCTTCAACAATGCGGCTCCCATGATGTCCCTGGTGATGTAACCTTCTTCTGGGATTATACTACAACCAATTATACTGCTCCTGATATCGATTCATAATCGCCGTATTCTTTTCTTTTTAACTTTTCTAATACCGATCCATTTTTTAGATTTCTGTTAGATACATTTGTATCTTATTTACGATATCCGTTGACTACCGATTAAATCGATTGTAAGTCCCCTTAAAAATAACCACCAAAGAGCCATACGATTAAATGGATCTAGGTCGACATTGTCAAAATTGACTTTCGATTCCTTCGTAAAAAAAGTCCCCTTTATCGTAAATAATACCCTTTAGGGTGAACAAATTAAGGGAAAGGCGACAGCAATTTGTCCTTATCTTTTCCCTTCAACATCCTGACATCCTGACATCCCGTCGTTTCAAGATTCAATACTCACCAGTAAGTAGACGAAAGGTGAACGGATGCACAGTCCACCAGGTCAACCACAAGAATAGCACAACAGCAGTAGCAGCCCATCAGACACTTGCTCAAGCCTTCGGCAAACAGCTTATCCACACTGAGGCCATTGCCTTGATGTCGTAATCAGTCAAAAGTTGATATAAAACGGCTCTCTGCAGGCAAACTTGCACCTTAGGCTTATCATTTTGATTGCACTGTTTTGGAAGTGCGACAGTGCGGCATCGATTTTCATTGGAATTGTGCCCTTCTAATTAAATAACTGTGTTATCAGTTAATTATCAGGTGTTGACGGGAAATCGGTATAAATATATGAGGGATTATCATTGGCTATGAAGTTTGTAAAAAGATTTTTGATTGTCAACAATGTCAACCAAGGAAGCTGTTGCAGATTCTGCATTAATTGATGAAAAAACCAACCATTCAATCGAGGATGCTCATACTTCGTCTAGTTTAGAGGAGCTTTATAATTACGATGATCCTTTAAACTATTCGACCAAATACGTTGACGAGTATAATCCTCAAGGTCTTAGAAAACCGACTGAAGATGAAAAAAAAAACTTGAGAAGAGTTTTGGGCCGTGCTAGTTATGCGGTTTATCTTATTTGTTTGGTTGAATTAGCAGAAAGAGCTTCTTATTATTCGGTTCAAGGTCTTTTGGCTAATTTTATTCAAAGACCTTTACCTCCAGGATCAACTACCGGTGCTCCAGTCAGTAAGTCTGATAGTCAAAGTGCCGGTGCTTTAGGTTTAGGTACTCAAGTTGCTTCTGCTTTAACCTTATTACTTCAATTTCTTGCTTATACTGTTCCAATTTATGGTGGTTTTGTTGCTGACGCTCAAATTGGGAAATTAAAGGCTATTTGGATTGGTGTTTTCGCTGGGTTTGTTTCTCATATTTTGTTCATTATTGCTGCTATTCCTTCAGTCATTGCTGGTGGTCATGGGGTTGTTCCAACTGCTTTAGGTATTATTACTCTTGCGTTTGGTACTGGGTTTATCAAGCCTAATTTATTACCTCTTTTAATGGATCAATACCCTTTCCAAACTGATATGGTTAAAGTATTACCTTCTGGTGAAAAGATCATTTTGGATCGTCAAAAATCTTTAGAAAGAATGACTTTGGTTTTCTATTGGGCAATTAATATTGGTGCTTTTTTCCAATTAGCATCTTCTTATATCGCTAGAAGAATGAGTTTTTGGTTTGCCTTTTTCATTCCAACAATTGTTTATTTATTTTTACCAGTTATTTTATTTGTTTTGCAACCTCGTTTAGTTAAAGAACATCCTCAAGGTTCAGTTTTAATCAATTCTTGGAGAATTTTTAAAACTAGTTTCAGTGGTAATTTCTTGAAAAGACATTTAAATGGTAGCTTTTGGGAATATGCCCGTCCTTCAGAAATGATCAAGAGAGGTAGAAAATTCTATAATATGAAGAAAGAAACCGCAATTAGTTGGGATGATCAATGGGTTTTGGATATTAAGCAAACTGTTAATGCTTGTAAGATTTTTATTTATTATCCAATTTATAATTTAGCTGATACTGGTATTGGTTCCATTGAAACTAATCAAGCAGGTTCAATGAGAACTGATGGGGTTCCAAATGATTTATTCAATAATTTCAACCCTTTAACTATCATTATTCTTATTCCAATTTTAGATTACATCATTTATCCAACCTTACGTCGTTATAAGATTGATTTTAAACCAGTTTACAGAATTGTTTTTGGTTTTACTTTAGCTGCTTTATCTCAAGTTGCTGGTGCAGCTATTCAATATAGAATTTATACTTTATCTCCTTGTGGATATCATGCTTCTGAAGGTGGTTCTTGTGTTGCTGATATCACTGCCTGGCAAGAAGTTTCAGTTTATATTTTATCGGCTGCAAGTGAATGTTTTGCGATGACCACTGGTTATGAACTTGCTTATACTAGATCACCTCCTCATATGAAAGGTTTAGTTATGGCTCTTTTCCTTTTCACAAGTGCTATCCTGGCTGCCATTGGTGAAGCTTTAACTCCAGTTTTACTTGATCCTCATTTGATTTGGCCTTTTGCTGGTATTGCAATTGCTACTTTTGTCTGTGGTCTCTTATTCCTTTACCAATTTAGAAACTTACATAAGGAAATGGAAGAAGAAAGAATCTTTAGAGAGCAATTGGACCGTTCCAAAGATGAAGAAGAACTTAATGCTCAAAATATCGGTCCTACTGCCATAACCGATGATCATAACTTAGAAGCCGTTACTTCTATCAAAAGTGCCGTTGGTAGATGATTGTGTATAATAACTGTAATATATTTATTTTTTGTATTACGAAGATGTAGCTGAAAAAAAAAAATCGTTTGTATATTTGATATACATATATACATATAGTAATACATGAAAAACATTAAAAGTAATAAATCTTTATTGTATCGCGGTTAATCACCTCGTAAAGCTCTAATAACAGCTGGTCTTCTCATCATATATTTTGTCCATTTATAAACTTCAGGGAATTCAACTTTCAAATTAATACCAATTCTATCGACAACGTTATTCCAAGGAACGAAAGATAAATCAGCAACTGTAGCACGATCACCAACTAACCATACGGGGTAATCGAAATATCTTGATTGACTTAAAGGAGTGGTACCTGCACTATAGGCAGCAGCATTTTCAACATCCAAATCCATAATTAAAGCTTCTCTTCTTTCAGCCAAAGCCATTTCTATAACCCCATAAACACGTCTAACTTCATCGGTATAACGTTCAACTGCACTTGGAACCGGACAGGAATGGAAATAACGGAAATGTAAAGCTTGTCCAATCATTGGAGCATGTCCAGAAGTTTGAAAGAAAAGCCAACTTGAAATTTGGGATTGTTCAATTAAATTGTCCGACCAAAGAGGACATTCGCCATGTTCTTTTAAGTATTTTGAAACCAAATATAAAATTATTGCTCCTGATTCCCAAATTGAAGTATTTTCATTATAATGGTCAATCAAAGCAGGCACTCTTGCATTTGGATTAATAGTAACAAATTCTGGAGCTCTTTGTTCTCCATTATTGAAATCCAAGAAGATGGTATTAAATGGAGAATTCAATTCAGACAATATTATGGCCACTTTGAATCCATTGGGTGCTGACCGATGAGAAAATAAAGTGTATCCTTCAGTTGGTTGATTCTGGAAAAAATGACTAATTCTTGATTGTTGTTGCTGAGTTGATGCTTCATTTTGCAACTGTTGCTGCAATAAATTAAGATTAACCTCATTTTGCTGTTGATCACTAAGATTTACTGACTTGAGACCTGCTGACAAGTTGGAAATAGTTTGAGGATTTTGGTTATTCTGTTCATTATTCTGATTATTTATCGATGCTTGATCTTGATTGCTTATATGTTCATTATGATCAGTATCCATCGTGCAATTTATCTAACTGACCCACTTATTCCAGAATGAAATGAATATCTATTCAACTAATTTCAAATTTATTATAAAAAATTCTAAAAGAAAATTAAACCAAATCTTCCCTTTGTAACTTATACAAACTTATATTGTCAATAACTACCTGTTCTTAAAGCAAATACAACCACAATCAGATAGTTTCCTGGAGATTATATTGATTCTTATGCTATGTATATCTACTTTGTATTGAAGTTCTACTCATTTCCTGTCTTTTTTTTTTTTCTTCCAAAAAAAATCCTGGGAAAAAAAGCCCAATGAAAAAGATGTTGATAATTTTTCGGGCCCCGTTTTCTTACTCTTGATCCATTTTCCACTCCGAAATCCCTTTCCCGGAGCTTATGGTCGAATTCTTTGACAGTTCCGTCGTTTCGACCGGCCGTTCGATAGCTTCTTCTTGAGCTGCCAGTTTGTCCTGGTGTTCACGTTGGGCTAGATAAACGGCACTCAACACACCGGTACACCAGCATAACCACCATTAATTAGTGTGAAACCCAGTACTAAAAGATAAGGAAATTGGTCCAATTCCTTACTTATCCAGGCTCCCAGTTACTCCGAAGAGGTTGTTCTAAAGAAGCTCTTGTCTTTCAGGTTACCAGAGTTAGTGCTAGTGTCGCTAGAAGTAACTCTATTGCCTTGCAGTTTGATTTTCTATTGCCTTGCAAGCTGATATTCTATTGCCTTTCAAGCTGATATTCTATTGCCTTTCAAGCTGATATTCTATTGTCTTTCAAGCTGACATTCTATCGCCTTGAAAGATACCCCGGGAAGAGACACAGGTATAAATTTGATCGAAAAACCGTTTGATACTGTAACGTTCTTAAGCAACCAACCATGACTAAAGATTCTGCTGGTGAAATCGCTATTCTCGTTCTTGATACTGCAATCGAAGGGATCACTGAAAGATTTGGGGACTTCGGTGATAATGCTACCCATGTTCTTAGTTCTGCGGTTGCAAATCAGGCTAACGAATTAGGTCCTACCCATTTCGATTTCGTAAAATATCAAATTGCCCATGCTACAGAGGCCTCCATTTATTTGGAGAGCTTACATAAAACATTCCAAGACTTGACTGCTAGGATCGAACAAGGTATCATAAAAGGAATTCTCCTTACTGGCTCACGTAGTGATGCTTTCAGAACTGATATCCCTTGGTTGAATGAGTTGAACACGTTTATTAAAGATTTCTTACTAAATCTCGAAAAGTTCCCAATAGTTGGGATTTGCTTCGGACACCAAATCATTGCCAGAAACTTGAATGCTAAAATTGGTAGAAATGATGCTAAAAATGGCTGGGAACTTGGTATCACTAAAATTAATATCAACCCTGACATCTTGTATGATGAAAACTCCCCTTTCCATGAAGTATTTGACGAAAAAACAATTGCAACCAAAGAGCTCCACTTGGTTGAATCCCATCAAGATATAGTTTACGAATTACCAAAGCCTTACAATAATTCGAGTTTTGCTTCGATTGGTTCGACTAATAAATGTGAATTTCAAGGGTTCTTAACAAATTCCGGCCCCTTGAAAATATTAACCTTCCAAGGCCATCCAGAATTCTCAACTGATTTGACTTTAGAATTATTGAATAGAGACTATAGATTGAACTATATAACCGAACAGGAATACAGAGATTTCACTGATAATACTAAACTTTTTGTCAATCAAGGCCCGGTGGTTGGCAAAGTGATCAATAGATTTTTTCATAGAGTAAATAATTAATTACATTTATTTGAATATATATAAAGTTCCTGTTTATTTTAAATACCATGAAAAGAGCTGTTTCTTTAATCAAATTTTTTATGATGTAATGTCTTCAATCATCAAAGAATTTTTTTGTAGGGGAGACAATGCTAAAGCCTTGTAATTTACCCCCGATTGATTGACTAGTTAATGAAACTGGGGTTTCATTACCACTTCTTGAATTGCCGTTTTCCATTCTCCTACTTAATTTATCATTGATTGAATTGAGATTTTGCAATTTACTTTCTAAGTTTTTAATTTTATCATTAGCAATTTTAAGTTCATATTGATGATTCGATGTCAAAGTAGTGACAGCTTCTCTTAATTCTTCTCTTTGTGATTTTAAGGTTGAAATTTCTAAATGTTCTTCCAGCTGTTCATATTCACTTTCAATATCGTCAGAATTTTTAGGTGAACTAGTATTTTCATTACTACTAACCAAAGAAAATTGTTTATTTGAAACTGATCTTAATGTTGGTGGTCTTTCAATACTATTTGATCCATTCAATTGTTTTTCTAAATTGGGTATAACATTAAATTTCAAATCACTATTTTCACGTACCAAATCATTATACTTATCTAAGAGGTTTTCATCACCCTCATTTCTATTATTAATGGATAATTCATCCAATTTATCCTGTAATTGATTGACAATGTCATTCTTCACTAATAATTGTTTATAAATTTCATTCTTTTCATAGTTCAATTTTAATGGACTTGGGTTTTGACCTTGTTCCAATAATAGAGCATGCTCTTCACTAATGAATCTAAGACGTCTTTCATTATTTAATTTATCCTGTAACTCACTGATGATCTTCAGTTTCTCCAATATTTCTTTTGATAAATCTTCATTACTTTGTTCATAGGTGTAATTTCCAGACTTTAATTTATTTTCCAAAGCAACCTCTCTTTTTATTGAAGATGCTAATTCTGTTGTGACTAATTGTAATTCATTCAATAAATCATTGTTACTAGTCATAACTGCTAACTCTTCTTTGGTAAATTTGAATGGTTTTGGTTGAGGTTGAGTTTGTTGTGGTTGAGTTTGTTGAGGTTGTGATCCACTTTGTTGATTTAAAGAAACCAGTGGTGACCTTGGAACATTGTTCATTGAGTTATTGGAGGATAATCTTCTGCGAGATAACGCAAATGAACTGGTCAGATTAAGGTCGTCATTGGCATTTAAAACTTCGTCACCATTAAACTCATCATGTTGGGAAACACTTGATCTTTTACCACTTTTAGAAAATCTTTTCAATATATTTTTTGACTTACTTGAAAGAGAAAAGCTTCTGGATTTTGTTTTTTCAGCTCTCTCAGTATTATTCCCACTGATTGATTGAGTTGGATCTTCTTCAATAGTTGGATTAGTCATGAGTTCATTTTTAACATACTCTGATTTATTAGTACTATGTTGATCATTTGAAGTATTAGCAGTTGGAGGAGTTCCAATTTCTCTCAGAATAGTCAGAGTGCTTTTATCAGAGAAATTATGCTGACTAGCTAATGGATCTTCATGATCGTGATGATCAGGAATCTTATCATTATCCGAATAAAATGAAGATTTACTACCAGCGTTACTTTCAGGTGAATCATTACTAACAGTACGGAACTGACTAAAGGCAGTATTGGTGACCAACGATTTATAACGAGGTTTTCTATCATGTGGGGAGCCACGTTCTTTCAAAGTAGTATCGTTATCATCAGATTCAGTAGTGGTATTAGCTGAATCATTTTTATTTGGAGTTTTATTTGGGGAATTAAAATCTGAAGCAGTTACGAAAACATCTTTATTTAAAGAAGTAGCATTTGAAGAATTTGAGGTTGCTGTAGCACCCAAAGAATTTAATTTATTACGATGTTCATTTCTATGGGCTAATTCTTCTGGATCATCAGTTTTAATGAGCGATTCTCTTGGATTGCCTTTATTTTTCAAATTGAAAGAAGGAGAAATATCAACGTCTTCATTTTGATTGCGAGATGGAGAAGAATTATTATTGAATAAATCCAATTTTCTCAATCTCATTGAATTTGATTTTTTCAAAGTTGACTTACGAGAAACAGAAGGGCTTTCTTCACCAAAATTATAAATGACATCATCATTACTATCATTTTTAGATTGATCTCTCAAAGGAGAAGATGAAGATAAAGGTAAAGAATGACCCGATTCATTAGATTCAATCATAGATGCAGGAGGTTTACGACGGGGGGCGGTATCTGATTTTGATTTTTGATCAGCATCCAAATTTTCGTCATCTTTTTCTTCTTCATTTTCTTCGACGACATTCATCAAAGAATCATTTGAACTTTGTTGATGATTAGCTTGAGGGCCTTGAGGAGGGAACATACCTAATTGTTGTTGACCAGCAACGTAAGGATTCAGACCTGAAGGTCTTTGGCCATAAGGCATGAACTGACCACTTGAAGTTGGACGAGATCCTAGAGGTTGTTGTTGAGGATAACCATTTTGCATCATTGGGCCATTTTGCATCATACCGTTTTGCATCATTGGACCATTTTGCATCATTGGATTTGGACCATTATTCAAAGACATGGCTCTTGGATTCGTGGGAGGAGGCCCATTAGTTAGCGACATGGTACGAGGATTACCAGGGCCCATCGGCATACCCTGAGGAGGCATCCCGCCGGATCTCAAAGACATTGCCCTAGGACCACCGGGCATCATTTGACCATTTTGCATTGGATGGAACCCATTAACAGGTGGAGGACCCATACGGTTATTTAAGGACATGGCACGAGGACCAGGAGGAGGACCATTGGTTAAAGACATGGCACGAGGACCAGTGTTAACGCCGCCACCAGGACCAAACCCACCCAAAGACATGGTTCGTGGATCATTTGGCATCATTTGATTCGGAGAAAACTGTTGTTGTTGCATTGGATTCGAGCCAGCAAGAGACATTGCTCTTGCGCCCGAAGCCAAGTTCATTTTCTTTTGATGATTCAATTGTTTTCTGTACTGGATGTTACTTACATTTTTTTGTCCCGTCATTCCACTAACTCCTGAACCACTTCCCAAAGTTGGAATAAAGGGAGTTGTATCAAGAGTTTTAGCACCACTGAGGCCGTAAGGACCGCGATCTCTAATATGAGTTATGTCGTCAAAGGACATATTATTTGTAAGATCACCGATATCAACCCCGGCATTTTCATCAAAACCATCAGCACCACCTTTACGTTTGAAAAATTTGTTCATGGTAGACTGAGACGTCATGGAGGCTTTACGCGACCCAGGCGCTTGAGGTAAGCCGGCGTTTATCGGGCTCATCAAATCATAATTTGTGAGCTGTTGTTGCAGCAGCTGCTGCTGCTGCTGTTGAGCCTGTAATTGCTGAAATTGTTGATAAGTCATCTCTTGTTGAGGATGAACTGGAAGCGGAGCTTGCTGTTGGTACGCTCCCGCTGGCGGCGGTTTTGGAGCGGTGCCCGAAGTCCCACTAAGCACATCTATATCCTGTTCACCCATCAAGATCTGTTGTCTTATTCTGGCTTGTTCCGTAGAGGCAGTACCCGCGTCCATATTGAGATGATGTCAAGTCTATAAAAGCCAGTTGTGTTTCTGCTTCTTCAAATAAAAAAACAACGAAAAGTTTAAGCAAACCTGGAAACGAAATCCCACCGAAAAAGTTTGTACAAGAAATAAAGGAGCCAAACGAATGATAAGCGAAAGTATAGTAGCTAATGACTACTGCTGATGATGGTGGATCTAAAGCTGTTCAAGGGGAGGCAATACAACAAGGAAAAAAACAGAAATAAGCGCTCTTAATTCTTAATTGAAAAAAACAAAAAAAAAAAAACCGTAAAACCCCCAAAAAATAGGACTATGCAATGGACTGAAAGAATGTTCTTGCTAATGAGCTGATGGGGTGAAAGAAAGAAAGTATGTGATGATGTGTTTGAAATGGTGTCTTCAGAATATACCTTTTTTTGGTGTTTTTTTCTTCTGGCTTTTTTTTTTTTGGGATCTTTTTTTTTTTGTTTTTGTATGGAGTTTTTTTTTTTTTGTATGGAGTTTTTTTCGTTTTTTTAGTGTAAAAAAAACTCGCTGGCTGGTGTTTCACTTGAAATCGAACTTATTAAGTAGTTTGTGTTAAAGAACAGGTAATGGGTTATTGCTGTGGAAAGGGTTACTAGCGGGACATAGCTCCAGGATGATTGGCCAACGGAGGGAATTAAATATAGAACCGCTAGAGAAGGGTTCAAGATAGAGTACATTTTAAGATACAGGGTTTTACAGGTTGTTTTGCGGTTAGACGACAGAGTGTATTATCGTGTAGAAGTTTGAATGAAATACGGGTAATAATGAATATATACAATGGGAGGATTAATTCATTGAAAGCAGGAATTCATGATCCACAATGATTCCGACTATTTTATATCTTTTTTTGAAAAACCCAATCCATTTCTCTACCAACCCATGTTGTTTTTCATTTAAATCGTCGATGTACCAGGTATTTTCTTTATGGAAAGGATTGACCCACCATTCGCCTCCGTTGGGAGATCCCGATTGTTTGCTCAAGTTTAGTTTATTTAGTGCTAGTAGTCTTGATACGTCTTTGCCCACCAATTTGTGATAGGCTTTACCAGGACCGTAACTCTTGGTATTATTGCTGACATCGTAAATGAAGCCTTTGATTGCAACGTAACATTCAGGCCGTATTATTCCATTATACTGCAGTAGTTGTAATCGAGTGAATATGGGGAGTTGACGCATGTTGAGTGCTTGATTGTAGATTTCAAACTCGTTGGCCACTGGTTTGTCCAGTGGTTCTGCTTGTTCGGCCGGTGCTTGTTCGATCGGTGGTTGCTCTCCATGGGGATTGACCTCACTGCCGGTCATCCCTTCATGGGGATTGAAGCTATCCGATGTCATCGTTAAAAGGAGTTGGAATTGTATGATTTGGTCTAATCGCACCGATTTTTCACCTTTAAAAGAACCAAAGAACAAAAAAAAAAAAAAAAAAAAACTAGATGAATAAACCATAGTCCATAGGGTTAATTCAAAGAAGAATGTCTGACGAGACCGAAAAGTATCCCATAAGTATACAGAAGCTTTTTGCACCCAAACCCCCTCTTTTATACAAGCCTAGTGTTGACTATGCCCCGGAGACCCGCAAAACAATACCAATCACCCCGATATCGAAATTCAAATCGAATATTAAATCGTATCTTGAAGAAATAGACCAAGTGGAGCCTAGCCAGCGGGATGCCAGGTTTGACCAGCTTCAACGGAAAAAGGAAGCTAGTCGGAAAAGAAAAGAAACATTCCAAAGACAATTGGATGAATGGCTCGATCCAGAATCTCTAAGAAACAACGATTATTATTCAAAAGACCCTTATAAGACCGTGTTCATTGCAAGACTAGACTACTCGTTGTCGGAGCTAGATCTATCGAAGAACTTCACCCATTTTGGATCGATCGATTCCATAAAGCTTGTTCGTGATAAGGAAACGGGCCAATCAAAAGGGTATGCATTCATAGTTTTCGAAAGAGAGTCCGATGCTTCAAATTGCGTTAAGGAATTATCCTACTCCGGCTTGAAAATGGGCGACAGAACCTCTTTGGTGGATATCGAAAGAGGCCGGGTCATAAGGTTTTGGAAACCTCGTAGATTGGCCGGGGGTCTTGGTGGTAGACATTATACAACCCCGAAATCCCTGCTTCTGGTTACTGCTTCCGCTGCCGCAAGTGGCCGTCGTACCAACCTCCCACTCAATCCGTACAACTCCTCTCCATCCTTTGACCTGGGCATGAAAAGACCCGCTCCTTCAAGACCTAACGTTGATCCCAAAAGACCTAAATACAGACCTTCTCCCACTACGCCTGGTGCTGATTCTATCAAGGATAAATACGCAAAATACAGCAACGCCGCAAGTGCAAACAACCCCAGCAAGTCGTCGTCCTCCAATCGCTCTATACGGTCCATCAGACTGCGTGATTAATATATAGCTCTTGTCGTCTCCTTCAATGTAGTTCTTTATAAGATGTAATCAATTGCTGCTAATCGTTTTGGGCGATGGACACTACCGCCGTTCCCTCACACGCAGAATGAAAAATAGGCAAAAAAAAGGTTGAAAGACACCTAATTCACGACTCATTAACAAGTTTGTTTGTCAATTGTGTGTACTGATTGGATATTCAAGATTGTATCATGTCGGACTCGGCCTCTCATAAAAGAAAGTTGGAATTAGAAGAAGCTGCCGCTTCTGCAGAATCCAATGAACAAAAGAAGCTTAAGAATGAAGATTTACGCTCGAAAGTAGAAACCCTTGAAATTGAAAATAAAATTAAACAAAAAGAAAGCGAAAAAGCAGAAACTGAACCTTTGGAAAGTAAAGGTATAAGTAAAGGAGAAGAAAAGGAAGAAAAGGAAGAAAAGGAAGAAAAGGAAGAAAAGGAAGAAAAGGAAGAAAAGGAAGAGAAGAAAGTGGACAAAAAAGAAGTAGAGAAAGCAAAGGAAAATAATGAAGAAGAAGACAAAGACAGTGAAATAGATAAAGAAGATGAAACACCAAAACCAAAGGCCACCTTTGGTGGGACTTCTTTCAAAATAGACCCGACTAAAGCTAAACCTCTTTCGCAATTTGGCTCGAACTTCACATCGGATAACTCTAAAAAGACTCCTGTTTTCGGGTCTAACACTGGATTTGGTAACCACTCCATTGCTGATAAATTAAAAGAAAAACCTAATATTTTTGACCAAAAGAATAATCAATCCAAATCCACCGAATCAACTGGCTCATCAGGTTCGAGTTTTGGAAGCGCATTCGGTGCCAATTCGAAATTTAATAATGCATTTCAAAATTCATTAAAGAAAAAATCATTCTTGGATACAGATTCATCAACAGATCAGGAAACCAAAAAGGAAGAATCAAAATCCCCCAGTGCTGAAAAAAGCAAGCTTGAGTCATCCGGCTCTTCAACCCCTCAACAATATAAGCAAGTTGATTTAACTCCAGTTCCTGAAATTAAAACTGGTGAAGAAAATGAAAAATCTCTTTATAGTGTTACTGCTAAAATATTCGAACTCAATTTAACCAAAATATCCGAAGGATGGAAAGAACGTGGTTTGGGTCCTCTACATTTGAATGAATCTATCGACGATCCTTCTCAAGTGAGATTGGTGATGAGATCCCAAGGTTTATTAAGAGTGGTGTTGAATTTGAAGGTAACCCCAAGTTTAAATTTAATCAAGGGTTTGGAAGCAAGTCTATCACCAGGAAAGTTCATGAGAATTAATTCAATTTCTGATAAAGGATACCCAGTTCAATATTTACTCAAATTCAATAACGAGAATATCCGTAATGAATTGTTTGATAAGATTGAAGATTTAAAGAAAACAATGAAAATTTAGAAAATTTGAATTAATTTATTTGTACATTAGACATTGGTTACTTATAAAATGAATCTTAGAATATTCAGCTACGAGATATTTAAATATTGTAACACATATAAATAATTTATATACTTCATTTGTATCACTCACTTTTTAATAAATGCTATACTACAAATGGTTGATCCTTTAATTCCTCCAAATTGGAAACTTGGATATTGTATTTGATCCCATACTTCTAAGTTATTGGTTCCATTTTCAGTGATTACTTTGATCAATTCGGATTCGGTAAAATTACATGATGTAATTAATAAAATTGAATCTTTATGCATAATTTTTGATATTTGTCTTGAATAGATCTCCATTCCAATTTTACCATCATGTTCTTCAAGTGGTTCATTGTTTAGGGCAATCGCATCCAAAGTTCCTTTATCTAATAGAATATCATATTCTCCTTCATGTTTAGCTAAAAATTCGCTTTCTTTTTGTAATAAATCAACTTGGTCAAACTCGAAGCTAGCTTGTTCATACTTTGTTATTGCGATATCCGAAGCAAACTTGACCGAATCAGGTGAATAGTCAATACCGGTGTATTTCAAACTTATTTGGTCATTTACTTCACAATCTTCATCCATATCTTCATGCATTTGAAATAATAAGTGTCCATTACCAGTTCCTAAATCAATTATTTTAAGCTCTTCCTTCTCGAAAGGTAAAGAATTTTCATTCAAGTGATTGATCAAAAACTGAATCATTTTCAGCTCGGCATCTGAGTCGTCAAACCAACATTCTCCGGTATCTGCTGGATTGTCATGAAAATTTTCAATCTCTCTTTTATAGAAATTGTTCCAACTGCTTGAATGTTAGTAATTACTCACAGAAATGGACGAGAGATATCATAACATACTATTCTTGAGTCCCTAATTTAGAAGAATTCAATCGTATGTCTTCTGTCATTATTCGTTATTGTTTTATGAGTGCTTAATGATTCAAAATCAAGTACTTTGACCGTCACATCTCTCATCTCATTGGAAAAAAAAAGGTTAGCTCTAGTTGATACTCAGTCGAAGAAAAAAAAAAAAATACGGACGCGTTGATAAACGTTGATTTTTCAATTTCATATTATTCATTAAAGGAAACAATTTGTACATTTAGTTAACCTTCACTGATCCAAAGATGTCTAATGAGGAACCAGAGAACGTGGAAATTATTGAAAGCCAGGAAACATCACCTATTGATGAAAAAACACAGAAAAATTACAGCATTTGGAAGAAGAATGCCCCATTTTTATACGATTATGTCTTTACAAGTTCATTGATATGGCCTTCAACCACGGTTCAATTCCTTCCAGACTTAGAAAAACTGGTTACCAATGCAGATACAAGCTTTACACCAAAGAATAAAGATTCTGCCGAAAATGATCTCGTGTATCAAAGACTACTCATAGGGTCCTTCACTCTGGGAATGGGAATAGACACCGTTTCAATCTACCAGCTTCCTTATTATAGAAATTTGAATAAAAACTTAACTATAGACAAACTAAATTTCAATCCAAGGAAGGAAGAGTTCGAGTTAAACAATGTCTCAAAGCTTTCCGCCAACCAATTACAAAAAATCAATCATAAAGGTGACGTTAATAGGTTAAAATACATGCCTCAAAATCCTGATGTTATTGCCAGTGCCAACAATTTAGGAGATTTAGTAATCTACGATCGAACGAAGCACTCCAATGTTTTCAACTCCATCAACACTGATATAAATGAACCTCAACTACGTTTGGTGAATTCCAAAAATTCTGTTAGCGATATCTTTGCTCTAGATTGGAATAAACAGAAAGAAGGGGTAATAGTATCGGGTAATATGTCAGGAGACATTAATGTACATGATATAAAAAGGGACTTTATTTCAAAAGACTCAACTAAAATATCAACATGCTCAAATTATTCCAATAAAAATATTGGGATAAACGATATAGAATGGGAACCCAATCATGATAGTTTATTTTATTGTGTGGATGACGAAGGATTTATAAAATTATATGATACTAGACTAGATACGAATGAATTCAATGTAATATCACATAATGAGTCACCGTATGGAATCAATAGTTTGAGTATAAATCCCAAAAATTCCAAGTGCATAGCTACTGCTAATGTTGAAGGAAAAACCAGTATTTGGGATATTCGGAATTTCGGTACTTATAAGAATGAACCACTTTATAGGATTCAAAGTCATAAGGATTCTATTACACAATTAAAATGGCATCCAAATTTTCATAATGTTTTAGGATCATCTTCTACAGATCGTCTGGTTAAAATTTTCAATGTTTCTAATATAAATGATGAAAACAGCGGGTTGTTTTTCACTCATAGTGGTCATATGTTAGGAGTGTATGATTTCGATTGGTCGTTGCATGATGAATGGATGATTGCCAGTGTTTCTGATGATAATTCATTTCACGTTTGGAAACCTTGCCAAAATATTGTACAAAATTTCAAATCTATATAGTTTACAATTAAGATTCCCCTATAGTTATAGGAAATTGTATATTTCTAATTCATGACTAACATATAAACGAAAACGAATAAATTTAATAGTTTTTATTAATTTTGATCAGTTAAAACTTTTCTTTTTGATTGTTGTTGTAGTTGAAATCATTTAAGCTTTAGCGAATAATTTTTCAACTTCAGCAACAGATTCAGCTAAAACTCTGTCTTGGAATTTAGGGTTTTCAATTTCTTTGTTAACTTTTTCCAAAACAGATTTGATTAATTGTTGTTGTTCAATTTCTCTTTGTTGTTGTTCAAATCTAACCCAAGAGTCTAAGGTAGCTCTGGCTTCTTGAGCAACAGCAATTTGTTGTTTCAATTCAAAAGCTTTAGCTTCTAATTCAGCGGTTTCTCTAGAAACAGCAAATAATTGTTGAGTGGTAGAAACAACATCTTTTAATTGAGAAACTGATTCAATTCTGTCTTTAACTGCAGTAACGTGTTTAGTACGAGATTCGTTTAATAAATCGTTAACTTTTTTGATTTCACCATCGGCCCATTCAGTGTAAAGAGGAGCAACGAATTTGGCAGCTAAAGCAGAGAAAGCAGCAAAAGTAACAAGTAAGATGGTTTCATCATGGATAACCAAGATTTCGTTAGAGATACCGTAGATAGCAGCGGCAGTAGAAGTGGCTAAGAAACCAGTCTTAGATAAGTAGTTGTTACCTGGTAAGGCATCAATGATGGAATTGGCCTTTTGTTTTGGTTCAACAGGAGTTGATAAGTAACGTAAACCAATTCTAGATAATTATTTGTTAGTATTATAGTTTTCGAAAAAAAAAAATTAGCACACCTTTATCAAATTCACCTCTTCATTCATTCTTTCAATTGAGCTAAGCAAATTCAATTCTTCGTACTTCTCTTAACTCTATTCCAACCCAACAACTCAACTTCTTCATTTTTCAAGGTGTTTGCTAATCTCCATTGGCAATCATTGATAACATACGGAGCTGGACGAACAGCCATGGATAAGGCTGGACGAGAAGCAGCTTTGAAAGCAACTCTAGTAAGGGCAGACATTATACAGTTGTACCTATTATAGTTGTATAAATCAAAAGGACTGGTAAGGTGTTTTCTTTGAATTTTTTAACTAGCTTTTTCTTCCAGTGTGTTTTGCTCACTTTTTCCATCCTTCTTTTGTTAGTGTACGCACTCATTCTTTCCAGGATCGGACGAAATATGTAATTTTCATTGGCCATTTGCAGACTGCCTAATCCGGTAATGTACTGCGATTCGTGCGAGCATATATTCACTCGCCTCCGTACACCATTTGTTCTTTTCAAATCTACAAAATTGAATAACTAAAGACTATATTACAAAAGGTTATGTAGTTGATTGTTGGGCGTACTTCTTCCTTATTATTCTGTTGACTGCTTGGTCGGTCTTCAACTGCGCCCGTTTAAGATTATGTTCGATATCGGCTTCTAAATCTTTGGTATGCGATTGCTTAGCGGGTAAGCTGGCTGAAGGGTTTGAGTTGGAAACGGCTTCACGGTGTATCCGCTCAAAGATTTCTTCTTGCACTCTTGCTGCCACAACTTCGACGGTTTCATCTTCTGATATCTTGAGCGATGGAGGTAGGTGACTTTTCTCGTGTGATCTTTCTTCGGCGTTGGCGATGGGCAGAATCATGGTTGGGGGTTCGGGATTCTCTTGGTTCTCCTCCGCTACATTAGATACAGCAGCCGGATCCAGCCCGGCCTTTCTCTTTTTCCTTAAGGCAGCCAAGCGTGCCTTTCTGGCCTCTGAACTTTCTTCCATCAAGCAGTGTTTATGGTTTGTTGGTATCAACTAGCACTCGTAGCTCTTCGTTAAATGCATTCTTTTTTTTTTGTTAACAGGTTGGGCAGGCGCACTACCCACCGAATCCAAATAGTTGCAAAAAAATGGGCGGGTAGAGGTTTTGATCTTTTTAACCGCCAATTATCTCTTTATACTCTTCTTAACCGTTCAAGCATGGGTGTTCTAGAAAGAATAGAGAAGCTCTTAGAAAACGAGCTGTCCGACGAAGGTATGTAAGTGTACGTTGATATTGAAGCAGAAACCTAACAACGGATAGAAACTGCAAACTACTACCAAACGATAGAAATACCGACAAGCCAACCTGTTGCAGGTCTTTATGATGTGGTATCAGGCGCAGACGACGGCTATAGTATTTACCGTGCTACACCAACACCGTTGGGTATAAACAAAGCATTGTTGTATTCTCCGGCAGGAGCATACCGATCAAGTACTGCAATTTCTTCGAGTTCACAATGGCCAAATAAAGAAAAGCAAGTACCTGGGGCATCTCCCTATTTTAATGCTGGGCCCAAAGATGGCGCCGGGTCAATTGAACAAGCCAAAACTAGTAGCGGCAAGGAAAAAGTTGGCTCCAGCAACGGCAAGATACAAAGAGGAGCCAAAGCTACAACTTTGGTTGAGTCTCCTTTAGCTGCCGCACATCTTCATCCTCCAGCAAAAGATGGGTTCACTTATAGTGCTACATCTCAGAAGAGGAGCATAGAAGATTCAACTCCCAAGGTTCAGCTGAATCAAATACCAGTAACCATCTTACCCGAGAGATCAAGAAGCCTCTTCAGATTCACCCACTTCAACGAAATGCAGTCAAAGGTATTCAATGATATCCATTGTCTGAGTGATAATTGCGTTATCAGCTCGCCAACCGGATCAGGCAAAACTGTCTTATTTGAGTTGGCATTTTTGAGATCGCTTAGGGAAAATAGTGAACACAAGATCCTATACTTAGCACCCACAAAAGCCTTATGCACCGATAGATACAATGATTGGAAGAGCAGGATTGGTGGCTTGAACATCTCCATTGGTGCATTAACCGGGGATACCCCTTTGAATGAAGTCGAAAGAGTTAGAAATAGCAACATAATCATTTCAACACCAGAAAAATGGGACATGCTAAGCAGAAGGTGGTCAGACTATCAAAAATTATTCAATTTAGTCAAGCTTCTTTTAATCGACGAAGTTCATATATTAAAGGATGCCAGAGGGTCCGTTCTTGAAACACTAGTAACTAGGATGAAGAGATTGTGTAAAGGTATGAGAATAATTGCTTTATCTGCAACAATCTCAAATGTTGGGGATGTCTCCAAATGGATTGCGTTGAATGATAATAATCAGAAACCAGCCAATACCTTTTCATTTGACGATTCGTACCGGGCAGTTAAATTGGATAAATTGGTTTTTGGTTACCAAAAAGATTCTGACAACATTTACTACTCTGATGTGTCTCTCAATTCAAAATTAGATGAAATTATATCTATTCACAGTCTTGGTAAGCCAATATTGATTTTCTGCCCTACTAGAAATTCTGCGATAAAGACTGCAAAATACCTAGGGCAAAAATCTACAACAACTTATTCAAATATCAGCCTAAATATTAAGGAAAATGACCTCAAAAAATTAGTGAGTTCGGGTGTTGCATACCATCATGCCGGATTAACATATTCTGATAGACAAGAAGTTGAAGGAGGATTTTTATCAGGAAAACTAAAGATCATTTGTTCAACCTCGACTTTGGCTACAGGTATAAACTTACCAGCTTACCTAGTGATTATCAAAGGAACTAAATGTTGGAATAACGGAAGCTTCGAAGAATACTCAGAAATTGATTTACTTCAAATGATGGGAAGAGCTGGTAGACCTCAATTTGAAAGCGAAGGAAAAGCCATTATATTGACTTCTAAAGAGCATAAGCTTAGGTACCAAAGACTTATTGATGGAACAGAGAAAGTTGAGAGCCATTTACATTTATCATTCATAGAAAATATGGCTGCAGAAATAACGCTTGGAACAATTCAAAGTGAAGCAGATGCAATGAATTGGCTCCGTTCAACATTTTTTTATGTTAGATTTATTGAAAATCCCACTTATTATCAAAATATATCAGGTGAAGAATTAGATCTTTCAAAAAGACTTTATAATTTCTGTATTTCGAATTTGAATGAACTTTTGAAAGAGAACATTATAGATAGTGATTCAACAAGCAAATTTAAGCCTACTGCTTTTGGTTTGGCAATGTCCAGACATTATGTCCTGTTTTCAACTATGAAAAATCTACTCTCTAGTCAGAAAAGAAAATCATTATCCCAAGTCTTGGACTTACTCAGTAAATCAAAAGACATGTCCGATATAAGAATGAAGTCTCAAGAAACAAAACTTTTCAAAGATGTTAATTCTTCCCCTTTGTTGAAATTTCCAATCAAGTCAAAGACTTTAGAAAATCAAGATAAGGTTCTGTTATTGATACAGTACGAGTTAGGAGGTTTAGAATTTCCTAGTTATACTGATGCATCAAAACTTTATTCTTCATTTCACAATGACCTTTTTCAGGTTTTTAGACAAGCAATCAGAATTGTTCGTTGCATGATTGACGTTTTTCGAGAACAAAAAGATTCAATTTCTCTTATCAATGCTATGAGTTTGAATAGGTCCATTATAGGAAAATGCTGGGAGAATTCTCCGATGGAGCTAAGACAATTGGAAGGAATAGGCTTAGCCAACGTGAGAAAGTTTGTTAATCATAACGTAAGCTCTTTAAAAGATGCCCAAGCCTTAACTCCTCAACAGATTGAATATTATCTTGGTTGGAAAATTGGCTCTGGTAACAAAGTACAAGCCGCTTTATCATCTCTTCCAAAAGTCTCGGTAAAATTGAACCCAGGAGCTTCAACCGTTAATGGTTCTAATACTTATGTTCAGCTTTCTCTCAGTATATCCATTACGGTCTCAAATCCGAAAGCTTCCTGTTCCTGGAAACGACAGAGCGTTATGTTGAATATCATTACGGAACTATCCAATGGGACTCTTGTCGACTTTAGGCGTATGCCAATATCCAATTTCAGCAAGCTTCTACCAAAAGGCTTCAATCTTGTGATACCTATTACCCTTGAATGTAATAATATAAATGTTTATGTATGTGCCGAATCTATTGCAGGAACCGAAACAAAATATACAATCAAGGTTGCAGACTATGTTGATGAATGGAAGTTGAGTAGCCTAAAAATAGAAGGGCCAAATAAAAACACTAAAGTTTCAATTCCACCAAAACTTTATTCAGCAGAAAGTGTTGAAACTTCTTCCGAAATGTCAGAGATTGACCTTGATGAGGTCTTTCGAGCTGTTGAACAAGACGTGGAAGCTAAAAGGATAGCCCGCACAAAATTGGGTAAGAGTAATTTCGTTTCGCAGCCAAAAAGGGAAACACCAAAACCCGAATCTTCAACCCTATTACTCGGAAATAGAAAACGGCAAAGGTTGAAAAACGGTAATTACATGTGTATTCATAGTTGTAAGGATCGCTCAAGATGCCGTCATTTGTGCTGCAAAGAAGGTATTCCCGAAAAGTTATTCAAAAGAGAATCTCGTGGTATTTCTGAGGACCCAATCAATTTCAAATTTGATAAAGTTATTGAAGAAGTCCTGGATGAAGATACTATAATTGACAAGTCAATTACAGATATTACAAATGTCAGTGGTGGTTCATTTCCTATAGAGAAAGCAGGTATGGGAAATGTACCTAATGATAAAGGTTCCAGTTCTCTTAAATGTTCATCGGTTTCAGACAAAAAAGAAGTTCAACCTGACTGTCAATCGGGCGTAAATAGAAAGCAAAATAAGAATTCAGACTTAATCAGTATGTCAAAGAAAGAGTCAAAACCACGAAAGATCTCATTGACACCGAAGAATAACATTTTAGATCTGGACACATTAGGAATGTTTGAAAGTTCCGACTCAGATCTAGAATCTTATCACCTAAATGCCACAAGGCTGAAAAAGATTAAGTTAGACAAAACATCGAAAAAGAAATCTACCAAGAGGGTTTTCAGTATCGAAACAAACTCCGATTCCGGTGAGGTGGTGTCTGATACAGACAATCATCCAAAAAACGGTACCAAGATGCAAAGAAAAGGCTCTCATGGCCAGATTTCAATAGAAAATGAGTCTCATTTTGATTTACTCGAATCCCATAATCTGTCATCACTTTTGAGCCAACAGGAGTCTTCAATGATGGAAACGAATTTGAAAAAGGCAGGCAAAAAGAAGGACCAGGAGGAGGAGATTCAAAACGCCGGCACCGAAGAAAGCTTTCTCGAAGACTTTTTTGGATCCGACGTTATCTTCGAGTAATTTATCCTTTCATCTTTTTTCTTTGTCATTATATTATACGTATATTTGATCTACCTACCTGTAAGTAATTAAAATAATTATGCGAGTGGGGAGCCTAAATACTTTTGGGCTATATCAACCAAGAAAGTATCAGGAATTCTCATATGAGCATCATCTATATTAAGGAACACCAATTTTTGATCTAAATCTAGCTTTTTCAATCCTATATAATCTCTTTTATATAAGTCAGTATCATCGTAAGGAATTGGCGCACCGTTACATGGGTTGATATCTTCAAACCATGCACTATTCTTTGGTACCACTGTTTGATCTTTCAAGAATGCAACTAAGACAAATTTATTGATATTAGACAAGTTTTCAACGTAGGAAGCATTGAATCCACCAGCCTCATTATTCACATCTGCTAAGAAATGAGAATGGTCTAAATATTTTTGATACTCGTAAGGATCTCTAAAATATTGAGCAGGAATGACGGTGTTCTGAATGCTTTCGTGCCAAACTTGTTTTTTCAAAAAAGCATTTCTCCTTTTGCATATCCAATCCTTTTCATCCCTACATACTGGTAATTCCATAACCCCCATATGAGGAGAGCCAAAAGTGATAAAATTATGAACTTTTGCAGCAGAACATCTTTCGATCAACGCCCTAGTCAACACACCACCCTGAGAGAAACCAATTGCATCAAACCCATCCTTCAATTGAGAGATGTTTGCAATCTGCTCGCAAGCAAGGTCAACTTCATCGTTAGCATCTCCGAATAAAGATTTATTCTCGTCTCTGGAAGGATCCAAATCAATAGCTATTGAGTGAGAAAAAACCCCCGGATACATTTCCTGGATAAGCTGTGTTACTCTGTTCATTCCAGATGAATTATAGTTGTCTCCCAACCCATGCCAGAGTACTACAGGCCGATACTTATTGGATTCTGCTCCCTTTGGAAGAGACTCGGTTGATTGTGGGGTAGACGACAATTTCAAGGTGGAAGGAGCCCAATTCTCACCAAACAAGGACGAACCAATCAATGCTGACAATACCGTAGCTCTGAAATCACCTAAGTACATCGTGGAATGCTCTTTTATACCTGTGATTAAGATAAATGGTAGTATTGAATTAAGCGCCCCAAAACTTATCCCTTAGAAAACAAAAAAAAAAAAGAATATCTAGTCACGTGAGCATACTTTCAATGAGCATCTCGAAAATTTATTGATCAAGTTGAAAATTTTACCAGACCAACAGATAAACACTCCGAGATAAGCTAGTATCCGTAAAGATGTCAGAAGGGAAAGTGTCGACTGGGTCTTCCAAATTCATTCTTGGAAGATCTGCTGAAAAAACTGGGAAGAAGTCAATCCAAGGGTTAGTCAATCATATCGCAAAGGAAAAGGGAAGCTCACACCATGAACCAATTTATATTGTGATAAATAGTAAAATATCCTATATTAAGAAGAAAGACTATACTCCAAGAGTGATACCGGTGACGCATAAACTCGACAAGTTGGAGAATAAATCGATCCTTCTCATCACCAAAGATCCATCCACACCTTACCGTAAAGCATTGACCGAGAAAGATTCACCCACTGAGGATGTTTTCAACCGAATCTATACTCTCACCAAAGTCAAACTGATAGCAGCCAACCCCAAGAATTGTGTGAGGTTGTATAAGGAGTACGATATCGTGGTGGCTGATCACCGGGTGCATAAGTTTTTACCAAACATATTGGGAGCTACCTTCTACGAAAAAAATCATAAAGTACCATTCATGGTGCAAATGGCAAGACCATCGGCAGATGCCAACTTGGTGAAAGGAAAGAAGTCTACAAAGTTGAAGGATGAAAATTGTGATCCAAAATACGTTAGGAATCAGTTGAAATCAATCGTGGGGAATGTTTCATTCAACCCCCCTGCCAATGGAACTTGTGCCACAATTAAGGTCGGTTTCAGCGACTGGGATACCCGACACATCATGACCAATATCCACGACGTAGTTGACTACTTGACAAATGCTAAGTTTGCCCCCGTAGGTGGCCTTCTTCGATCTCTAGATAATATTATCAGTGCCCACCTCAAAACAAGCGAAAGTGCCAGTCTACCATTCATGGAAATCAAAGAAAATAAGGAGTCGGACAAAGAAGACTACAGTGACTTCGACTTCTGATTCTCTGCATTGTATACTCTATATAGTCATTTGTATTATCTTCAAGATTTTGTTGAAATAAAATCCTCATTGCATACTTTGTTGCAGCCATTTTTTCCCCTTTTTTGGGGAACCCTAGTGAAAACCCCGTCGTTGCCATTTCTACCACTTATACTATGCTTTACAACTTCACCCAGCCAGCTGCTTTTAGAACATTCTTCCAAGCTGATATAAGTGTCCGACTATTTCAAAGTTTTGAGCACAGCGTAGTTTTTTTTTGCTGCTTGTTATTTTTGTTCCTGATGGCTTCTATTGTAAGAGGAGGAAAAAAAATATCAAAAAAAAAAGATTAGCAAATCCCGAACCGTTTGACGAGGGTTTTTCATCTTATTGACTGTTGAATATTCCAGTTAGATCAATCCTGTTAGGCTGACTTGCTGAGTTGATTGCAGGTTATTGTTGTTTGAGATCAACTACTTATTTGGGTTGTCTCTTATCGCATCTTTGCTTGTTTGCTTCTGTCTTTTGGCTTGAGTATTTTCAAGTTAGAAGAAGAAATTGGACTTTTCTTCTCCATTTAAGAATATGTCTGGGAATGAAGGAGGCATAAGCCTTCTTAGTCCTCAAACAAATCTCCCTTCCACCCCGAATGCAGCATACTCTACTCCTGGAGCTTCTGAGATCGATAGTTCTATTGCGAGTCCGACCCCTGAAGGTACACCATTTGGTAGAGCTAGTGGATTGACACCAGCTAGGATTCTCAATTCAATTCTTCATGATTTTCGTGATGATGAAATCGAGCAAGTGGAGCATTTCAAATATAAACAGGACTTGGATAGAAAATTGACCGTTACTTCAGTAATTGGTTTGGGTTTTACTCTTATGGGTGTCCCATTCGGACTATCATCAACTTTATGGATATCCTTGGTTGATGGTGCTAATGTTACCATTTTGTATGGTTGGATCTTGGTTGCATTTTTCTCTCTTTGCGTTGTCTTAAGTTTAAGTGAGATCATTTCTAAATACCCAACTGCAGGTGGAGTGTATCATTTTAGTGCTATACTAAGTAACGAAAAATATTCATCGGTAAGCTCTTGGTTCACTGGCTGGTTTCTTTTAATCGGGAATTGGACCTATGCCGTTAGTATCATGTTTGCCGGTTCTCAATTCATTTTATCAATTTTTGGTTTGAAAAATGTTTATTATAAAGAAGATATCTTTCTTGTGCTAGGAGTATACTTTATTATACTTACATTCTGCGGGTTTGTCAATTTCAGATTCTCCAAGTATTTGGAAAAAATCAATAAAATGTGTATCGTTTGGTCAATATATACCGTTTTAGCCATTGATTTCTTATTGATTTTTTTTGCTAAGAGAACCAATTCAGTTAAAGATATCTTGACAAATTTTGACAATACTCGTTCTGGCTGGCCTGATCCAATTGCGTTTATGGTTGGTCTTCAAAGTTCCTCCTTCACCATTTCGGGTTATGGAATGATATTTTCCATCACGGATGAAGTAAAGAATCCGGAAAGAAATATGCCAAAAGGTGCAATAAGCGCAGTGGTCATGGCTGGTATTTCTGGATTAATCTTTATAATCCCAATTCTTACCATTTTGCCCGAATTAACTTTGTTATTGGATAAGACTCCCGAGATTATGCCAATTGACTTGGTTTTCAAATTATCTACCGAATCATACATTGTATCTTTTCTTTTAACGTTACTTTTGGTGGGGACCATTCTCTTCCAAGCTATTGGTGCTTTGACTGCAGCATCTAGAACAACTTATGCTTTTTCTCGTGATGGGGGATTACCATTCAAGTCATATTGGACCGAAGTTGATTCAATCGAGGAATACACATTACCCAAAAATGCTCTTTTTCTTTCAATGAGTGTCTGCGGAGTGTTATCATTGCTATCACTTGTATCTGCTTCTGCTTTCAACGCCTTTTTAGGGTCTTCAGTAATTTCATTGAGTTTAGCTAATGGTATCCCAATTTTATGTCTTATGTTGAATAAGCGTAATAAGATTAAAGGTGCTGCTTTCAGATTAAGAATTTTTGGCTGGATTGTTAATTCTTTATCTGTTTTATGGGTTATTCTACTGATTGTGGTTTTATGCTTACCTCCGGTGATCAAAAATTTAAATTTGTTCACAATGAACTGGGCCTCAGCTGTTTTCATTGGGTTCATTGGATTTGCTGCAGTCGGTTATAAAACATGGGGATTGAATAGCTTTCAAGGGCCTCAAATCGATACCGATTATTTTGAACTACATAACCTTGAATCTCAAGGAAGAGAAACTTTAATGTCAAATATTGATGATTTCGTCATTGGCAGCGAAGACGAAGATGCAGATGAGGATGATGAAAACACCAGAAAGAAAAAACCAGCAAATTTGAGTCCATATAAAGTGAACAGTACCAAATCAAACGCCCATAATGATACGAATATAAATGACAATAGTAATAACACTAATGACGACGACAATTCAAATGCCGAATACAATGAAAGCGATCCCGAAACGCTATTCGACGCTAGTAATGCCGAAGCTACATATTCTTAAAAGACGATCTTCAATTCAAAGTACTTTCATAATCATAAAATTTTTAGTTATTCCTATCGTTTTTCTTTTTTTCATAGAGTTTTCTTAATAGAGTGGAAGTACTACAAATATTCAGATACATTTGACTATGCCTTCATTTCGTTTAATTCCATGTTTTGACTTCTTTCATAAAAAAATTGCACCACGTTCAATAAATTGTATAATATTTTTAACAGAGATCTATGTAATGGTATCACTCGATGTTGTAGTGTCTCATTTTGGGCTTTCGAATTCTTTGTGAAGGTTGGTACCAGCTGGTGGGGTCCGGGGCTGGTTTTTTAAAATTAGGACTGGTAATAGCTTGCGTCAATTGAGGTTGAGTAACTGTGAAATGGACATTTGGGAAATGCTGTTTCCCGTCAGCATAACCACCCACCTTAGTGAAAACCAATCTTTTCTTAGTAGTGAGCTTTGTTTTAGCGGTCCATCGTTTTGATAATGCTGAGCTTTGAGGAGGAGCTCGTCTCGAAGCATATTTGATTGGTCCAATGGTTGCCTGGGCTTCATATGGCAAAGTATAATACTCTGTTTTCAACTTGATTGATGTCAGAGATTGTGATTTTTTACCATGGAAGATGGTTTCAGGATACGGAGACCTAACGTCAGCTTTGGTTGTATCGACTTTCCCACCATTTTTTGAAACCACAAATCGATTAGTATAATGAATAGTCACCACCTTGTCGCCCTTAGCAATAACCTGAATAAAGAACACCCCTGAATCTTTGATTTCAGATAAGGTTGCATTGAAAGTATAGTCATTTTTCCGGAGTGCTTTCGAAGAAATTTCGTCAGCCAATGTTTGAATCGGCTTTATCTTTCCATTGGGACCAGAGCAAAGGACCATGGTGTAATTATGAAGCTGGCTCAAGCGAGGATGGGTTCCAGACTCTAGCCAGGCCACCGATATTTGAGCAGATTCGTTACTGGACATACGAATCTCTGTTCCAGGAGAAGGGTCATATAAAGAAACGTCTGCAAAAGCCGTCTTTAGCAAAAGTGACAGGAGTAGTACAAGCCAACCAATTCGGTTCATTTTGCCAGTAAAACATATTACCAGGCTCTACAACTCATCCTCTTGAATGGCTTAAATAGCCAGTGCCAGTAAACCAGATATTGGTATGCTATTGCTGCAACTCGGCAAAACACCCATACACCCACTACTCTCCTGTATGTAAAAAATCAAAAAAATTTTCAGTCAGCGAAACGAACTAAAAAAAAAAAAAAAGAGTTGAATAAAGCAGTAATTTTTCATTAGCTTTCAAGAGTTATTTGCCACAACAGAAGAGTATACCATGTCCAACACATCAGCAGATCATACCAGAGATCCATGTCCTATAGTTATATTGAATGATTTCGGAGGGGCCTTTTCCATGGGTGTCATTGGTGGTTGCGTTTGGCACGGGATCAAAGGATTTCGTAATTCGCCATACGGAGAAAGATGGTATGGATCCATAAGTGCAATCAAGGCCAGAGCCCCAGTGGTTGGGGGGAACTTTGGTGTTTGGGGTGGGTTATTTTCCACCTTTGATTGTTCAGTCAAGGCCATTAGAAGAAGAGAAGATTCATGGAATGCCATCATTGCCGGTTTTTTCACCGGGGGTGCTTTAGCCATCAGAGGTGGATGGAGACATACTAGAAACTCTGCCATTACCTGTGCATGTTTCTTGGGTATTTTCGAAGGGGTCGGTATGATGATGCAAAGATTCATGGCCCAACCCCAAATGGCCCCAGTTTACGCCGACGAAAACGGAACCCCAATGGCTGCCTAGTCCCATTGCTTTAATTACACCACGATTTATAAATGAACCTACTCCTTTGAAAAGTATTAATTTTTTTTCAATTTCCCGATTCTGACTTGAATTCTACAAGTATTCAACCCAAATCTTGTAAATATTACCAATTCCCCTCGCCTTCCCCCTTTCCCTTCTACTTCTCTTGTTAATGTCATGTATAGAGCATTTTTCCCTTAGTTTTTCCTATAAAAACATGTTTTCAACCTTGTATTGTATTTTGCATCTGTAATAACCCCGGTGCACGGAGGCGTGCTGCTGGACCCAGCGCACCGGCCGTGCGAGCGTCTCCCGCCGCTGTCGCCCCATTCGCCCCGTCGACGGCGGCCGCCACCGCGGCGGCAGACAGCAAGAGTTGCAGCTGCCGGTCGACAGCTTTCCCGAATTGTCTGCCGGCCTGACTGTTCCTAGGAAACCCTTGAAGTTTCCTTCCATTTCCGTAGGCACCCCGAGCCCACCGATCTGAGACATTCCCCTACCACTACCACTACTACTATTACAACTACCACTACTATTACAACTACCACTACTATTACTATTACAACTACCACTACTATTACAACAACTATTACAATAACTACTACTATCATTGTGAAAGCACAAATTCTCCGACCAATTCTTCTTTTGTTGGCCATTTCATGTTGTTCTTTTAGGCTTTCCTTCCCAGCTGATGTCTCTTTATGACCTTCTATTGTGTCCAGAGTCGTCTTTTGTATTTTTTGCCAACTTTTTTTTTGTTTTGTTAGTGTTTTTGCCTTTTTTTTTTTTGTTTTGTTAGTGTTTTTTGCCTTTTTTTGATTTTTTTTTTTTTTTTTGCAAAAATTGGTGTTGAGTCAAAAGCTTTTGAGATTTTTGGTAGACACAATCCTTTTTATAAAACTACCCTTCTTTTTATAAAGAGAAACCAACTTCTTTCCATCACTAATCCATCAATTAGCTTCATTTGTCTTGGTTGGATCTGGTTTACTTGGTTAATTATTCGTTTGGCTACATCGGAGGAAGGTCCGTGCATATCCAGCTCTTTTTAAGTTTTGGATTTTGTTCTTTTTGAAAGAGCGGTTAACTTTGTTGGAAGCAATCACAATAGTGGCTTCTATTTGTTATAGATCGTTGCATTGATCATATATATGTATATATCTGTCAGGATACATGTCGTCGTATAATTATAATATCAATAGACATAGTTCTGTTGGAGGTAGCTGGCATTTACCTCCTCCGCAAGGATACGCTGATCAGCATCAACAACACTCACCACAACACCCACCACAACATGCTTCCCAGCATTCAGCAGCCAATCCGGGTCCAGCTGCGGCGGGCCCGGGTGGTCCTGGTGCAATTGCGGGTTTTAGAAACCCCTGGTACTCTCCTACCCAGTCGTCAGGAAGTCTAATACCCCCTTCATCATCTAGTTCTGCTGGTTCGTCCAACTTATCCCAATCCCCCACTAAAAACTTGGCCGGTGGCCCTCCTACCATACCGCTATTGCACCAACAGTCGAAAAGGATGTCTTTTGCCAATCAGCTTCCAACTACTTATGAGTACGATGATCAGCGTCAAGCCAATGTCGCGCCCCTTATTCATCCTCCCACCCGTGCTGATAATCCGTTCAATCAATATTATACTAATCAGGAGGTTACTTTGGGTGGGGCGGACCGTCGTATGTCCGCCGCCGTCGATACCTCTTATTATTCCGGTTATAATAATCCTTATATTGCTGGTGGGGCGGCTATTGGTGGTGTTGCTACTGGATCCAATAATGCTTCTCAATTATATTTTCAACAACAACATCAGCAGCAGCAGCAGCAGCAGCAACAACAGCAGTTGGGTAGTCCTGCCCTGGCAAGAAGATCGTCGGTCGCTCTTGGATCGAACTTCCACCATCAGCCCCAGTTTCTTCCTCCTCAGCTCCATCATTCCCCTCAATTCTTTAATTACTATAACTTACCTAGGCTTGGTAGATCACCTCTGATTGTCCAATACCAACAATACCAACAATCTTTACAATCCCAGCGATTGACTGGTCGTAGAAGACCGGCTCCAAAAGCTACCAAAGTTCAAAACAAATATAGTTTAAAACCAAAAGTTCATCAACAACCAAAGTATCGTCGTTGTTCGGTTAATTCGATCCATATTTCTCCAGTGAATGCATTATCAGTTTATCTTACTGAATCTTATAGCATATGCCAGCCGAAAAAATTTCAATATTCCAAATCAACTAATCCAAAGAGAGTTTTAACAAAACCTCTGGAACCAAAGTATAATAACGGTTATGATAATGTCGATAGTGATTATATCTTATACGTAAATGATATTTTAGGTACCGAAGAAGGTAGAAAATACATTGTATTAGATCTTTTAGGTTCAGGTACTTTTGGTCAAGTTGTTAAATGTCAAAATTTATCCAATCAATCAGTTGTTGCAGTTAAAGTTATCAAGTCTAAGCCGGCTTATCTAAATCAATCATTAACAGAAGTAAGATTATTGGAATATCTTAACCAAAATAGTAATGGTAAAAATTTTATTAGCTTATTAGATACTTTTATGCATAAGGAGCATTTATGTCTTGTTTTTGAATTATTGGCTTCTAATTTATATGAACTTATTAAACAAAATCAATTCCATGGTTTAAATATGAAATTGGTAAAATTACTTACTAAACAACTTTTGGAATCGGTGGCTCAATTGAAAAGTTTCCAAATGATTCATTGTGATCTAAAACCGGAAAATATCTTATTATGTCAACCTGATAAACCAGATATAAAAGTTATCGATTTTGGTTCTGCTTGTTTCACAAGACAAACGGTTTACTCTTATATTCAATCAAGATTTTATAGATCTCCAGAAGTCATTCTTGGTTTACCTTATACTGAATCAATTGATATGTGGTCTCTTGGTTGTATAGTTGGTGAATTATTCCTTGGTTTACCAATGTTCCCCGGTATATCAGAATATAATCAAATTTGGAAAATTATTGATATGTTGGGTTACCCTCCTCGTCATATGATTGAAGTTGGTCGTAATTCTTTAAATTTTTTCAATAAAATCCCTTCGTCTGATCCTGAGGGTAAACCAACCTATAAAATTAAAACTCATGAAGAATATGTTCAATTTTTAGCTTCAAAAGGTAAAGAAGATAACATCAAGAAAGAACTGAAAAATACAAACTATTTTAAGCATCGCCTATTAAAAGATATCATCCTTAATTATAAATTACCTTCAAGAAAAATGACAAATACAATGATTGAACGTGAGCAAAATGATCGTTTATTATTAATTGATTTCTTAAGTAAAGCTCTTAATTGGAATCCTTTAGAAAGAATGACTCCTCAAGAAGCTTTGAAACATCCCTTTATTTCGGACGTCCAAGCAAATTTTGCATCTTAATGACCTTGTTTCTTCATTACTTACATTATTATTTTACTTTTCTACGATTTCAATTCATTACTATTCAAATTTAATTTTTAATTCTTCATGATATTTTTTTTTTTTTTTTTTTTTGCCGTTTTTCTTTTAATTTTTTTTTTTTTTTTTTTCATCTTCACATTTCCCGTGTTCAGATTAACCGGACCCTGTCTATTACATTAGCAAGACATGTCCTATTACTACTTAATATTATCATAAATTCAATAAAGAGTATTTTGTAACTTTTATTTATTACCCAATATATTTAGTCGTGTGCCACCGGAAACCATATTTCTCAACGAACAAAACATGAAAAAAGTTGAAGTTAAACAGAATAACAACTTCCATTAGGGTATTCGATCTTTCAATCAACAGTTAATTCGTATAAAGACTACTTGATAATAACCAATTTAATACATAACGGTTTGGTGGATCTTGGGTCTCTGTGTTTTCCTATTGTTTTGCTGTGTTTCTATTACTTTGTTTTACTTTTTTTTTTTGTCCAAAACTGAAAATTTTATATATTTGCATAATCAATTACTTTAACTAAGAATGAAAGTCAGTACCAGTGCCTTGGGGGTTAGAAGAAGAAAGCCCACCACTCAGAATATCGATGATGAAGAAAATGCCGCCACTTTAAAGTTGGGACCGGAGTTTCAACTCACGCAAATCACTAATAGCGGAGATGAAGAACAATTAATAGCATTAAACTTGTCGGAGGCAAGACTATTAATCAGAGCAGCTTTGAAAGAGCGTAAAAACAAATCAACAGTTGACAACTTCGACGATGAGGATGAAGAAAATGAAAAAGAAGATGAAATAGCTAATATGGAATTAGCAGGTCCAAATTCAAATGAAATAATGCATAAGACCCTTAATTTCTTATCGAATTTTGCTAGATTCAAGAATTCTTCCTCAACTGAAACCGTTGAAAAGTTATTAAATGATTTTAGCTATCAAGCCTCAGAGCCTTTACATCCTTTTGAGTTGGCTCAATTAGGTACTCTAGAATGTGAGGATGCTGAAGAAGCTAAGTCTTTAATCCCAAGTTTGTCTAACAAAGTTTCCGATGTCCAATTACAGACATTATTGACTGAATTAAGAAAATATCAAACTTTGTCATGAACTAATTATAATTTTTCTTTAAATTTCCATTTCATTTCTTTCATACTTATTTTTTAAAACATCTTTAAAGCAATAAAACTGTATTATACTTTCTCCATCGAAAGGGCTTCGTTATTATGGTTATTTGTAGTTTTATTTGGTACTCTGTCGTAGTTTTTCATTTCATGTTCTTCTATTTTTTATCTTTTTAATTTTTCTGATTTTTTTTTTTTTTGCTCAGAAATGAAAAATTGAAAGACAAGTAAAACTAGCCAACCGTCCTTATAACTCTTCGACTAAAGAAATAAAAATGGATGACGATGAACTATACGATGAGTTCGGAAATCTTATAGGTGATCCATTCGACTCGGACGCTGAATCCTCCAGTGACGAAAGAGAGTCAATTCATAATTCTAAAAGCGATGAGGAACGAGATGCTCAACACAATGAAGATGGCATGGAAGTAGATAGTTCTACAGCATTGGTGAAAACAGAACCAAGTCAAGTGTCACTCTCTTTGAAAAACACTTTCCAACCGGGTGTGGAAACTATAATAGCAAAGCCATATGAAGAAGCAGCCGATGAACCAGTTCTTCAGCCAAAGATTAACAAGAAGATCAAGGTTGACTTTACAGATAATATGGACAATGTGCAATCTTTAGATGAAAAGCTACAGGCCTTACCTACATTGAACTATTCTCGTCAATACATGGTTGACACAATGAAACTTACGGAGAGAATCAGGAATGTTGCAATAGTTGGAAATTTGCACTCAGGTAAAACTACCTTTATTGATAACCTTGTTTTGGATACACATTCTCCTTCAATCCAACAGGGTGTTAATATGAAAACTTTGAAGCCGTTACGCTTTATGGATAATCATAAATTAGAAATATCTCGAGGTATATCTATAAAAAGCTCGTCCATAACTTTGCTCTTACCTGATTCAAAAGACAAATCGTATGTTTTCAATTTGATCGACTCCCCGGGACATCCTAATTTCTCAGATGAAGCTTCGGCTTCAATTCAAGCAGCAGATGGTATTCTTTTGGTAATTGACATTTTGGAAGGAATTACTCCGAGAGATAAAGAAATAGTATCAGAAGCATTGAGGAATGACATACCGATTACCGTCTTACTTAACAAGATTGATAGATTGATACTTGAACTTAGGTTACCTCCTTTAGATTCCTATCATAAAATTCAATACACTCTCGATGCTCTTAATTCTTTCATAAACGAAAATGAATATAGTGCAACATATTCATGGTCGAAGATAATTTCCCCCATCCACGATAATGTGATATTTGCATCATCAAATCAGCGATTCTCCTTCTCTATAAGCACATTCGCTCAGCTATACATCGAAAATCACTCTTTGGGCCATGTTGATAAGGAAAATTTCTCTAAACTTTTATGGGCCTCTTATTACAATCCAGAAACAAAAAAGTTTTCTAAAACGTCTGAAAGTGGAAACCTTCCAAGGTCGTTCGTTCATTTTATTCTCGAGCCAATATATAAGATATTCACTTATACTTTGACAACTGACACATCAGGTGAATATTTGTCTGATCTTTTATGGAACAATTTTGGAATTACGTTACCTAAAAGTCTGTTCAAACAAGACTCTCAGATACTACTACGTGAAGTACTTCTGAAAGTTTTCCAAGGATCAAAAGATTTTGTTGATGTCATGAAGAAGATTCCATGTCCCGAAGAAGCTAAAAAGTATAAACTATCTAATTATACTAACGCTAGTAATGAACAGTTAGTGGCACATATAATAAACTTAACTGAATCGGCAGATGCTTCAAAATTCTACGCTTTTGTCAGAGTCTACCTGGGAACTCTTAAAGTGGGTTCCAAAGTTAAAGTTCTCGGTAGAGGCTTTGAAAATGACGATGAAGATTTTAAAGTTGAAATCATTGATGAAATTTATATCCCTGGAGGAAGGTATAAAGTGCTTGTTGAAGAAGTAGGGCCTGGATCTATTGCAATAGTTGGCGGAATTGATGCGATAGTCACTAAAAGTGCTACAATTTGTGATTTGAGTCAAAAAGCTGAACATGCTGTTTTATTCAAGCCTTTGGACTATTCGGAAAAATCTGTTTTTAAAGTTTCTATTGAACCTGAAAATCCCTCTGAATTACCTAAACTTCTTGAAGGTCTCAGGAAAGTCAATAAAGCATACTTGAGTGTTGTGATAAAGGTGGAGGAAAGTGGTGAGCATATTTTACTAGCACCAGGTGAATTGTATTTAGACTGCGTTCTTCATGATTTGAGGGTGTTTTTCACTGATGACTTGGATATTAAAGTTAGTGATCCAGTAGCGAAGTTTAGTGAAACCTGTATTGACACATCTGTTACCAAAATTTCTGTAAAAGCACCTTCTAAAAAATATCAAATATCGGTTATTGCTGAGCCAATGGATACCAATGTTGGAAAAGCTATTGAATCAGGAAAACTTAATCTCTCGGACCCTATTAAAACTACCTCAAAGATTTTAAGAAAAGAGTTTGGTTGGGATGCACTAGCTGCCAGGTCTGTTTGGAGCTTTGGGCCATTTGACAATAAGTACCCGAGCTTGTTGATGGATGATACTCTTGAGGGCGAAACTGATAAAGAGCTACTCTACTCTGTCAAAGACTTAATAAATACTGGTTTCAAACTTGGGATAAATGAAGGACCATTGTGTGACGAACCAATTCGAAATACCAAGTTTAAAATATTAGACGCCGTATTAAATGGTTCCGAAATAACTAAAGCTGGTAGTCATCTTATTCCCATGACTAGAAATGCAGTACATACGGGTATGCTTACTGCAACCCCTCGATTACTTGAACCTATTTACAGGGTAGATGCTACGTGTAAACCGGTTGCACTTTCAGCCATTAAAAGACTATTGAGTGATAGAAGAGGTGATATTGTGAATAAGTCCGCTATCCCAGGGACACAATTGCTTCAAATTGAAGGATATGTCCCAGTCGTCGATTCAATTGGTTTAGAGTCAGATATAAGGTTATATACTCAAGGTCAAGCGATGTGCTTTTTGACTTTTGAAAAGTGGGACCTAGTTCCTGGTGATCCTTTGGATAAGGACTGTTATCTTCCATCCTTGAAACCTGTTCCGAACGAATCGATTGCTCGTGACTTTGTTATGAAGACTAGAAGAAGAAAAGGTTTGAGTGGTGAACCTAATTTGCAAAAATACATCGATCCTGAGCTTTATGGAAAGCTTAAGGACAGTGGTTTAGTTAATTAAATTATTGTATTATTTCATTCTTTAAATTGTATATTATCATTAAATATAGAGTTTTCTTTTACTTGTTTCTGTATAATAATTTTGATTGTAACGTTCTTTTCTACCTGAACAAAACTTATAGTCATTGTCAACCTTTTATTCATTCATTTAGCTAACTACATACCTATATACTCGTTTTTTGTTTTTTGTGGCCTTCATTAACATCCTCTTCGAATTCTATGCTACGCTTAGAGGATAACCTCAGCTCGCCCGGATCATTTAAATCTTCGATATCGTTGAATCCTTTGCCTGAGTTCACAGATTCCGCTAACTTATTAAACTTGGTTATAAATCTTCTTTGAGTAGATACTTCCAAAGTCATTCTAGGAGGTACTGAAGTATCATCTTTGGAATTCACCTTGAGTGACATAAATGCCTTAACAAAATCCCAAATTCCAATATCGCGTGAATATATGTTGTCTTCAGTTATAGATAAATTACCAAGCTCGGGGATGATTAGAATCAATTCCTCATTTTCTTCAAAATTATATAAATCCACTAAATCCTCATTATCTCTTAAAGAGCCAAAAAAATCATCAGTTGACTGTCCTAAAACTGATGAATCATCAAATAATGCAACAAGACCTTCTAAGTCTAATTTTGTAGGTTTGTAAAAAGGAATCAATAAATAGTCATCCCCCGATATGCGAATAAATATTGGTATAGGTATGTCTTCAAGGCTATTTTTATCTTTATTCTCTTCCATAGGTGGTGCAGTTGATTCTTCTATGGTTATTACATCATTTGAGATATCGAATTCATTGGTCTCATTATTCTTCGAATACGCAATATCATCTTGATTTCTTTCACTATTGCCATCATTCTTTCGATCATCAATCACACTGTCCTCATTGTCTAATTTGTTTGTTGAAGTATACAATTGGTCTTTTTGGGACTCGTCCTCTTCTAAATTTGGTATTTCATCTTCGCTATTTAATTCATCCGAGCCGAATTCAGAACCTAAACCTTTCTTGAAATCAGTTTCCCCGATTTCTTCGAGATCGTCTTCTTCGTCATTTGCACTATTATCTTGGGGATTGGTTTGTTCAACTGTATCATCGTTTTTTGCCAACTCAAAGTCATCCTCGTGGTTTTCTAAAGTTAAACTAGAACTAAGGTTTATTGCTTGGACATCTAAATTAATGGACTTGGTGTGCTCATTATTGTTATTACCAATGTTTTTATTACTTTCTTTACTATTTATATCACGGTCACTCTCTATTGACTTTTCATCGTCGTCTTCATCGGTTAATTCTTCTAAATTAATGACTTCTTGATGACTGCCAGAATCATCTCCTAGATTATGGTTCTTAGTATCAATTTTATTACTTACCTCCATCTCCTGATACTCTTCTCTTGGGTTTTCTTCATCGCTTGTTAGGTTGAGTATCTCTTGTTCCTTATCCCTTGTTTCTTTATTGTCTTCTTCACTAAATCTTTCATTATTGGACCCAGTCGCGGTTGGTTGACTATTTATCTCTATAACCTCTGAATCTTGGCTTGCAACACTATACATACTGGTGAATTGTCGATTGTCCCCTTGCAATTAAGTCAAATATAAAAAGATTGAATATAATTTTTTTGCAAAGGAATTTCCTTGTGAGTTCATTGATCAGTTAAATCGTTTTAAAAAAAAAAAAAAAGCCTGCACGCAACTATAAGCCCAGGTCTTACACATATAAAGATTGAAAAATTAGTATATTTCTTTATTATTGATACAAAGTTATTAAACTAAATATTAGTGGGTTCGGAAAATGAATCAGAGAATGTGGAAGATCTATTATGGAGAAAGACATCTACTAGTCAAAGTGATATACGAATAGTTTACAGTTTGATTCCAACCTCTTTCTTCTTGATCAATCAACTTAAGGAGCCCAAACTTTAAATGATTGGGGAGCTTCAAGAGATAATGGGATAGCATTATTATTTTTGTTCGTTTCGGTAGTTCCATTATTTTTGTTATTATCTGAGCCGTTTTCTGGAGTATTATTCGATTCATTAGTGTATAAGCCATGAGAAGTGGGTTTATAGAGTAAAGATTGAACTTCTTGTAAGATACCTGAGACATTTTCTAAGCCTGGTGAATCTGAATTCTGGATTAAGGAAACAGCATTGCTCAACTTTTTGGTGATATTTATGGTAGATTTAGCTAAAGCCAAACGATCGATAAAGACTTCTTCTTGTTGACGAGCCAACTGCTTCTTTTCACGTTCATAGACTCTTTCCAATTCAGCAACTTTTTGAAGTTTGATATCAATTTTAGACAACTCGTTGTTGATGAGGGTCGATGTTAATCTATGCATTTCACGTTCTTCGTAATTTGCAAACAAATGACTTCTGGCACCGACAAGCCCAAAAGTAGCAGCACTCGAGTCTTTCAAAATATCAGGTTTTTCTTCTTGTTTTGAATCAGCTCGTGGCTTTTCTTGTTCTTTTTCTTGTTCTTTTTCTTTTTCTTCTTCTTTTTCCGTTTCTAGCCTTTCTTCTTCCGGCTTATCATCGGATTTTCGCTGTTCATCGATTTTAATTTTATCATCTTCTGCCTTTGACTCATCTTGATTTTCCGGTTTGTCATCTTGGTTTATAGCATCACCATTTTCCTTTGGAGATGTAATATCCTTTTCATCCGACTCGACATTGGGCTTCTTATCGACATCAACAGAAGTGTTAGAGTCTATTTTCACGCCATTAGAAGATCCCGCTTCTTTGTTGTCATCATTTTCATTTGAATCAACCTTTGCTTTAGATTCAGCTTCGAGATTTTCGTCACCATAAATTTCTTTTATTTTTGAGAAGATTGAATCATCAATAACTTTTGAAGCAGCTTTTGTGGCCGCTTTGGCCACGTCAGAATCAACTATTTGAGTTAAAAAGGTCAAATTATTAATGACCGGATTATCAACTGCATTAACAGGAAAGTTTGATGCGAATTTCAAGATACCATAATCTTTTTCATTTAGATTACCAAAACCATCTTCAATTGGTAATTGTAAAAATTTTAGTATACATTCTTGAGGAGTTTTAGTACCGACATTTTTAGAAATTTTATACCAATCATTTGGATGTTGTTTAATTGAAAGAACCAATTTTTTCATTTCTTCATCGTTCCAACCATCATTTAAAAATTTTCTCTTTTTATTGAGGTGATCATCAGCATCATTATTATCGTCAATAGAATGGGTTAATTTTGATTTTTCTTGAGGAGGAGATTGTAATTGAGTACTTTGATTAGATTCTGGTTTAATTAAATTCTTTAATTTTGCTATATCAAGGTTATCCATTGAAGGTTTAAAAGTATCAAAAGGAAATAAACCTCTTGGAGTATCATATTGAACATGATAATCACCAGTATAAGGTAAGCCAACTGATGAACCATTTGGCAATTTTTCAATTGCATAACCAGGTTTTAATTGAGGATTAACTTGATAATTTATGAGGCCCCATTTATTTAAAAATCTATGAACTCTCATCAAAGTACCCACATCACCAACCAAATTACGACGACAAGAAGTCAAGGTCAAATATTCATTTGGATTTAATCTATAAGAATTGATCATAAAGTTACGATAATTTGCATAAATTTTTGGAGATTTTGATGGATGGTTAGTTGCAAAAAATTCAGGTAACGATTCACGTTCAATTTGATGTATTTTTTTCATATTAAACCAGCTTGAATAAGAAGGTATGATGATTGAATGCGTTTGTCTAATACGGGTTTTCTTTTTGAAATCTTCTTCTTCTTCAATTAATTTAGCATTTTCTTTTTCTTCTTTTTCCAAACTTTCTTGTTGTTTAGCAACTTCTTCAGCCGATAAGACATTTAATTCTGGCTCTTTTTTCAAAGGGGGTTGATCAACGTCTTGATTTTCTGTTGAAGTTTCAACAACTTTGGGTTCGATTTCTTTGACCTCTTTTGAATCCGCCATCTCGACGTCACCATTAGATTCGTTATTTCGTTGTATCAATTTTTCCAAATCTAATTCATCTTCACTCAAGTCATTGGAGTCACTTTTAGAATCAACATCCATGTTGTCATCATTGACAAGGGTGGCCACGTCGTCGGTATCTTTATCATCTTTTGCTTCATTAACTTCAGCATTTTCCTCTTTTTCATTTTCTTCAGGTTTTTCCTCTTCCTTTTCTTCCTTTTCTTCAGGTTTTTCTTCTTCCTTTTCTTCCTTTTCTTCCTTTTCTTCCTTTTCTTCCTTTTCTTCCTTTTCTTCAGGTTTTTCTTCTTCCTTTTCTTCCTTTTCTTCCTTTTCTTCCTTTTCTTC